CATTAAATAGCATACAATGCACTCAAACTTGACATTATCCGGTTTCTAATCACAATTGTTAAAAATCTCTCTTCCAATAATAATATCTGCCCAATGCCATCTGCAAAAGTAATGAAGAACTCTATAATATAACCAGGCTAGTCAGGTACAGGCAACACACGTTGAATAAGATTTCCGCAATTCCCCAGCAGAAAGGAATCCATGTACTCATATTTAAAGAACCAGCTTTATAAATAGCCAGTAGCAACAACCCAATTATCGCACCACATATGAACCCCTGTGCTAAACCTAGCAATAAGTACATCAGAACTAGTACTATACAACCCAATATGGTTCCCTTCAGTATGGGATTTGAAATCTTATGCCGATAATTGTTGGAAATTTGGTTAAACACAGCTAATAGCCCTGCAGTAAGATAGAACCCTCCGAACAATATTAGCGACCAAAATACAGTAAACTTCCATATGTCGAATGAATAATATAAATACAGTGATTCGAAATCAGATGAGGTGGGACCTAATGGCCAATAAAGGGATGGAAATGGCGGCGCTGTGTACCCTATCGGCACATTCTGGGAACTAACAAAGATCTTCATCCATATACTCTAATAATATCCCGATTCTCTTGTATAAGATACCCCATATAGTGATATTTAGCTCACTAGTAGTTCTCTATACTAGCTGTTTATATCACCTATAATTATTTATATGCAGGATCATGAAATCGAGAAATTCCTTGCCACCGATTATAATGGCCTTAGTTAAGAATAGGTATATCAAGTGAATAATTCAACAATTGTTTATTAAAAGAAGCCATGTCTAGAAGATACGATTCAAGAACTACAATCTTTTCCCCTGAAGGGAGATTATATCAAGTTGAATATGCACAAGAAGCTATATCTCAAGCAGGAACTGCGATTGGGATTTTATCGACTGAAGGTGTTGTATTAGCGTGTGAAAAGAAGTTTACATCTAAATTGTTGGACGATGATGGATCAGCAGAAAAATTGTACGTGTTGAATGATAATATGATTTGTGCAGTTGCTGGTATGACGGCCGATGCTTCTATATTAGTGAACAACGCTAGAGTAAACGCACAACAGTATTTGAAATTATACAACGAAGATATTCCATGTGAATCATTAATTAGAAAAATATGCGATATTAAGCAAGGTTACACCCAGCATGGTGGTTTGAGACCGTTTGGGGTGTCATTTTTATACGCGGGATATGACGATAGATACAAGTTCCAATTGTTCACTTCCAATCCTTCAGGTAACTATTCTGGATGGAAGGCCACTAGTATTGGTGCCAACAACTCGGCTTCGCAAACATTATTAAAGAAAGATTACAAAGATGACTTGAATTTGAAGGAAGCGTGTGAATTAGCAATAAAGATCTTATCCAAAACAATTGATAACTCGAACTTGAATAGCGATAAATTAGAATTTGCTACTTTAAGCCATTCTTCTAATAAAGAGAAAATAGTCCATAAGATTTGGGGTTCTGAAGACATCGATTCATTGATCAAAGAGTCTGGTGTATTAGATAGAGTAGATGAAGAGTAAGTACAGATTTACATAATAAACAAGAAAAATCATTGATAAGTCATATTATGCTATTGTAGCTAGTTGCAAGATTTGGAATAGTAGCTTACCAGCTACCTAAATGTCTATAAGAACAAGATCGTGATGATCTATCTGTAATCCATCTATCTGTATAATACCTCGTTATAACGATTTTGTGTCACTCCAATATCATATAAATTTAGATAGAGCTTGCTACTGTCCGAGTACGTATCCTTCAAGACCAGGCAATAATGACGGAGATTTTTAAAGCTAATGTAAAAAGTTCGAAACTAATTGATGAGATCAACTCGACAAACACAATATCGGCAGAATTGTGCCAGGTATTCTCTGATTTGAATCAATTTACCAACAGCTACTTGACAAACCACTTGCTACCCACTATTGATGAGTTAACTGACACTTACAAACATGATAAAGATTTAAAGATTTTACTGAATTGTTTCCAGCAATTATGCTATTTCTTAGGCGTTGATAAGAACTGTACGAATTTGTTAATTAATTACAATCAATTGATATCTATCGCAAAACAATTAGAGAAGTTGTCTCCACCAGAGGAAATCGAAATCAAAGATGCAAAATATACGGAAATTGTGAATTCTTTAAACAATTTAATCAACATTTATTTGATTTTGATTATTTATTCCAAAAAATCGAACTCATTGATCTATAATACAATCCACTATAAGAATCAGTTAAATTATTGGAATGATTTGAAAAATTCGCCATTGAATAAATTAATCTACTTTATTCAGATTTCGCCAGTTAAGTTGTACGAGCTAGGGCAAATTATATTGGCCAATTTTAAAGAGATATTTCAAACCTCAATGGAGCAAGATTTAGTTAGTAATGCTAAGCTCTTCATCAACTCGAGTCAAAAGACTATTCTCAAATTATTGAACAAGGCTCCGACATTTTCGATGTACCAAATGAATACGAATAGATTGAGTCAGCTCAATTTCATCTATCAAACACCGATTAATATTATCAACAAGGAAATACAAAGTAAGGTTGATCACTTAAATTCTAAAATCACCCTTAACTGTGAAGCTTTAGGGGAAATGATTAATAGTTTACCAAAGGAAATCCCCCAAAACATTACCGATAATTTCAAGAACCTATCGTTATATGAACATTTGGAGAAATTGGACAATAAGTCTTCGGATCCAATAAATAGTAGAATATTGAAATTGGTCAAAGAAAAGTCAGCTGCAGAGAATACAAAGCCTTCAAGGTTGGTTCGTTATTGGCCTGTCATATTAACGGTTTTAAGATATGGACCCTCAAGCTCGATTAACTTGTATCAGAACCGGTACGAAATCGCTAAATGGATAAAGTTTAATCTTATCGATACTGTTATTGGATTCGGAAAAAATTGGGTTATAAAACCCATCAACGATATGCTAAGCATTTTAAGACACGATGACAATTTTAACGAACTAAGCATCATCAGTAAGGACTCTTTACAATCGGATTTAGGTTCTTTGGAGAGAATGGTCATTGACTACGTGGTTGATTACGATAAGGTAGACAAGGCAGAAATCACTAAACAGATCCATGAAGCTATTCAAGAAGGAAACTTAACCATGTTGATGTCAAACTACGAGCAGGATATACGCAATCCATTCAAATCTTTGGCCAAAGGTTCGTTGGTAAGAGGCCTCTTGATTCAGTTACAAAAAACAAAGGTTGACGGAGGCGTGGCTGTGAGCGGTATTGACAAAATGTTGAAGTCGCAACAGTTAGTGTTCGGAGTGGTAGCCATCAGTCCTTCCATATTGATCCTCTACCAAGCATACCAATTCATGATCAAAAAGTCCGCCAAACCTATCATGATCAACGGCAAACAATTGAATATTATATGCTTGAAATCGTTAAATAAAATCGAAAAGCTCATTAGTCATCCCCAGGACAACCTAAAGATGGGTGAGCTATTCATAGAGGTGATAAATTTGCAGCTTCACTCCAGCATGATTATCCCTTCGCAAATAAAGACAGAATGGATCCAGGATCTTAACGAGCTCAACAAGGTCAATGTCACCAAGGATATGAAGTTGGCGATTATCTCCAGAATATGGAACATGTATAGCTATTATTTTAGATAAAATACATTTTATGCACCTACGTCCCCGCCTCTTCTCCTCGGTGCTTCCATGCATTTAATTCCGTAGACTACGAGTTTCATTATCGCATATTATTGAACCTTACCGAACTTCATTCGAATACGATCTACCTGAGTGAACATTGAGTAAGCACTTGTATATAGTTCCGTTGGTCCTTCAAGCCCGGAGAATTCTTCTCGCTCAAGCCCTAAACGGAAACTATTACATCCTTTGCATCCACCGGAAAAGCCATTTTGCGTTACGCCCATGTCTCACAATGTCGCACAAATTCGTGACAGCAGTCAGATGTGTCGCAGTAATCGGCCGGACCAACTACACTACTGCGACTTTTCCCCTCTCCCTCACGACTGTAAACATTGCGGGGAGCGCAAATTTGGCGGAAGCCGATGGGGGATCTTCCTCGGTGGGGACACTAAGATACACAAAGAGGACCCCACCAACTGTGAAAAATAGACTTATCTGCAGTACGGGACATAAATGAATATTTTTAATATAACTCCAGATAATACCCTTGTTTATAATACAATTGCTATTGGATATTGGTGTCTATAGTATTTTGTAGTTAAGTTACACAAGAGTTTTGGATTTAAGTATAAGGTAGGAAATAGAGACGGGAATTAATATGGAGAATCTGGAGAATATTGAAGACTTGCACCAAACACACATGGGTTCAAGTACGAACCCAATAGCTAAGTATGGAACGAAAACAGCATCAGGAAATGCCCGAATTTTTAACTGTAAACAGTGCAATAGAGCATTTACAAGAGAAGAGCATTTAACAAGACATACGTTGCTGACTCACAACAAATTGAAGCCGTTTGTGTGTGGAATATGCTCGAGGCCTTTTTCCCGAAGAGACTTGCTTTTGAGACATGCTAAAAACCTCCATCAAGGATCTGAGTTAGCAGTAAGTAGGATAAGGAAGCTGTATAAGAGAAGTACCAAGGAGGAGGAGGACTCGGATGATTCCAACGACCATTCTTCCCCCACTAACATAACAGATTCTACGCCAAAATCCGAAAGTGCGATCAACGAGAACCCGGTGGTACAGTCAATAGAGGGAAATAAGGAGTACGAGTCACCCGAGAAGAAGAAGTTGAAGATGTCGGTTAATATGTTAGTAAGTTAGTGATGTATAGATGAGTAAGGACTGTTTCTATAGTTAAATGCATGTGTTACGTTGATTTGTATACTTGGATATAAAATGCCCTGATGTATGGATTTGTGCGATGTAGAGATGCTGATAGAGAAATAAATAAATTTCATTACGATAATGAAGCCATCGTTCAATAATGACAGGAACACCAGTATTTCAGTATAAGATACCGTACGAAGCGTGGTATTTTATAGTGACTTCGAGTGGGTTGCACTTTTATTTTAATAAGTTAAAACGGAAGTCTTATTGGCAATTGTATGATGTTTTCGAAGATAATCCTGGCATGGACCAAAATGAGTTTATCAGTTGCATTAACATGGAAGATGTTGCAGTGTTGATGAGCAGAGTGAGTGGTTTAAAGGGATTGGATGGATACTTCTTTAAGGAGTCAAAAAGAAATGAAAAGGATATACAGACGAAATCGATAGATGTGGATAGTACAAACACCCGTAGCAGAGACGAGCAAGGAGTAGAAGAGAAAACAATCGACAAACAAGAAACGATGGAAAGTGAAGAAGAGGAGGAAGAGGCAGTGGAATATGACAAAGATGCAAAAGAAGAGTTTATACGTAATTTGCTTCTAGAAGAAGGATACATGCAAGAAGAGACAGTAAAGAAAGATGAAGAAACTCCGGGTGGATTGAACCTAGGATATTCATCGAGCGAAGATGATTCTGAAGCAGAAGAAAACCTGGATATTAAAAAAGATCAAGATGACGATAATGAGGAAGAAATAAGGAACGATGTACATGATGCTAAACATAAAAATACCAATGAAGACCATAATGAGACAGATGTATATCAAGACCAATACGAAGAGAAAGACTACGAATCGCACAGCCAAGAGCAAAATGAAGAGAAAGATGATGGTGAACAAAGTGAAAAAGATCATGATGAACACACTATACATGATGCTGATGATAGTGACGACGAAACTCAAAATAATTTGGGTTTAGACCTATCACTCTCTGAGGATGAAATAGACACCACAAAAGACTTTTTACAGTTACTTGATTCTTACAGCGATAGGATATCGGTGTACGACCCATGGTTTTTAATCGAAGAAGAATTACTACCTGAACTTATTACAAAACCTGAATATTATTCTATTGATGATTCATCAGAAAGAGAGAGGATATTCAACCAGTGGTGTAAAGTTCAACAAGATGAAGCACAAGAAACAATTGCTGATGCTAGTGTCCAACTATCTGAGGTATATCCCACCATAACTCAAGTGTATTTTAGATATCTTCAAAATCATAAGAAGGAGCTCAAGAAATATTTCTATTCCGAATTCAGCACTAAGTTTTCAAATGAAATTGACATAACTTTTGGTGAAATACTGCCGAAAGAGAGAGAATCGTTTTACCGTCAATATAAAATAATGATAACTGATTACGCAGAATACGAAAAAAAGATGAAGAAATCTGGCCTGAATGATGCCAACTTGAAAAAGCTACAACTAATCACCTTTTTGAATAAGAACAGGAACAGTCTTCCAAATAATGCAAAAAGAGAAGATGTTTTGCAAGTAGAGAATTCAACTGAGGACGCATTTAGCAAGTGGGCGAAAATCTGTAATTTGTATAGTATACCTACTTCAATAGGTAATAACGTTAAAAACTTCATAGTCGGCGATGAAAAACGGTTGCAATCATATATAGAAACGATAACTAGGTCATAACTATCATACTAATAAATAATTCCTGTATCATACTTTTCGGAAATGTACTTAATCGGTCTGAAAAATTGAGGCCTTCAGACATCAAATATCACCACGTACCATGTCTAGAAGAATTGTCGTGACAGGCCTTGGGCTAGTAACACCATTGGGAGTTGGAGTGAAATCATCATGGGCTAATCTTATTGCGAACAAGAGTGGATTGATTTCAACAACTACGTTACCGGATTATGAAACTGCAGGGTGGGATAAAATACCATCGAAAGTTGTAGGTAAAGTCCCAGAAGGCCCAATTACTGAAGGAAAATGGACATCAACGGATCATTTTGAAAAAGGAGAAGCAAGGAGGTTTGCATTGTTTTCACAATACGGGCTCGCTGCTACAGAAGAAGCATTGAATGATGCTAATTGGTTTCCAAAAAGTGAAGAGGAACAGAATTATACTGGGGTAGCTGTGGGAAGTGGAATAGGTTCGTTCGATGATGTATATGAAAACTCTGTTAGTTTTTCACAGTCTGGATATAAAAAGGTCCAACCATTATTCGTACCTAAAATATTGACTAATATGGCTGCTGGGAATATATCTATCAAGTATGGATTGAAGGGCCCTAATCATTCAGTTTCGACAGCATGTGCTACAGGCTTACATTCCATCGGAGATGCATATAATTTTATTAAAAACGACTATGCCAAGGTTATGGTTGCAGGTGGAACTGAAGCCACCATTCATCCATTGGCATTAGCTGGTTTTGCAAGAGCCAAGTCTGTTGTGACGAATTATAATGACGATCCAACAAAAGCATCTAGACCATTTGACAAGGATAGAAGTGGATTTGTATTGTCAGAGGGATGCGGGATAATGATTTTAGAGGAGCTTGACCATGCTTTAAATAGAGGCCTCACAGAGAAGGATATATACGGAGAAATCAAAGGGTATGGTTTATCTGGAGATGCAAATCATATTACCGCTCCACGCGAAGATGGCGATGGTGCTTATAGAGCTATGGACATGGCGTTAAAATTTGCTGGAGTATCACCAGAGGAAGTTGATTACATCAATGCTCATGCTACATCTACAGTAATAGGGGATAGATCAGAGAATAATGCAATTGCAGAATTATTTAAAAACAATAAAAATTTATCTGTATCATCCGTCAAGTCATCAATTGGTCATTTATTGGGAGCAGCAGGAGCCGTTGAGCTGATATTTACGATCAAAACTATAAAGGAGAATATGATGCCACCATCTTTGAACTTGGATAATGTTGGTGGTCATATGGATGACGACTCATCTATGTTTGGCAAATTTGATTACGTTCCGAATCAAAGTAAGCAGAAACTAGTTAATTACTCCCTATGTAATTCTTTTGGGTTTGGTGGCACCAATAGTTCATTATGTTTAAGCAAGTACAAGTAGGATTATTGAAAAGTGTTGTACAGGAAAGTAAACCTTGCTTCTATTATATATCTTATGACAGCGAAACTAAATAGTAATCAATAATAAATATTATAGCAGAGTTGCCTAAATGGTCGAGTATTTAAATATCTTATATTTGATGTACAATTGCTAAGTAAATGAGAGAAGTGATATAACATCACTATAAATAATACAATTCTAAATGTTACTAACATTGATGAAGCAATTTATTTTTAGGGAAACCATACTCAGTTTGTTCCCAAGTTGTGAGATTATTGTTTTGATATGCCTTCGGATGCGCTTGGATGTAGTCATGCGTTGGATAATCCTCTGGGTCACAACTTACATTGATGGCATCTTCTGGCTGGTATACTCTGATATGATCAATGCGCATGGTAAGTGGGAAATGTAAAGCGTTCCAGTCGATATAGGCCCAATTATTGGAAATACCAAAATTCATAACCAACGACATTGGTTCCTTGGACATCAATCTACGCCCAACATTTCCATTAGGTCCCAAGGCATAAGCATGAACGGTCAATGTTGGATCCTCACCAACATGCCACGTCAAATATCCATCATCATCATCATTCAAGTATTCGTATCCATAGGTCTGGAAATTNTGTTCGTTGTCACCTTCAGAATACCACGATACGTTCAAAGTAGTTGTACCCGAAACAGCTTGTTGTAATGGACCACCTGTATAAGTGTTCAAAGTGGTGACCGAGTCATTATGAATTGATACGAAATTATAGTCAGGGTAATACCAGATATCAAATGGAGCAATTTGCATCGATTGAGACGCAACACCAACACCTACATCAGTACTAACTTCACCTTCAAGAACATCATATTCTGGACTACCCCTTCCTTTACCAGGACTAGGATGATCCTCCCCAGGACAGGTACATTTATTTAATCTCTGGCCCGGTAAATATGAAATACCATCAGGAGACGATTGATTTGCTGTGATACCTGCATCACACGAGTCGTAAGTATATGGCCAGACACCTTCAGTAGTGGCCATATATCCAGGACGACCTAAATTCCCCATGGACCATAAACCTGGCCATAACCCTGATACATTACCGTAACCAGGCAATCTCGCAGAAAATTCTAAGTACCCTTGAGTAAAGCACATTTTATTCCAACTTTGAACCATACCAGATCTGTAAAACAAATCGTGATTCTTGTATGCATCCATTCTCAAGTTTAAGGTACCATTGGCAGTTGTCACAGCATCCGGGTCATAATATTCCAAATCCATAGTACCACCGTACCAAAGATCTGCTGCTTGGAAAAATTGATCGTCGCCTTCGTAAAAGGTTCTACCTTCTGCATTAAACTCATCGGAAAAAACCAACTTCCATGTTTCACCCTTCGAAGTCTTTTTAGTTAAGGCCTCTGCGGGAGTATCTGGATCAACCAAATCTGTCCTAATAGCACTCAATAAAGGATAGCGATAAGAAGTCAAAATTTCGTAACTCTCAGGAATATATGGATCGGTAACACCAGAATATGTCAACACAGGCAACAAGATAAACACAACAATAGCTGCCAACACCAAGAAAATTACTCCTATCAACCCACCCAACGATCTTCTATCCATATTTTTTAAATCGTGAATGAATCTGTTCTTATCGTACGCTGCGTCCTCGATAGGATCTGGGTTGTGTAAGTAGTCATCCGGTTCCTTTTCCTCTATATGTAAAGGAAACGATGATGCAGGGTATCCTCCGAAAGGACTGAAGTCGGTTCCCGGCAAAAATGGGTTGGTAGACTTGTTAGAAATTGATGAATCGTCATCCGACTTACGGGGATTCTGCTGGAGGTTATTCGAGCTACCGAACATATTCGAGGAAAGCGAGGTCGACGACACCACTCTCGAGCCCGCCATAGATGGATATCTGTCGTATTCTGACGGTACTTGAATGTTCTGCGACGAGTCCACGTTAGGGATCCCCAAAGAGTTCCGAAAGCCCGTACTATCGTCTTGTGAGTTCTCGTGGGACAACAAATTGGATGTGGTCCCATTTTGAGAGTAATACCCATTATAACTGTTGAAGGCACCTCCGTAGTTAGGGTCATTTAAATGACGGTTCATCTCGTTATAGTCGTCCAGTTGACTTGAAGATGACGGTTGATTCAGCTCAAATGAGCTTTCTTCGTCTATGGGCGAAGCAAACGGGTTTTCCACCTCTTCATTTCCCTGGTTGGCGTCATTTGGCGTATTATACGTTAAATCCCTTTGTGCCATGATTCAACTTCTTATCTATGTTAATCTAGCGAATGTATCTCCTTTAAGCTGCAAAATCCAATACTCTCTACCCTGAATAGCACAACTTCTTTTAACTAATGGAACTTTCAATATTATGCTTCCAATATACCTAATATAAAGGTCATTTCATTACTTCCAAGACATTTGTGTCCTAAGAACTGGTACTAAATGGCTATGCAATTTTTAATTGAGCCACGCACGTACTTTTTTTCATAAGAAATTTCCACGCATGAAAGAAGAAAAATTTCGTGTCTTTGTGTCCACAGGAGTAAGCACCTTTTTCATTGAATCAACGGGCCTTCTGTTGGCATATTAGCACAAGAAATGATTGGAGGGGACAGGGGCGCAACAGGCCAAGACACTTGGCAAAATCATCAAATTTTGAATTTTATCCAATCTGTGTAGACCTTTATCAGTAGATCAAAGATCGAGATATAATTTTTTTGCAATAATGTATAGTGTGGAGTATTGGAATAATGGGTGGGTAAAACAAATGGAATAGAGTCCGGATGAGTTTATGCAGATTTCAGATGTTCAGCTACATTTATGAACAAGTGAATTTTTGGGCCACTCGTAGTCAGTGTCTGCCCATGATGTGAGATTGTTATCTTGGTAAGCCTTTGGGTGGGTCTCAATGTAGTTTGAGGTTGGATAATCCTCTGGGTCACAACTTAAATTGATGGCATCTTCTGGCTGGTATATTCTGATATGATCAATGCGCATGGTAAGCGGGAAATGTAAAGCGTTCCAGTCGATATAGGCCCAATTATTGGAAATACCAAAATTCATAACCAACGACATTGGTTCCTTGGACATCAATCTTTGCCCGATGTTTCCGTTTGGCCCTAATGATTTCGCATGAACAGTGACAGTAGGATCCATTCCAACATACCATGTCAAATATCCGTCATCATCGTCATTTAAATATTCGTATCCATAGGTCTGGAAATTGTGTTCGTTGTCACCTTCAGAATACCACGACACGTTCAAGGTTGTCGTACCAGAAACCGCTTGTTGTAACGGACCACCGGTATATGTATTCATAGTGGTAACTGAGTCATTATGAATTGATACGAAATTATAGTCAGGGTAATACCAGATATCAAATGGAGCAATTTGCATCGATTGAGATGCAACACCAACACCTACATCAGTACTAACTTCACCTTCAAGAACATCATATTCTGGAGCACCTCTTCCTTTACCAGGGCTAGGATGGTCTTCACCAGAACAGGTACATTTGCTTAATCTTTGACCTGGCAAATATGAAATACCATCAGGAGACGATTGATTTGCTGTGATACCTGCATCACACGAGTCATATGTATATGGCCAGACACCCTCACTTGTTGACATATATCCTGGACGAGCTAAATTACCAATGGACCATAAACCGGGCCACAATCCAGATACATTACCATAACCAGGCAATCTCGCAGAAAATTCAAGTAATCCTTGGGTAAAGCACATTTTATTCCAACTTTGAACCATACCAGATCTGTAAAACAAATCGTGATTCTTGTATGCATCCATTCTCAAGTTTAAGGTACCATTGGCAGTTGTTACAGCATCCGGGTCATAATATTCCAAATCCATAGTACCACCGTACCAAAGGTCTGCTGCTTGGAAAAATTGATCGTCGCCTTCGTAGAAGGTCCTTCCTGCTGCATTAAATTCGTCAGAGAAGACCAACTTCCATGTATCTCCGGTGTTAATTTTCCTAGTTAGGGCAGTTTCAGGAGTGTCTGGATCAACCAAATCGGTTCTGATAGCACTCAAAAGAGGATAACGGTACGATGTTAAAATCTCGTAGCTCTCAGGAGTATAAGGCTCGGTAACACCAGAATATGTCAACACGGGTAACAATATAAATACAACAATAGCTGCTAACATCATAAAAATAACTCCTATCAAACCACCCAACGATCTTCTATCCATATGCTTTAAATCGTGAATGAATCTATTCTTATCGTATGCTGCATCCTCTACCGGATTTGGGTTGTGTAAATAGTCATCTGGTTCCTTTTCGTCTATATGTAGAGGAAATGACGATGCAGGGTATCCTCCGAAAGGACTGAAGTCGGTTCCAAGCAAAAATGGGTTGGTAGACTTATTAGAAATTGATGAATCGTCATCCGACTTACGGGTGCTCAGGTGATTCTGCTGGAGGTTGTTGGGGCTAGTGAGCATGTTAGATGAAAGCGATGTCGACGAGACCACTCTTGAGCCGGCCATAGATGGATATCTGTCGTATTCTGGAGGCATCAGTGATGGTTGAAAAGGCGATCCTTCTTTCGATAGCAAGTTCGATGTGGTGCCGTTCTGTGAGTAATACCCATTATAACTATCAAAAGTGTCTCCGTAATGAGGATCGTTCAAATGATTATTCATTTGATTAAAGTCGTTCAGCTGGCTCGAAGATGATTCCCGACTCAGCTCAAATGAACTGTCATCATCATTAGGTGAAACAAACGGGTTTGCTACGCTTGCACCCTGCTCGTTGGCTTCACTAGGGGTATTATATGTCAAATCTCTGTGGACCATGATTTTTTCGGGCAACGAATTTAATATAGCGAATGATGATTTTCTTCAGGTCTACTAATACGAAAAACCAGAGCGTCAATAGTCCGACTTTCTCAGAATGCTAAGTTAATAGTGGGATCAAAAAAGTTCTTTTATTCAAACTAAATGGGAACAGAAGTGGTTTTATTCCAGAGAAGCTTTTTTTTCACCAGTGTAAGGATTTATATTCAATCTGCTGTGTTTTATTATGGGTGTTAAGGTGTATATGCAACTGTTATGAATGAAATATGCATAATCTGCGACTTTGACATGGCTGTGTTTTTTTTTTAAAAAACCTTATTTGTGTTGGTGTACTGATGAAATCAACCTTTGAATTCATTTAATTTGTAGCACGATGGTATGCTATAATGGACATCTCTCCAACTACCAAGTGATCTATCAATCCATACCAATATTGCGTAGATAGTGGATGTAATAGGGGATACTTGATATATGTGTCATTGGCTGAATAGGCTTGTAAAATGCTATTATGACACCCATTACGCAGCAAGCAAGAATCGAGACACAGAGAAGCGTGTCTTTGAGGCTAAGTTCCAGGTTCTCTTGTAACAAATTCGACCCCTAGACAACAATGTGTATTAACCATCTATCCACGGCAAAATTCAAAATTCGCGATAGTTTTCAGTCAAACAATAGAGGCCGCTACAAAATCACTTGCAGAAACATAGCTTGCCTGGGCCTTTGCCTGCATTCTTACCGGACAATACGGTGTGTATGAACCGATCGAATAGCCTACCTAGTACTAGACTATTGGGTTATTGTAAGCTTGTGAAATCTAGCTGTATTTGGACCTATGCTGTTGCTTGGCAAATTTTCTATAATTAAACGAATGGAGCTCGTCAAAATATTGTACATTTATGTTGCTATTATAAATTGTTCACAGATGAACACTGTGATCATAATTTAATGTACACTGACTGTACTTTGTATGTCATTTTGTCAAATTCTATTCATATCCACATTGCTCTAATTGTCGATGGTTTTTTTTCTTAATAGACATTTTCCCACTGCAGTTCAAAAAACAGCTGCTTTTGAGCCGCACGGGGGCTTCTTTCTAGTGAAATATAGACGAACTCACGTGATGGTCCCATCACTAACTTGCCCAATTTAATTCCTATAACCACACTGTAAAGTAGAAAGATCAATAAATTGCTCGGTTATGTAGGTCCAGCATTTAGCTTTATTCATAAAAAAGCTAATGTCCGAAGAATTCGTTTCCTTTTCTTCGATGTGCAGGATATCCACCAAACGAATTGAAAACTTTGGGTGGTAATGGAATTATTTTACACCGATGAATCATCTTGCGAAACATTTCTGAAAATTGTGTAGGATCATCTGAGGGATTGAACAAATGTGATGAGGGTGAACCCGAGGACATCTCCTTGAAATCAGCCATAGTTGGATATATACCGTACTCTATTTGCAGTTGGGTATCTCTAGAATCTTTACCATTTATTACTGGCTGAACTGTTAAGATATCACCTTTCTCAATTAAGCCTTTATTCGATAACAAGCCTTTATTTGATTTCAAGCCTGCCTCGGTATCATGCACCCACGAATATTCGTAGTCTCTTATAGATACATAAGCAGAATTATTTCTACGCATCTCTTGCTTGTTGACATGCAATTCCCCCCACATCGTTTTCACCGAGATGAGAAGGAAATGTTTATTCTATCTCAAAAACTTTATTGTTCACCGTCGTAGGCGAATTGTACGTCAGGTCCTTTTTTGCCATACAGTCAATTTACCCTTCTGTAATATTCAAATCAATTCACATCTTAGATTTGCCTGTGTAATAGTATCATCCAGAATATGGAATGACTTATTTGGTCTCCAATGGATGAACTGATATTTATTTGAATCTGTGTTTATTACAATATAATCATTAAATAAGAGTACGGCTATAAGAATTTGACACCACTATGCAGGGCATTCCGCCTAACTTGGCTACTTCTTAGGAAGAACATATTGACACATATACTACGCAACTATCATTGACATTTGGATTGCGGAAACATGTGTGTACCCTCTTACGAATGAGGACACCTTTTTTTAAACTTTCTGAAATGTATGAATTTAAATTTTGTGACGTCCGTATCGCTTTTTGATAGGATTGTATGTAGGTGGGACTTAACGTTTTTGGTGCCAAGATCGTTTAAATTTATATTTGGAAATATTTGTCATAATTCATCAACGATTTACGCATGCATTAATTGATATAAAAGAGCGACATTATTGAAAATTTTAGTTTCAAACTCTAGCATAGGGCAAAATGGCCAATACAGAGACTAAGACTGATGAATTAGATAATAGTTCAATAGAGAATAATGGACTAGAACGCCAACAAAGATTATTATCGTTTCTCTGGCCCAAGACAGTTCCACCGTTACCAACGGAAGATGAACGTCTCCCGTATGGAGAAAAAAGAGCAGGACTTATATCCAAGGCATTCTTTTGGTGGATGATACCTGTGATGAACCCAGGATACATAAGAACATTACAACCAGAAGACTTATTCACACTAACTGACGATATCCGGGTTGAACAGATGAGCGCACGATTCAGTGAAATATTCAAAAAGAGAATCGATAATGCTAAGAGAAAGCATGTTATTGAAAAATTTAAACAAAGAAATGAAAAAGTTCAGATACTTGATATACTGCAACACGATGGCGATTTGGAAGATTTCACACCTCCACAATTTCTTCCATGGTTTGTTGTCATCCAAACCTTCAAGTGGGACTATTTTGCTGCAATTGTATTTTTGACCTTGATGTATGGCACTTCATCTTGTATAGCGCTAGTAACGAAAGAATTAATTAAATACGTTGAGTATAAATCAGCCGGAGTAGAGTTGGGTATTGGTAAAGGCTTAGGATATGCTTTTGGTACGGTGGGAATGGTGGTTTTCACTGGTTTCATGGGCAATCATTATTTTTATCATGCTATGCTTGTCGGTGCTAAAACAAAGGCAGTCTTGATTAAGGCTATCCTAGATAAATCATTCTTATTGAGTCCAAAGTCCAAGCTGAAGTTTTCTCATGCTAAAATCACTTCTATGATGTCTACGGACACGGCTAGAATAGATCTCGGGTTGGGACTCCAGCCACTTATGCTCATTATTCCTATCCCAATTATTGTCTGTATCGCGATATTGATAGTTAACATTGGTGTTTCTGCATTGGCAGGAATTGCTGTTATTCTTCTTGTATTGGTATTAATTATGGGAGTTGGGTACTTATTATTCAAATATAGAAAGAAAGCAAATTTATCTACAGACGAGAGAATTTCAGTTATTAGAGAGGTTTTGTATAATTTAAAAATTATCAAGTTTTATTCTTGGGAGTCGGCCTACCTAAAAAAAATTTCTGGGATTAGGAATGAAGAAACCAAGTGGATATTGAAAATGCAAATTCTAAGAAATTTAATTATCTCGATTGCCATATCAGTTAACTTGATATGCTCCATGGTTTCATTCCTTGTTTTGTATGCAATTGATAGTGGCAGACATGATCCTGCATCAATATTTTCATCGCTTACTTTATTTGGAATGTTATCTGAGCAAGTGATTATGTTGCCTTTAGCTTTGGCAACATCTACCGATGCTCATGTAGGATTGCAAAGAGTTGGGCAATTTTTAGCTAGTGAAGAATCAGATCAGAATTCCCGTAAAATAGAAGCAAGTGGTGAAACTTTAGAAAGAATGCAAGAAAGGAATATTGCAGTAGAGGTTAATAACGCAATGTTTATCTGGGAAACATTTGATGTCAATGACGAAGATTCAAAGAGTAAGAGCGAAAAATCTGTTAAATCGAAAGATTCCTCGTTTTCTAATTTAATATCAGAAGGAAATTCAATGGAGGAGGTCAAAGAAAAAGAAACCTCCTTTAAAGGATTAGTAGATGTCGACTTAACTATAGAGAAAGGAGAATTTATTGTTATAACCGGAGTTATTGGGTCGGGAAAATCATCTTTGTTAAGTGCTATATCGGGTCTAATGACACGTATATCTGGAGAAGTTAATGTTTGTGGTTCGCTCATATCTTGTGGTGATCCTTGGATTCAAAATGAAACTTTTAAAGAGAATATTCTATTCGGTTCTGACCTTGACCAGAACTTTTATAAAGAGGTAGTTTATGCTTGTTCACTAGAAAGTGATATGGACTTATTGCCTGCAGGAGATAAGACAGAAATTGGAGAAAGAGGTATAACTTTATCTGGAGGTCAAAAGGCAAGACTTAATTTGGCAAGAGCTGTGTATGCTAACAAAGATATAATCTTACTAGATGATGTTTTATCTGCTGTTGATGCAAGGGTTGGTAAGCATATTATGAACAGTTGCATTTTAGGAATTCTTAGTAATAAAACAAGAATACTAGCTACTCATCAGCTATCTTTGATTGGTTCGGCTGATAAAGTTATCTTCATGAATGGAGATGGATCATTCGAAATAGGGAAGTTCCATGAACTACTTCAGACAAGTGTAGGCTTTAAAAACCTTATGTCTTTGAATACTCAAGAAGCTGTTCAAGACGTAGCAGACGATGAGGAAGAAAACGAGTTAGGATTTGCCAAAGGTTCGGCTGAAGAAGAAAGACAATATATTGAAGGCCAGTTAATGAGGCGAACTACAACAACTTCCTCCGTGGAGGATGAAAAAACTGAAAGACATGATTTTAATTTAGACAAATTTGATGATGGAAAACTATTTCTGGCAGAGGAACGTGCAGTGAATAGAATTGAATTCAAGGTTTACAAAAATTACATAACGTATGGATCTGGTATATTTTCAAGCTTCTGGATTATTTTCTTATTTCTTCTTTTCACAATATTGGCTACATATTTCGAACTTTTCACCAATACTTGGCTTTCCTTCTGGACTTCTAGAAAATTTCCAGATAGACTGGACAGCTTCTATATGGGTTTGTATGTGATGTTTACCTTTTTGGCTTTTATCTTGCTTACAATGGAGTTTTTTATACTTGCATATGTTACAACAATTGCTTCAAGGACTCTAAACTTGATGGCAGTAAAGAAAATTTTATTTGTACCGATGTCCTTCATGGATACTACCCCAATGGGACGAATTTTCAACAGATTCACGAAAGATACTGATGCATTGGATAATGAAATAGTCGAACAACTAACTGTATTATTCTATTTCGTTGCGAATATTACTGGAGTATTGATATTGTGCATATGTTATTTGCCTTGGTTCGCTATTGCAGTACCCCCATTATTATTTATATTCGTTGCAATAGCGAACTACTATCAAGCTTCAGCAAGAGAGATTAAAAGATTAGAAGCTGTACAACGTTCGTACGTGTATGATAATTTCAATGAAACCTTAAGTGGCATGCTTACAATACTTGCATATAGAGCAAAACATCGATTTTTGAACAAGAACAAGTTTCTTATTGACAAAATGAATGAGGCATATTATTTGACAATTGCAAACCAGAGATGGCTCACAATCAGTTTGGATATGGTAGGTGGGGTCTTCGTTTTACTTGTAGCCATGTTGTGTGTCAATCGTGTGTTTGATATTAACTCTTCTTCTGTTGGTTTGTTGATGTCTTACATTTTACAAATCGTTGGCCAGCTTTCGTTTCTTCTTAAAACGCTCACACAAGTCGAGAATGAAATGAATTCCGTTGAAAGAATTTGTCATTATGCATTTGATTTACCAGAAGAGGCTCCATATTTGATTACTGAGAGCTCACCTCCACCCTCTTGGCCAGAAAGAGGTCAAATTACATTTAGTCATGCATCTATGGCTTATAGACCTGGATTGCCTTTGGTATTAAAAGATCTAAATCTTAATATTAAGCCAATGGAAAAAATCGGGGTATGTGGCAGGACCGGTGCTGGAAAATCATCAATAATGATGGCATTATATAGGTTGGTTGAGTTAAGTAGTGGATCCGTTGTGATTGATGGAACCGATATCTCAACTCTAGGGTTAAATAGTCTTAGATCAAGACTATCGATTATTCCTCAGGATCCAATATTGTTTTCTGGTACTATCCGGACTAACTTAGATCCATTTGATGAATATACTGATACAGAATTATGGGATGCATTGAGAAGAGCGGGTCTTATTGATGGGTCTAAGATTGATTCAATCCAAAGTGAGGATCCAAAATCTGAAGACTTGAATAAGTTTCATTTATTCAAGCAAGTGCTGGAAGATGGAACTAATTTTTCTTTGGGAGAAAGACAACTCATTGCTTTCGCAAGAGCACTTGTTAAAAGAACTAGAGTACTCATTCTTGATGAAGCTACTAGTTCTGTTGATTATGAAACAGACAATAAAATCCAAAAAACCATTTTGAGAGAATTTGGAAATTGTACCATTCTATGCATTGCGCACAGATTAAAAACTATAGTCAATTATGACAGAATTTTGGTGCTAGATAAGGGAGAAGTTAAGGAATTTGATACACCCTGGAATTTGTTTAATACCAAGCATAGTATTTTTGAACAAATGTGCAAAAAATCTAAAATTACTTCGGATGATTTTACAATTAAAGACGACTGATATGGCAAGGTTAATATTATTGTGACATAGGGCTTAATTACGTACTTGATATGCAGTTCATTTACGATTCATTATATTCTTTATCCAAATGTCCTCAAATTTACATTTACACTTATTATTCTACAAGCTATGTAAGTTTGACAACGATGTGTAATGTTGGAACAATTAATTAAACATTCGCTATTATTACCCGTGGTATCTATACACATTAGGCTTTCTAAATTTTTCTTTGGCCTATTATAAATATAAAATTACTGTTTTTAAGTATTAACATAGACATGATCAGGCATCAAAATTTTAATATCCTTAAAAATAACACTAACCTCACAATTGAATTTTCTAGTTTACAAAAGATCATTAGAACTCCACCATATTTTTAAAATAGGTGTGGAACCTAACTATAATTTGCATTTAATTTTGACGTGATCTGCATGCAGGTATTATTCGATAATTCTTTTACTTAAGCGTCTGATTAAGTGATATCGTTGAAAGTATCAAGCATATATGCAATATTATTGTCGAGAGGTGTTGCATAGCCCGAAAATTATCTTACCTCGATCAAAACGTGTATAGTGTAGATGAAGAACAATACTCCAATCATACTAGGAGAATGAGAAAGCAGCAACGGAGCAGCAATGCTAATATATAAGTATTCGGCTTCCGAAAGATTAACATCCATGTATTAAAGAGTTTTTAGGATTATCGTATTTAGTGTCCGCCCATGATGTTAGATTACTGTTTTGATATGCTTCTGGATGTGCTTGAATATAGTTTGAGGTTGGATAATCCTCGGGATCACATGTTAAGTTGATAGCGTCTTCAGGCTGGTATAATCGGACATGATCAATACTCATAGTAAGGGGGAAAATCAATGAGAGCCAGTCAATTTGAGCCCAACTATTTGAAATACCAAAATTCATCACCATCGACATTGGCTCTTTTGACATTAATCTGCGGCCTACATTTCCATTAGGCCCCAAAGCCGCTGCTTCTACGGTCACTGTAGGGTTATTACCCACATACCATGTCAAGTACCCGTCATCATCGTCGTTTAAATACTCGTATGCGTATGTCTGGAACTTTTGCCCCACGCCCTCTGAGTACCAGGTTCGGTTTAATACAGTTGTACCAGATACAGCTTGCTGCAATGGACCTCCAGTATACGTATTAATGGTGGTTACTGATTTATTATAAATGGAAACAAAATTATAATCAGGATAATACCAAATATCAAACGGAGCAATTTGCATGGACTGGGATGCAACCCCAATCAACTTTTCTAGATCCATTTCACCTTCAAGAACATCATATTCTGGAGCACCTCTTCCTTTACCTGGACTAGGATGATCCTCTCCAGAACAGGTACATTTGTTCAATCTTTGACCTGGCAAGTACGAAATACCATCAGGAGATGATTGGTTTGCTGTGATACCTGCATCACATGAGTCATATGTATATGGCCATATACCTTCGGTACTGGCCATGTATCCTGGACGGCCTAAATTACCCATAGTCCATAAACCTGGCCATAAGCCGGTGGCATTACCATAACCTGGTAACCTCGCAGAGATTTCAAGTAATCCTTGGGTAAAGCACATTTTATTCCAACTCTGAACCATACCAGATCTGTAAAACAAATCGTGGTTCTTGTATGCGTCCATCCTTAAGTTCAAGGTACCATTGGCAGTCGTTACAGCATCTGGGTCATAATATTCCAAATCCTCAGTACCACCGTACCAAAGGTCTGCTGCTTGGAAAAACTGATCATCACCTTCATAGAAGGTTCTACCTGCTGCATTAAACTCGTCGGAGAATACTAACTTCCATGTGGCATCCTTGGAAGTCTTTTTGGTTAGTGCATTTTCCGGTGTATCTGGATCAACCAAACCTGTCCTAATAGCACTCAATAAAGGATAGCGATAAGAAGTCAAAATTTCGTAACTTTCTGGCGTATATGGCTCAGTGATACCAGAATACGTCAATATAGGTAACAAGATGAATACTACAACTGCAGCTACAATTAAAAATATGACCCCTAGTAACCCACCTAACGACCTTCTATCCATATTTTTCAAATCGTAGAAAAACCTGTTTTTATCGTAAGCTGCATCCTTGAGAGGATCAGGGTTGTGTAAATAATCATCTGGCTCTTCCTCATCTATATGCAATGGAAATGATGTCGCCGGATACCCACCAAAAGGACTAAAGTCTTTTGACACCAAGAGCGGCTTACTTGATTTATTTGACGTGGACGAGTCGTCATCTGGGTTTGGAATGTTCTGAGAATTGAATACGTTCGATGTGAGTGAAGTAGTTGAAACCATCTTTGATCCAGTCATAGTGGGATATCTGTCATACTCCAGTGGCACTTGAATGTTCTGGGAATGTTGAGTATTGGTGATTCCTGGTGAATTCTGAATACCATTACTTTCATCTGACGAATATTCATTCAAATATCTCTTAGTAGGATTTCTCGAGTAATATCCATTATAGTCTTTGAAACTGACATCATAAACTGGATTGCCCAGATGGCTGTTAATCCTTTCATAATCTTCCAGCTGACTTGAGGACCAGCGTTCGTTCAGTTCAAATGAACTCTCCTCGTCTATAGGCAGAGTAAACGGATCTTCAACTTCCAAGTCGTCATTATATCTCTCCCTCGGTGTATTATATGTCAAATCTCTTTTTGCCATTTTCAATTTATCGTTCAGCAGTTATTTCACACCAATTATACCAGTCAGTACTCAATCGTGAAATATAAGAAGTTTCTATGCTGTTAAAGTTGTCCTACCATCAAAGTAAGAAGAAAGATTTTTAAATAAGAAAACTTTCGGAAAAATCTTTCTGGCGTCTTTTAGTTCGAACAAACGTCTAGTTGATTGAATAACATTCCGATGTAGGGATGTTATAAGATATGCAACCAAAATTTACTAGAATAGGTACTTATTCTCCACAGATATGGAGGGTGGCTGGAGGCAACGCCTCCAAATGAACGATTATGAGTGATGCAGGGGTTAGGAACAGACATATTTTGGGGGCATTGGCAGTTATATATTTGAATCGACTCACTGGGGTAATTGTAAGAATTGTACAAAGGAAATAATAGGTGTATGGACCTAGATAAACTTTTTGACTCGCAGTAAATGCAAAATATATGCGCGAATATGTACCTTTGTCTAACACCATTAGCCTAGACTAAAACGGCTTGTATAAATATTTGTGTACTGCCTCTATACAATATTAAAATAACTACAGAGATATGATATGATGCTGTCAATATAACAAAAGCAATAATGAAATGGATAAGTTTAGACAGAAGAACTCAAAATCTGTCTATTTCTCACCAAACGGTAGATTCTAACACTTATGGATTAAAGAATTTTTAGGGAAATCATATCCAGTTTCTTCCCAAGACGTGAGGTTGTTGTCTTGATATGCCTTCGGGTGTGCTTGGATATAGTTATAAGTTGGGTAATCTTCTGGGTCACAGGTCAAATTTATGGAATCTTCTGGCTGGTATAACCTAACATGGTCAATACGCATAGTAAGTGGGAAAAATAGAGCATTCCAGTCGATATAGGCCCAACTATTCGAAATACCAAAATTCATAACCAAGGACATTGGTTCCTTGGACATCAATCTTTGCCCAATGTTTCCATTAGGACCTAAAGCTGCTGCTTTTACAGTGACAGTAGGATCCATTCCAACATACCATGTCAAATATCCGTCATCATCGTCATTTAAATATTCGTATCCATAGGTCTGGAAATTGTGTTCGTTGTCACCTTCAGAATACCACGACACGTTCAAGGTTGTTGTACCAGAAACCGCTTGTTGTAATGGACCACCAGTATAAGTGTTCATAGTGGTAACTGAGTCATTATGAATTGATATGAAATTATAGTCAGGATAATACCAGATATCAAATGGAGCAATCTGCATCGATTGTGACGCCACACCAACACCTACATCAGTGCTAACTTCACCTTCAAGAACATCATATTCTGGAGCACCTCTTCCTTTACCTGGACTAGGATGATCCTCTCCAGAACAGGTACATTTGTTCAATCTTTGACCTGGCAAATACGAAATACCATCCGGAGATGATTGGTTTGCTGTGATACCTGCATCACATGAGTCGTATGTATATGGCCATACACCTTCGGTACTGGCCATGTATCCTGGACGGCCTAAATTACCCATAGTCCATAAACCTGGCCATAAACCGGAAATATTACCGTAACCAGGCAATCGGGCTGAAATTTCAAGTAATCCTTGGGTAAAGCACATTTTATTCCAACTTTGAACCATACCAGATCTGTAAAACAAATCGTGATTTTTATATGCGTCCATTCTCAAATTCAAAGTACCATTAGCGGTGGTCACCGCATCAGGATCGTAGTACTCCAAATCTTGAGTACCACCATACCAGATATCTGCAGCCTGAAAGAATTGATCATCGTCCTCATAGAAAGTTCTGCCATCCGCATTAAACTCGTCAGAGAACACCAACTTCCATTCATCACCGTTGTTAGCCTTTCTAGTTAAGGCAGCTTCAGGAGTGTCTGGATCGACCAAATCGGTTCTGATAGCACTCAAAAGAGGATACCGATACGAGGTCAAAATCTCGTAGTTCTCAGGAGTATAATGTTCGGTAACACCAGAATATGTCAACACAGGTAACAAGATAAACACCACAATAGCTGCCAACATCATAAAAACAACTCCTAACAATCCACCTAAAGATCTTCTGTCCATATTCTTCAAGTCATAAATGAACCTGTTCTTGTCATATTTCGCATCTTTGATAGGATCAGGATTGTGCAAATAGTCATCCGGTTCCTTTTCATCTATATGCAAAGGAAATGATGTAGCAGGGTATCCTCCAAAAGGACTGAAGTCGTTCTCAACAAGCGGATTTGTCGACTTATTTGATATGGAGGAATCGTCTCCTTCTGACTCAGGTACATTCTGCGCATTGCGAACGTTCTGGGCACTGTTATACATATCTGACGAGAGAGATGTCGATGATACTACCCTTGAACCTGCCATTGACGGATATCTATCGTACTCTGATGGTATATATAAATTTCTCGACGAACTTATCCTACCTATTCCCATAGAGTTACGTATGCCCAACGTATCTTCAGACGTCCCATCATTGGGTAACAAATTCGATGTGGTCCCGTTCTTCGAGTAATATCCATTATAATTGTTAAATGTTCCTCCATAATTAGGATCGTTCATATTTATTTGACTATTATCCTCCAGTTGGCTCGGGGATAAATCCTGATTCAGCTCATACGAGCTCTCTTCATCTATTGGTGAAATAAATGGATTCTCAATTTCGGGCTCCGTATTGTACCCTGTATTTGGCACATTATATGTTAAATCTCTTTGTCCCATGATTAAACAATATTTTGTATTTTAATGAATGTGCTGTGTATTTCAACTTGGTTTCCTTTCTGTTATTTAGCCCAAAAAATGTCTATGTCTAAGTATAAATTTTGATTAGATCAAGAAAAAAGATTGATATTATTAACGGAAAATCTATTCGACATGTTTGTTTAGGCGGATGAATTGGTGATATTGAGATGCTCTGCGATGTATGGATGTTCTGCGACTTGCGACACATATGACATGCTGTGGATGCCAAAATCTTCAAGAATACTACGGGTGTACGGATGCTATTTGACAAAAACTTACGATTATGAGTGATGCTTGGTTACGAACGTCCCAAACATCTAAATATAGTATATGATTATGATTTTGGCGCATTTCCACAATAGCGGGCATAATTATACTTTCGGTGATCAAAATCACGCATATAGCGTACGTGAATTGAAGTACGTTAAAAAGGTTAATGTTTAGCATATTTAAACTATACTTATATTTAAATTTATTCAACTATTACGAATGATGCTACATATAATACGAAAATATGATTTGAAACACTAGGTATGAATATACATTAAATAATAAATTGTCTATAAGGGATACTGAAAGGATTATGTAAGGAATTATAGAGGATAAGCGCTCAAGGGCGTAGAAGCCTTGTAGATATTAAGAGGCTTGTAATACTGAAGAATTGAAACTTTCATGAAATGTTTATAATCAGCAACCATGGACTAAAGAATTTTTGGGAAAACTATATTCAGTTTCTTCCCACGAGGTAAGGTTGTTATTCTGATAAGCCTTGGGATGTGCTTGAATATAATCATACGTTGGGTAGTCGTCAGGGTCACAGGTTAAATTAATAGCGTCTTCAGGCTGGTATAATCGGACATGATCAATACTCATTGTAATAGGAAATTTCAACGAGTTCCAGTCGATATAGGCCCAGTTGTTGGAAATACCAAAATTCATCACCATAGACATTGGTTCCTTGGACATCAATCTGCGACCAATGTTTCCATTAGGACCTAAAGCTGCTGCTTGTACAGTGACGGTTGGATCAGTACCAACGTACCATGTCAAATATCCATCATCATCATCATTTAAATATTCATAACCGTATGTCTGGAAATTTTGCCCAACCCCTTCAGAATACCACGAGTGGTTCAAGGTTGTTGTACCAGAAATCGCTTGCTGTAATGGACCACCGGTATACGTATTCATCGTGGTTACCAATTTGTCGTAAATCGATATAAAGTTGTAATCAGGATAATACCATATATCAAACGGAGCAATTTGCATAGATTGTGATGCCACAGGTACTAAGGTATCTGGGTCAATTTCACCTTCAAGAACATCATATTCCGGTGCACCTCTTCCTTTACCGGGATTAGGGTGGTCTTCACCAGAACAGGTACATTTGTTCAATCTTTGACCTGGTAAGTACGAAATACCATCAGGAGATGATTGGTTTGCTGTGATACCGGCATCACACGAGTCATATGTATATGGCCACAATCCTTCAGTACTGGCCATGTATCCAGGGCGACCTAAATTTCCCATGGACCATAAACCGGGCCACAACCCTGATACATTACCATAACCAGGCAATCGCGCAGAAAATTCTAGGAAACCTTGGGTGAAACACATTTTATTCCAACTTTGAACCATACCAGATCTGTAAAACAAATCGTGATTTTTATATGCGTCCATTCTCAAGTTCAAAGTACCATTGGCAGTAGTTACAGCATCAGGATCATAGTATTCCAAGTCGATAGTACCACCGTACCAAAGGTCTGCAGCTTGGAAAAACTGATCGTCACCTTCGTAGAAGGTTCTGCCTTCTGCATTAAATTCATCGGAAAAGACCAACTTCCACGTTTCACCCTTAGAAGTCTTTTTAGTTAATGCATCTTCAGGAGTATCTGGGTCAACCAAATCGGTCCTGATAGCACTCAATAGAGGATATCTATATGAAGTTAATATCTCGTAACTCTCTGGCGTATATGGATCGGTAACACCAGAATATGTTAATACGGGTAGCAAGATAAACACCGCAACTGCAGCTACCACTAAAAATATGACTCCTATCAATCCACCCAACGATCTTCTGTCCATGTTCTTCAAGTCATGAATAAACCTGTTTTTGTCATAATCCGCATCTTTGATAGGATCCGGGTTGTGTAAATAATCATCTGCTTCTTTTTCATCTATATGTAAAGGAAATGATGAAGCAGGGTATCCACCAAATGGACTGAAATCATTCCCAGGTAAAAAAGGGCTCGAAGATTTTTTTGACACCGGCAAATCGTTTTCGTCATGTTTAGAGTTGATTAAGCTGTTGATGTTATTACAACTACTAAAGTTGGAAGGATATCTGTCGAACTCTATTGGCAGTTGTATGTTTCGTGGTACCCCCAAGTTAGAAACTCCTGGTGAATTATTATTACCCTGTCCAGCACCACGCAGTGTCTCATTGGACATTAAGTTTGTTGTGGTTCCGGTTCGAGAGTAATACCCATTATAAACATTAAATGCTTCTCCGTAATTCTGCTCATTCATATGATTATTCATCCGATTATAATCATCCAGCTGACTGGACGATGATTGATGGTTCAGGCCAAATGAAGAACTTTCTTCGTCAACAGACGATACAAACGGGTTCTCGACCCCTGATTCTTCATCCTGTGCCCCATTTGGGGTATTAAACGTCAAATCTCGTCTGGCCATTCTTAAATTTCTCTGATCGATACTATAAGCTTCGCCTTAAACGCACCGAACTATCTATGTCTATTACTCTTACGTAAATTCGTCTGGACTACTCCTAATATTATATATGATTATCACTAGAATCGTATATTAGTATTTTACTTCTAAAAACAATAACTTACCCCAACAATTTCGGGTAAGAATTGGTGTATGGATGTAGTACCTAGCGAAGCAAAACGGCAGATCCCATTTCTTGCTGCTAGCGTTGTGAAGCTTGGCTCCTTATTTATTAATGCACGTTATTCAATTAGTCCAAGGGAGTACCATTAACGGACTTGTGTTCTCCAAGGATGGAAATATAACGAGAATATAAAGGAATGAGGCGCGGGTAAGCAGCTTATTTTGTATATTATTACACTTCTGACTTACATTCGTGTACATGACGTATGCAACTTGAGCATATAATCAAACTAAGAGTGAACTACAATCCACAAGTAGATAGAGTAGAATTTGGTGATAATAGCCCTCTCGGAGTAAATGAGAAATATAAATAGCACTATCAAGTGGATCTGAATGTAAAAGAATAGGCTTGAATAAGTCGAAGGATTGAAGTTACCCATGGCTGCTAGCAGGACAAAACAACTAACCAAATTGGTTTTGAACTGCACATCCATACACCAATTAAAGCCGCCCAAGGGGTATACAATAGGTTCCTCGATACAAGAGACCGCGCAGCATACTGGGCAACAAACTAGATATGCTAGACATACCTTTGTCTTAAGTCAAGGTTAAGAACATATAAAGGAAACACAGCCATTGCAATTGGACTATAGTTATTTATAGTATGAAGACGAAAGATGGTGCTCAAGAATAGGTTGATAATACAATACGGGCTCGAGTTGCAATAAAAGCGCGACTGTGGTGGCCACATAAAGTACGTAGATTTTCAAATTGGCGTTTGTGATTCTTAGAGAGATCAGCCCAATGCCTGGCGAATATGACCAAATGAATACATGATTCTATTGATTCTTAGTATTATTAAGCCGAGTATCATCCATTAGAAAAGTACTCTCTGTTTTATTAGAAAATTTTTTTGACAAGATGACGCTTTTATATATAAGCGTGATCTTATCGAATAGCAGAGTATAGACTGCGTAGCCATAGATTGCAACCTATCTTGATAGTATCCATAGTATTACTGATTATGTCCCAGTGTTCCGTTGGATGCAAAGTAATGTATGCGGTTAGTAAGGGACCCCAAGAGATATATAGCATGCAATATTCGGAGGAGACAATTGGTGAATTTAATAGTTTCTCTAGTTTGTCATAACACTTAACTTTATTTTCGGAAAAGCAAATCTAATTATACGTATCTGATTAAATTCATATCCCATCGCTTTGGTTTCTTCGCACCTCAAATTTGTTGTAGTTCCGGTTCAAGAGTAATAACCCATTATAAACATTAAATGCTCCCCCGTATTTCTGCTCGTTCATATAATTCTTCATCCGATTATAGTCATCCAGCTGACCGTACGATGACTGATTTTGACCAAATGAAGAACTTACTTCGTCGATAGACATTACAAATGGGTTCTGGGTTCTATACCCCTGACTCTTTCATCTGGTTTCCCATTTTGAGTATTAAATGCCAAAGTCTCGTCTGACCATTCTTAAATTTCTCTGATCGATACTATAAGTTTAGCCTTAAATGTACCGAACTATCTACTCTTACGTAAATTAGTCTGAACCATTCCTAATATTTATGATTATCACTAGATCGTATATTAGTATTATACTTCTAAAAACAATAGCATACGCCACTACCAATAATTAACCGTGCACATGTATCAGAATAATAAAAAATATTGACAGTGAATATATGGAGATCAATTCAATATCGTTGTAGACTGCTAAATTAAATTTTGTATTGATACAAACTCGGCGAAACAAAGCCAACTGGTCGTTGAAAAAGCCAAATATTAGATTCTAAGCGTATTACATCCTTGTATTTCATACATATTTCAATCTATACTAATACAATTCAGTCGCTATGTTTATTTGTTTTTTTTTTTTTTTTTTTTTTTTTTTTTTTTTTTTTTTTTTTTTTTTTTTTTAATTTTACTCTTTTACTTCTTTATTTCAATATTTCTCTAACCCGACTGACATTCATTGTCTAAACCGCCATATTGAGACCAATAATATTCACCTACTATCCACGAGTCGTCACCTGGAGTGGATGACCCTCCTACTGACATGCAACCTTTATCATATATACCATAGCATCCTTCTTGTGTGCACGGTTGGATTTGCTCTATTATAATATTCTGAATATTTGACTCAACTGCGCTCTCTTCAGCATTTAGCTCATTTATCAATGGTAAGGCTTCATGTGGTTCTTCCCCATACTTAGTGTACGAGGCCCACATACCATCTTGGTACCTCTTACCCACTCCATCTGTTATATAACCACGTAAACTAGTTAATGCAATAGAGTAATTACCGTAATTAGTCATAACCGCATGATTACTATCAGACCCCGCATACACAAATGCTACTGTTGTGCCAGCATTAATATCTTTGGTAGACCTCTTACTTTTTCCATTTTTAGCAACTGTATCATTATGTCCTACCATTCTAAGATCATAGTGGTGCTCGCCCAAGATATATTCTGCCTCTTGCCATAATTGACTATCATATGGATCATGTAGGTGTATGTAGGTATTTATATTACTCATGGCCATAATACCGTCAGTAACAATTCTCGTTCCATTGACATAATAACTCATATCCAAGTTTCGTTTCTTCTTAGAACCTGCGCTGCCACCTACCTTATCCCAAACCCACTGGTCGATATCACCAGCAGCAGCTAGGCCAGCAGCAGCTGACATACCGAGCGCACCAACCGTGTACGATACCGCAGTATATAATGCAACCTCGGCTGCACCAAGCGGACCCATAGCACCAACACTCATTAATAAGAAGAAAGTAGCTCCTTCGGTACCTGCTACCTTTTGCCATGAAGCCCTCTTATCCAAAATCACTTGCATAGGTTCATTACTGGTTCTCAGACGCCCTAATAAGAAGACTGTCAAGCCGATCGTAGCAAATAACGTTGAAAATGTTATTAAGGTTTTAAGTAACCTAGTATTATGCATTTCACCTATTGGAAAATAGTTAAATAATAAAACGTTATATTATTATTAGAAAACAGATATTATTAGAAAACAGAATAAAGCTTTCTCTTATTATTGGTAAAATAAGTTTTTTATATGGCAAACGACCATGAATATTATTGTAAAATATTTTTATAAACAACTCCTTCACAACAGGGGCAGAATCTACGAAGATGACATCAATTTGCAGCACAATTGACACTAGATAGAATACCAATGCTTTAATTTTTTTTTTTTTCACTCCTCTTTTTCGGTTGCATACGTTTATTCTTCGGGGGGAGCCACGGTAAAAAGTGTCTGGTAATTGCTATTTCATCTTATTCTCAAAATGTGCTATTATATAATGTCAAATAATCAAGCAGTGCTGTAGCATTATGTCAACTTAATTATGCATGGCATGCAAACTTGATTGGAAAAGGCAACAGGGTGGATTTTTCCGATTGCTTTCTAGTCAATTAATACTAAGTATGTCACAAACATATGATATTAATAATTATTATTGAAGCTTGATATCAAATTGGTATACCCTTAGTTGTTCATGTTATCGGATACAAATTTATGAATTACTAATCTCTGGTATTATTGATAAAAATAGATGAAGTAGGGTCTGATTTTATGTCGCAAATTTAGATTGTTGCCAGAGAGTCAGTCCCTTCTTTAACTTTGATCATACCAAAGGATGGACAGAATACGAATTCAATGGTAACCGCTAGTAGTATATGTTACGATGCTTTGGGCGAATGAACAACGAGGTGTATGTTCAATTAGGTTTTAATTGAACATTTTTACCAGCCTTCACCATAAGTTTGAAGCAATCATTAGAAATATTATTACACCAGAATTTATAGATAAACTTTATCTATATAGATAAATTTTAAAGTATATTTTATGTGATTCTGATTATTCTGTTAACGTTAGACTGAGGATGAGTTCCTCATTGAAAGATAATATTGAGCGTTGAAATATAATGAGGGATGTTTTATTAATGAACAAATGTGGAAGATCCCAATATTTACCTATTTATCGGGTAACACACAAAGCTTTCAGCTAAACGCTAGAAATAACATTTATTAGTATAACGCATATTTAGCGTACGTAAGTGTAAAAGTCTAGACAGCAAGTTCAAAGAAGTTGTATTTTGAGTGGCGCTAAAAATACTAGGGTGTCATACGTTTATGTATCGTCGTATAGGAGTCATTTAGCAGAAATAGCTATGTAGAAGTTTGTCAAACAGGTCCTTGATTGATCGTCATTTGAATTATTTTATTGAAGTAGTGAAGTCTGCTAAAAAATAAGAAATCGCAGTCTATCTTTGTTGCAAGATATGCAGTATCAGTTTGTCTCTCAGTTTGTTCTGAACAAATGAGAGATAGTCATTCTACAGATGTCAGCTGATGAGTCGTTTGTCCCATAATTTCTTGTTGAAGTTAGCAATAGGATACAGTCCAATTGTTACGTAATGTTGTCACTATATAAGAAGGTCTGTATTTTTAGTATAAGTATAAATGTAATACTTTCAATAACTGAAGCATGTAAGTTACTGTAATTTATAGAGACTGAAATGTATTAGATTAATGATCATCTAGTTTGAACTATAGTGCGTGGATCATTCCAATACGACTAATCTAAACCTGTTGGTTTTGTGTCACTATCAGAATCCATAATGATTCCGAAACAATTCATTGTAATAACCATAAATAGTTATGCTAGTGATACTGATAGTCATAAGAGAGTATGGAAATAATCTTAATGAATTGAAATGAAATAAGACTATAAATTATGAACGAATCTTCAAGTAAAAGATGATTTTTCTAATTAACGAACAGCAATTAAGCAGAACACTTACTTGAGACCATCCTAAAAGTTATCGATAGGTATATCCATCATTTAACTACTTCTATAATAACTAATATTGAAATATAAGACCCAGTATATCTGTCATATAAAATATATATTCAGGTATTCATACGACCTTTCTCATAATCCCAATAAAACCAATTAATCACATGTTTAAACATTCAACTTCGTCACTGCGAAACAGATATTAGATTGAAAGTACACTAATATCCTATGTAAAGCTGAGGCATTTGGAGCGTTATAAAGACTTATCAGTTGAGAAATAAAACGCCGAGATGAATTACTTAGTGGCGAGTAACATCCAAAATTTTTCTTTATGGAGATATAGCTTCTTTTGATTTAATAAATAAGTATAGTACTAAAAATTAATCATTAAACCAAATGGTAAGATGCTAAATGACAATATTAAAAGTAGGAGGAGTATCAACTCTACAAGAATTATGAAATCTTACTATTAATTACAGGATTACATAAACCGTAAGTATATTTCAGAATCAATAAAATTTCATAAGAATGGACCGAGAAAATGCTATAAAAGAAGAACAATTCATACTGAATTATGAGCCTCTCATTTTGTAACTAGTAAACTAGCTGCATAATTAAAATCCTCTTCAATAAGAATTATAGAAAGTATTAAGCCCAATTAATAACATCTTCAGATCGTTATACTGTATACTATAACCCTTGATGTAGAATACACGACTTAACATAGCAATATATGTACACCATTCAATATGAGCTTCCGAGATACGATATTTTTCTTAAATTTCTTTATATAATGATGCATTGGATTCTATCAAACATTCCATGGAAACGATTGGTATTTATTTTAATACTACAAGTTGCGGCTTACTTTTGTTTGGGGAATAATGGATTTGGATTGATTTTAGTATTGGGGATTCTTGGAATAATCGTTTGTTTGATGATAGTTTTCATTCCGCTTGACCTTGCATTTAACGAAATAATTGAAGAAATTCTTATATCCGAATTTTTAGAGAAAAGGCCTTTCAAGGAATCTTCTTTGAAGCGACAAGAAATTTTAGAGGAAATATTAAGCAATGTCAATAAAAAGGTGAACCATATCTTGGGCGCCAACTACGGGTATATTAGCTCTTATGAAATGGTTCGTGGTTACAAGAGAATCATATCTAGATTTGAGGACATATTTGATGAAGTTTACAAGGAGACTCCTATTGAAGAAATTCAAGGTTGGGATCGAGTTTTATTACTAGCAAAAACCGTGCAAGATGAAGACTTGAGGTTCATCTATGAAGATCTAGTCCCTCCGGAATTGGCTAGTAAATCATGCGGAATAAAAAGGCCAATCAACTTCGTACCCAGTGAATACGAGTTGAATAGTGTTAATAAATCAAAAGATGTTTCAAATAATGTTTAAATAAATGTATTGACTTTATACACTCAAAACACTACACAGAGTCTCTTGATGCATTAGTCAAAAAAATACTGAGTGCAGAGTAGGATTACTAAAACTAATATTTTAAATGATAAAAAGGGGTAAAACCCAATCAAATTAGATTTGGCAACTAAAATAAAACAAGTTAATATGCTTTTTAGGTAGTTAGTTTACTTCATATCTAAACTGTACTTGACAAAATATTCATATGTTTGTTATTTATCGTTTACTAAACAAGGAAATATTTAGTAGTACATGCTATACCTAAATCCAAGCAAGCTGATAACATTGTAGTGACTTCTCTGCTTACTTGTTTTTAAGCGCTTTTATTCTTTTTTTAATGTTTTTGCTATTGTTATTACTGTTTAAGTTATACTCTAAATTGGCTAATTTATTTATGCGAAGCATGAAAGGATTATTACGATATTATTGCAGTGTTCATAGGGAAATTGGTCCGGGTTATTTCATAGAGAATACTACACAATGAAATCCTGAAATTTCTACATGTACATTGCTCTTTCTAACAAGCGAATGTTCTGTGATGTGAAGACCAATTGAAAGTAAAACATTTCGGATAGTTTTATGCATATGCATCAGAGCATCTTCGTTTTATGCTACATGAAAAAAATATCTCAGAATAAGTGGCCCAGATAGAGTACACAGTATTTCAGGCCCAATAAATTATGCAGCCGTTGAATTATCTAGAATAAAGTTGTGTCGTATACTACAGAATGGGTCTTTTTTCCGTTGCTGGTGGAACACATTTGGATAACTTCGCTCGAGCAACTTTCTGGGTGTATAATTCATCAACTTCTTCTAAAAATTAATGTTTTAGTGTTTAATAACAAAGTAGTAAACGTAGAAGAACAGAATGCCAAATATCCAGCGAAAACAAAGCTGTAGTGAAAGTGGATGTAGGGGTTGATGAATGGAGGGAAGAAAGGGATCAAGAAACCCTAAACTCATTAACTGCAGTGGCAATAGACTTGGCTCTGGATCTAATCCTCAATAGTCAAATTTGTTTCCATCAGACTTATTTCCATCAGACAAAGGTACTTATTTATAGTATGAAAAAAACGAGCGATAGTAGAGAAGATTGATGATATGATGCAGGCTTGAGAATTGCAGTAAAACGCGACTGAGGTGGCTACAAGATTTGTAGCTTTTCAGTTAGCATTTTTTCAAGACATTAGTCTGGTGATTACGGTAGCCCTTAACACAATTAACTATCGTGTACTAGATAATTATTTGCTTGCATTATTTAGAGAAGGGCTTCGAGGCTACGAGCAGTTTAACTACTATGTATATGTTATCAGGATTTTGATTAATGGCAAAGCATAAAGTGCAAAGTCGTAGATGATATATATTTGGGTTGACTATTCATATTTTACAAAGCCATGAATCTCAGGTATAAGATACAAATAATTTACACTCTGAATAGATCTTCGAAGATTCATACATTGGGTTATCTTATCGAAAAATCTCACGTGACTAGTGAGATTGTGTCTACGTTTAATCATTCAAATCCACTGTTTCTTATCATGACCCTATCCATCACTAAGCTTCTTGTAAGATGTCAGAGTATAACCAGAACTCAAACAATGACACGTTTCTATCACGGGTGTTTGGTCTCCACTCGGTGTATAACCAATTACAGGACGAGTATCAATATTATGACCCTGATGTTGATTATCAGCAGTCATTCATGAATGGTGGTGTCTCATCCAGCCATGTAGGTGAAGAAGGTAACGAAAATACGAACAACGACAACACTAATCTATTGGATTCTGAATCAGACCTGGACTCGTCGCTGTCACTTTCGTCGCCACCATCACCTATAGTATCATTCACAGGTAAGGAGCACAATCAAAATGAAGATTCGGCCCAAGTCCACTGGGATACCACCCGTCCACATTATGGGCAAGATAACGATATTACCACCAGCATACCCAAGGATCCGCCCAAGAACAATATGGTCAATACTGCGAAAAACTTCATTAACAAATTGCATCCAGCCACTGATTCTCTACCCATGTATAACCAGCCGCAACAGTTTCGAAAACCACCACCAGAAGGGCCTTCGGCTCAAACAGCTTATCAGAAAAAACAGCACAAATCCAAGAGGAAGTATTTGATTCCTCCTAAAGAGCGGGCACTCTATTTGTGGGCTAATATCACCAATATGGACGAATTCTTAACTGACGTTTATTATTACTACAGAAGAAATGGAATGCTCAATATTGTTTTGACTAGACTTGTCGATTTATTGATTTTAGCTTTCATATTGGTATTCACTGTGTTCTTAAAATGGGGTATAAATTATGACTTCTTCATGAGGTCATCGAGTGATCGTGCATCGGTTACTTTGAAGGATTTAGTAATACCTAATTTTATTAGTGAGATGGTACCTGTCTCGGTAAAATTGCTATTATTGGGCTTCTCTGGCTATATTGTCTTACGATTGGTCCAATTGTATTTTGACTACAACTATAAGTTAAAGGAAATCAAAAATTTCTATCACTACTTAATCGGAATTCCAAATGATGATGAATTAATGACTATTTCATGGATTGTTATTGTCGAAAGATTAATGGCATTGAAAGATTATAATAGCTTAACGTCAACTAATACCAATTTGCCTGCTCAATTTTTGAGTGATCTAAACTCAAAAGTTAGATTGAATGCTCATGACATTGCTAATCGAATTATGAGAAAGGAAAATTATATTATTGCGTTGATTAACAAAGAAGTATTGGATTTGTCATTGTCTATGCCATTCTTATCGAATTTTAATAGCTTCTTATCGAATAAGTCGGTATTGACAAAAACTTTAGACTGGAATATTAAGTTGTGTATTAATAATTTCATTTTCAACCAACATGGCCAGATCAATTCACATGTCTTAAAGGATTTTAACAGAAATCAATTGTCAAAAGAACTAAGTGCAAGATTTAAGATGGCTGCAATAATAAATTTGCTCTTATGCCCTTTTATTGTCATTTATTTCGTTCTATTATATTTCTTCCGTTATTTCAATGAGTATAAGTCAAATCCTAGTTCAATTTTAGGTTTAAGACAGTATACACCTTGGGCTGAATGGAAGCTCAGGGAGTTTAATGAATTGCCACATTTCTTTATCAAGAGATTGCACTTATCCATTGGCCCCGCAAATATTTATATTAATCAGTTCCCAAGGGGCTTTTGGGTAATAAACTTAATGAATTTTGTAAATTTTGTTTCCGGAGCCATTACAGCAGTACTAGTTTTGATGGGACTCTGGTTTGATAATGAAGAGCATAATTTTTGGTCCTTTGAAATCACTGAAAACAAATCAAGCTTGTTCTATATTAGTTTATTTGGTACAGTGTGGGCTATCACATCAAGTTCATTAACTTCGACAAATTCAAACACTTCTGAAAACTTGAATTCCCAGACTTCGTCCTTTTTCTATGACCCGGAGGCCAGTCTCCGATATGTATCACAGTTCACGCATTATTTGCCTAGTTCATGGAATGGCAGGCTACATACTGTGCAAGTGAAGAATGAATTTTGCGAGCTATTTTCATTGAAGATTATTATAATTATAAATGAGATCCTAAGTTTAATCTTGACCCCGTTTATTCTTTGGTTCAAAGTTCTGAATAGTTCCGGTGCAATAATTGACTTCTTCAGGGAGTATTCTATTCATGTTGACGGACTTGGTTATGTTTGTTATTTTGCCATGTTTAATTTTGAACAAAAGGATAAAAATATGATGATGGGTTTGAATAAATCAAAGCGCAAACCCAGAAAGTCAAGGGCAAATGCAAAGAAAAAAGCTGCCAGTAAATCTAAGATCCGTTCTGATGAAATCGAACTTGACAATGTGAATCTGAATAAAGCTGATAAGTCGAAATTAAGTGGTTCGGAGACTTCTAGCGATTCCGATGACATTGATGACACTGATATTAATAATGATTATTATCAGGATGACAAAATGATCAAATCCTACATGTATTTCTTGGAAACTTGTGGTAATGACAAGGCAAAACAGACATCCAAACTCACCAGCAATGAACAATTATCGACCAAGCCATCACGGATTGCAAAAACTGGCACTACTCAGTCAGTTGTAGGAGATCCTTCGCCCTCATTTTTGTATCAACCCTTAACGTCTAATAGCATAGATGATTCTTCCTACAATATCAATTACAATATTGATGAACAAGAAGAAGAATCCAGTAAGGGTAAAAGGTCTGGTGTATTGGGTATGATAAACCAATTTTATAAGCACGATAGAAATAGATGATATTGGTTTTGTGACATTGGTCGTCTCCTAAAAAAATTAATTTCACGCCGCACGATGGAATTTTTTTATAACTATGTATATAGATGTCTATTAGTTTATCATAAGACGTTATTAATATATTTATTTATTACAGGTATGGCCGGATCGCAGTTAAAGCAATTAAAGGCTGCATTAAAGGCTAATGGTTTAATTGGGCAAACCAATATTAAGAAGAAAAATAAAAAATCGAAAACCCCATCAGAGACAAGAAGAAACGACAAACATGAAATCTTAAGTAATATCAGAAAAGATTTCAACTTGTTTGACGGTAAAGTTAACAGAACCAAGCGTGATGTTACTATGATTCAAGGAGGGAAGTTCGTTAAAGTTGGATCAAAGCAACATAGTGACGCTACCAGAGCGAAGTCGGACGTTGAAAACTCGATGAAACTTCAATACGAGTTAGATAAAAAGCAACATGGAAAGACAGGGGGATTGGTCGATAGAAGATTTGGTGAAAATAATCGTAATTTGACGGCCGAGGAAAAAATGTTGGAAAGATTCACCAGAGAAAGACAGGGAACAAACAAAAAGAAGATTAACTTTGCATTAGGAAGTGATGACGAGCAAGATGATGATGACAATGATGGCTTTGTATTGACACATTCAGGAAAATCTTTATCTCTTGACAATGATTTAGATGACAGCAAATCGAATACCAAGTATTACGACGAGGACTCTTTAATGCCAGAAGAGGCTCAACCAAAGAGAAAATCTAAGCAAGAAGTAATGAAAGAAGTTATAGCCAAATCCAAATTCTACAAGCATCAAAGGCAAATGGAATTTCAAAAAGCTCAAGATGAAATTATGAATTTGGACGATGAATTTGGTGATATTATGACTGAATTCAACAACAACCCAGCGAAAAAATCGCCAGCATTTTCTAATAAAACTCCGGAAGAAATCGAGTATGATAATAAAGTTAGGGAGTTAACTTATGATAGACGTTCTGTTCCAGCAGATAGAACCAAAACAGCTGACGAATTACAAAAGGAACATGACACCAGATTGCAAAAATTAGAAGCTGACAGATTACGCAGAATGAATGGAGACTATGATGATAGAGAAGCAGAGGCAGATGATTTGGATGGATTCTGGAATGGCAGTGAAGATGAAGAAGAGGGATTTGCTGTTGATAACACCGACGAGGAAGAAGGGAGTTCTAGTGGCAATGAAGATGATATGGATCAATCTAAACCATCTGGAAGGACTTTAAAAAAGACGATTATTCAAATGCCAAGCACATATGAAGATTTTATCGCTTCATTGTCTACGGTTGATGAATCAAAGCATTGTAATTACATCAAGAAGGTGATTGAAACCTACCAACCAAGGCTCGCAGAGGGAAACAAGGAAAGAATGAATGTATTTGTTGGTATTTTATTCAAACATATTTTGCATTTGGCTAATGCACCAAATCCACCAGCAGAAAATATTAATGAAACAATGAAAATTTTGAAAAAACTAAGTGAAAGTTATAACGAGAAATTAGTAGAAGCCATTAGAGTTGAAATTAATGATATCCAAGAAAGAATCTTTAATTTACAAATAAGGGATTTAGTATACTTTGTGATGGTAGGCTATTTATTTTCAACATCCGATCATTATCATTTAGTAGTTACCCCAACACTTATATTAATGAATGAAAGTATATCAAGTATTCCATATGATAAGAAAACCACAATAAGTCAAATTGGTCAAGGTTTATTTATCGTTGATATTTTATTGAATTATCAAGCCTTTTCCAAAAGATTTACTCCAGAAATTGTATGCTTTTTGGAAAAGGCTGCATTGTTATTGATCCCAGAACCAGAAAAGTTAACAAATCAAAGCTTATCCATTAACAAAATTATCAAATCCGATACAAACTTGAGAACAAAAGGTATCAAGCCAACTGAAGATTTTATTAAAGTATCTGAATTATTTGGCAACGATAGTCAGATATTAAAATTGAAATTAACCAATAAACTAATTGATGTATTCGCTAGAATTCTAAGCATCTGGAGAGATAATGAGGTTATGATTGAGATTCTTTCATCATTTTCAACCTTGGCTAATCATTTAGCTATTTACTATAATTCACCTAAGCTCAATCAATTGATTGAAAAAATGAGCAAAATTCAAAATAACTTAATCAAGGAAAGAAAACCATTGGCCTTACAACATCACAAGGCTATTTCTATCGCTACATTTGCTCCTAAATTCGAAGAAAATTTCAATCCAGATAAGAAATCATACGATGTAAATAGAGAAAGACAAGAATTGAATAAAATTAAGAACCAAATTAAGAAAGAAAGAAAATCTACACTTAAAGATATTAGAAAAGAATCTAAATTCACAGCAAGACAACAAATTGCTGATAAGAAAGACAAATACGATGAATACCACAAGAAGATGGCCAACATTGTCAATTCTATCTCAACTATCGAAGGTGCTGAAAAGAATACATACGAACGTGAAAAGCAAAGAAGAAAAAATAAATAATCTCATACATAGAATATTAAAACATTACGATGTGAATATAGTTCAATATAGCAATACTGTTAAATAGAGTAGAGTAACGGCCTAAACATTCAACCCTTGGCTGTATATTCTTGGATCATGTAAGTTGGCTGATACCATCCTTAAAAGAAACGTTGTTGAAGGTGGGGAAAGAGACCTCACCAAAAAGTAAGAGTCATAGATGCTAACATTACCTTCGACGTCATTTCCGTTGAGCTCACTTATTTCCGTACTAAGCGACGATCTTAAGCAGACTTCCGCTAGACATGCAGTCAATTATTAATTACAGTCGTTTCACTTAGCCAGTAGCAATAACATAAGAAACTGCTCTAGTCTCCCTGAATTATAATTCCATATTTTCTGCTTTGCAGTCGTACAGAACCAATGACTAGGGTCATTAGTGGTATTTTAGTACCTTTCATTATGGGGTGCATTAACAGCTGCAGGTATACTTTGGTCAGCAACATTCTGCCGGTAGCTACATTTTCGCATGTACTGTCTGACTAATAACTTCTTTAACTGTAATGCCGATCCGTGGAAGGTACGGTAATTATAATTCATCGGAGTCACGCCAGCGTAACAAATAGTCAATTTCTAGCATTGTCCATGCCGGTAGCGATAGCAATAGTAGAAAAAAGTGAGAATTATCAGGAACACCAGTTCTATTGTAGTACATCACTTGATCATTACCCTGCAACTATTTTCTTCAAGTTTTGACCTAAAAGATTTTAACATGGATATAAATATATTAAAGACAATATATAAAGGTGAAAAATGAAAGAAATAATTAATACAATTGTCAAAATGATTAACAAATAGAAAATAACAAACGGCTGACGAATGGAAAGCATTAGGCAAAATTATCCACCAGCAAAAAAAGATTTATCAGTAAAATAATTGAGCGAGTTTTATATAGCCAAATTTTCTGTATCCGATTCCAACGTATTGAATTCTTATGTCGCCAGCTTTAAGCGGCTGCAACAAGTATTCTAGCAGTCTTAAACTTGGGACATTGATGGAACACCAACTCTGGCAGTAGATCTTCCAGATGATCCACCGAATAAACCTCCCTTTGAAATGGAAATAACGGAGAAGACAGTGGAGAAAACAAAGATGAAGAAGGAGATGTAAAGGAAAGCAACAGAAGCTTGAGCTTTTCTACAACGACCTGTAGAACCTTGAGTAATGTTGTTACCATCAAGGTAGGATTGATTGGTACATGAGCGACAACGGATACCAGCTGCAATAGCGGTGGCGGCAGCGAAGGTGAAGATAAGATTCAAGATATCTAAAGCAGCCAACACGATTGGCCATGCAAAAGCAGCAATAAAGTATGCTAAGATACCATAAAATGACGAAGTCAATATAGCAAACGCAGCAGCAAATACACCGAAATTGATTTGAGGGTTGGATTGGGTGATGGTGCTAGCGGCTAACGAAGCAGTTAAACCCAATGCAATGACTAACAATACAAAGTTAATCAAACGTAAAATACTATCTCCAAGGGCAAGCATTGTGTATTAATATGGTTTCAAAATGAATTAATTATTTAAATACCAATTGATTATAGAAGAACCAGAAAAGATAAAAACTAAAAAACTAGGTCACTGTAAGGATACATGGTCAATTTTATAAAAAAAATCATGGTATTGACTTTTTTCAAATTAGTTTATACACATTACCTAATTGGGCAGGTGCCTATTTTGCCTGGTCATGAAATAATTACGGCTGATACAATAGAGCAAATATACCTTAACTATGGTAGTGCAATGGCTTTCCGGTGTCCATCGGTTCAACCGGTATACACTTGCGCGAGTCCAAGCGTGAGATATGTTGCTATCTTCGTTAAATTGGCCCTTCGCTCAGCAACCTTGCTGCCTAACTACTGACTTCGCTACAATTTAGGTTTAGATGAAACCACTTTCTATTCGTCATATTATATTCTGCTGACTCCTGTCTTTTCCGCTTGTACCTTTTCGGAGACTAACGACCAATTATCCTAAACTAGTGCTATATTCTATATGATTTTGTCTTTTCACCCTTCTTTCTGTTTCCGGTCTGGCAAGCATCGATGCAGAAGAATATCTACCAGCACTAATTTGGAAATATATAAAACTAATTGGGATGCTTATATAAGTTTCTCGACTCCCGGACATACATGAATGGTTGTAAATTATAAATTGTCGTCTCAATGGGGCAACTATTCGACAATGTCGCACTATTCCGCATTATGTACAGTAACCTGGTAAAGTGCGGCTCGAGCCTTGTTGTTCCGTTTATTTTGATTGCTCTCTAATCCGGGACCTCATCGGCTTTCTAGCTGCATTATCACCGCTATATGCATGGAAAAACTACCGGCATTTCAGACGAGAACGGCAGAAATGTAGTATTTGGAGACCATAACTAGGTATAAACTAGGAATATTTCAATTCTGAAGAGTTAATATGATACGTAGTAGTATTCTAAATCATATTCATGTATATGAGTAAAATAGGGACAGTCTATGAGACACAATAGCAGATAGAAATGACGGATAAGAAAATTATGCAAATGAAATTTATTTATTTGTAGTTCGGACTAATTGAGAATATATGAAGTACGTAGCCGATGGAACGTTTGGTATTTATTTATGAAACGGACTATTGAAGAGACATATTGGCCAATCGAAGGACCAATTACGGGAAAGAACATGGAACACAGAACAATGTGTTCGACTAGATGGTTGATAAATGCGTCTATGCGATGGTAGCCAAAAAGAGGAAGTGAGGATGGGTAATGAAAACAAGCCAATGCACCGAAGTCTTAAAAGATAGGAACAGCGACAAGTGACAGGAAGGCGTAAGCGGAGAAGGGCTGGACAGAGGATGTTATCAATCTATACTTTCAACTAGAAGTGCTTCGCTATGTAAGAATCAAAAGCTGACAAAACCTAACACGGCTAAACTAACGTACCCGCGATTCAAGATGAAATTCGTGCAAACCGGCATTAAATGAGTTGAGCCGGCTTGTTTTGATAAATCAAATTAGCGAGGGAATTGGTCTGCTGCAAGTGAAACTCTACACGGTGTTATTCGTAACAAACTAATGCATTGTGATAGCCTTGCAATAGCTGTTAACAAGTCGGCGTATTTTATTTTAATATACGAACGTTGATGACGGGCGTAATGCTTGTAAAAGATGACGAAGTTAACTTCGTGCCTACACAATCTTCAAAGTAGTATATATGTAATTATGCCATATATAAATAGCTACGAACTAGAGTCCTTGGTATCAACCGGTGAGCCCTTGGGGGTTTCTGGTTCTGTTTCGCTATCGTCTTCGTCACCGATTTGATCGTCGTTTTCGTCCTCGCTGTCTGAATCGCTTGGTGGAGCGTCAAAAAATGGTGCCGCTATAACAGTCATATTCGTGCTTGGTTTTAGGGGTGCCCTAGTTAAATCATATTCATCATTGAGGTACTTCAAGTCCTCCTCAGTAAAATTACCCCTGGAGTGGGCATTATGCATGGAATTAAGACGACTTCGCTTATTGTCAGTAATTAAGGACGTTGAGGTTTGCGAGGTGTCATGATGACTGCCTTCTTTTTGCAAGCTATGTAAATATCTTTCATAATCATTGAGTGGTGAAGATGAGTCAGAGTCACTTGAAGAATCTGAACTGAATGATCGCAGAGGCGAAATAATATTCTTATAAGGGATAAGAGTTATATTCCTATTATCCAAATTGTTATGTAAGGCATTTCCATTCTCTAAACCAAAATCATGGTGATCGTCTTCGCTATTCTCATCATCGTCGCCATTATTGTTACTTCCACTTGATTTTTCAATTGCGATATGCGATATGTTAGGATTAAGAAGCTCTGAAATTGGTGTTGAAATTTGATTGGCGTATACAATCTTTTGAGATTTAAATTTAGTCGAAGCTCTAGCGTTCACACAGTTTTTGTACATGAAATCAATTTCTTCCAATTTTAATCCCTTCGTTTCGTAAACCATAAAGTACACAAATACGACGCCTAGAGCATTACAACCACCCCAGATAAAAAAGATTTTGTTACCCAATGCTGCGGTATGCTTACCAGTATCAATCAAATATGGCGTTATAAATGCAAAGGTAAAATTGACTAACCAATTTGTCGCTGCCGTAAGCGATATTGCTTTCTGTCTAATACCAATACCATATATATCCGAAGAGAGTGCCCACACAGCACCACCCCATGATGATGCAAAAAATGCAATGAAGACACACGAAAATGACACACATATTATTGAACTGATTGACTCATCTGACATACTCACACCAACAATTGCTATTATGAAATTTGAAACAGCCATTCCAATGCCGCCAAATAATAATAGTTTCCTTCTTCCTATAACTTCAATCAAAAATATCCCTGGTATTGTAAAAAGCGTGTTAACTGCATAAGTTACAAATGACATTAAGTAATAATTATTAATTCCTGAATTTGCAAAGAAATTAACCCCATAATAAAAAATAAAATTGATTCCTGAACTTTGTTGAAATGCCTGCACCCCAATACCTGTGAGCATCCTCGTAAGTTGCTTATTTCTCCCTCCACCACTCTTAAAGCAATCTATATAGGATGCCTTCCCAAACGATAATTCGTAGTCATAGTTGGCCTTGATTTCAACTAGTTCTTCTATCAAATCAGGGTCATCTGTCGGCACTTTTCTTAGTCTAGCTAAGCATTTTAATGCTTCTTGGATGTTATTCTTCTGTACATGGAATCGAGGAGATTCGGGTAAAAAAAGCATCCCAACAGACAAAATAAGTGCCCACAAGAACTGTATTCCCACCGGTATCCTATACGAACCCGAATTCATAATGTTTTTTGCCCCCTGGCATATAGCACTAGCAATCAACAACCCCCATGTTATCGCCCATTGGTAAGTATACACAATGGAACCTCTTACCCATTTTGGCGAAGCTTCAGCTTGATACAACGGCACAATGGCTGATAGTATACCCACCGACAACCCCGAAACAGCTCTCCCAACACACAAAAGCACCACCTCTGTGGACGACACCTGCAAGATGTTTCCCACATTAAATATTATCGCTGACGATACAATGATCGAAAACTTTCTACCCCATGTATCTGATATCAACGGAGCTATCAACGCCCCAAAAAATGTCCCGAGTGACAAGATGGCGGTTATTAACGCTCTCTCGTGTACGTTGAAGCTATGTCCATTCGCCGGGAAGCTTTCCTTCACGTACGTCATCTCCATAATATCATTAATGAGCCCAGTATCGTACCCATACAAAAATCCCCCCACCGCCGCCACTAGCCCCACCGTAATGGCACTCGACGAAGACGACTTCTGCTGCATCTTTTTGTAATATTCCTCCTCCGTCGAGTGATCATACATGATCCTATCTAGAAATGGCCACATTTTGTCTTATTCTTCTCCTTCGCTCGATGTCTATTTGTTATCAACAAACTCTTCCCTCCGTTAAGCTATTGTCCATTCGAGTCTATCTTCTCGATATTCTCTCGCTTTCTTCTCTTTGTTTCCTATTTTCTCCACCTAGGCGTCAATTATTAATTAATTTCTCGTAATGGATAAAGTGTCACCCACTAAACTGATTCGATACTCTTTTTTTTCGCTTGTCACCCAAGAAACTATATATACGTCTCCTATCAATATACTGATGCTACTTGTATCGGTCCTAACGATATCTATCCTCTATTATTCTTTGATTTTCACCATTTATAGCACTTTTTTGACTACTATTCTAATTAGTCTTACCGGTATCGCAAGATCGCGCGAGAACCGAAATTTTTCCAAATCCCCAATGATCATCGATTTCTAACACACAATAGACCCTTGTTGAGTTGAAAAAATGACTACTGAATGGGGCCTTATTGTATCTAGTATATGGAGTTGGAATCAGATCAATAGGATACCTCTAGCGCATAGCAGAGTGCAAAAGGTCCCCAATCATGGATCGTGAGTGGTATTTCCTGTATATAGACCAGGTTGCAATAGAAAAAACACTGTTGAGCGGTTAATATAAAAAGAATATATCGTCTTTTTGTAAGGATTGGTGTTCAAAGAGGCCGATATACACGCGATATGACTACAAATAGAGCGCAGACAACAGGCGAAGGAAACACGGCGGTAGAAATGGACAAAAAGGTCAGTTCTGGGCCATTGGGCACGGATTTGGGGCAGGAGCAGATAGGACGCCAACGACCACCCAACCGGGATGGAACACATGGCTTTATCAAGGATATGAGTGGATTGACGCGCAATTTGGTACACGGAGACGAGAAGTGCTGGGACACGGTTTCGGGGTCGTTTATGAACATGTTGACGTTCTACTTGAGCCACACGGTGTTGCTTGTGATCTTCTTCTGTATTTCCATATACAAGAACATCGAATACATATACCGAAGGATCTATTTGAAGTTTTTGACGCTTGCTTACTATCCCAATAAGACTCCGCAGTTAATTCGGGACGATGTGAACAAGTTAACCAAGTTGCCTAAACGGGTGTCGTGTATTTTGGACTTGAAGGACGATGATGATGAAAATGGAGGAGTGGAAGGGCTCATCAACGACATCAGCGAACTCACGGCCTGGTCTATTCTGGCGGGTATTCCCGTGTTGTCCATCTACGAGTATACGGGGATAGTGCAGCACCACTTGCCCGAATTGTGTCGGTATATCGTCAAGAACTTGTCGGTGTACTTTGGGACCGAGTCTGTTCCGGTATTTTCTATTAGAATCCCCCATTCGAATACCGTCATATACAGTAACAACCTCCAACAGTCGCCCACATTTGAAGTGCCTGCATCGATCGATTTGGAGATCTCGTTGTTGTCGAAGATCGATGGAAAGCCTACAATCATCGAGTTGACCAAGAGTATGTGCGAATTGGCTGTTAACAAGGAGTTATCCATTAAAGACATCACCATTGACTTGATCGACGAAGAGTTGATCGAATTGGTGGGGGTCGAACCAGATTTGTTAATCTGCTTCGGCCCGTCATTGGACTTGCAAGACTACCCTCCATGGCACATTCGGTTATCGGAAATATTCTGGGAAATCGATAACCAAGATGTCAACTACTCAATATTTATTCGGGCATTGCAAAAGTATTCGAATTGCAAGGTCAATGTGGGAAAATAAAAATATAATGTGCTTGCATTTTGGCTACTATTTGCTTTTTAATTGCATTCATGGGAAATAATATATAGGGTTACTAATAAATAATAATACTTAAACTGAGTAACTGTAGACATTACCTTATTTCATAACTATATCTACAATTTATGATAACAGTATTTGACATGCATGTATCTTTACAACTTTTCGCAATTTCTTGCTGCATTTCACAAATTTACATAAAAGTTAGTATTTGAAGCTAATACCACCTGGTACTTCAAAATTAGCATGCTACATGATAACAATGTACTATTCTATTATAAACAGAACACAGTGACCAATAATTGCAAAAGCGTCTACAAAATCATTCTGTAAAACTACATGCAATGTGCTCAATCTTACACGAAAAAATCACAAAACTCATTTATCCAATAACGATCAAAACAAGCCATAAAAATGCCCAGTATGTCCAGACTACTAACAGATTGATTACGACCTGCTTCAATGATACAACCCACTATCTATATGTAGTTATAAGTGTCTTAATATGATCTCTAACGCGTAGTTTGACTTTCTGGTACTAATTGCTAAAAATAGATATGAGGACATAAATAGCGGTCAGAAGACACTACACTTACAAGAATAAGTACCAGATATCGATCAAATTACATTGATCGGAGTGAAATATAGGCTTATAGTTGTAGTCAGCATTTGTTGTATATGGTATTATATGTTATCTACAGCATTTGTTGTAGATGATGTATTGTTACCCGCAGAGTTATAATCGAGATACGTGTAGAAATAATCTGAAAATTCGCCCCTTTCTTTTATTTATAAAGTTGAAATCTCTAGATAAACACAAACTTTAGTTTTATTTATAATAGTATCACAGTAACAACATGGGTTTAAGTATTTCGTCATTATTTTCAGGGCTTTTCAAAAGAAAAGAGATGAGAATCTTAATGGTTGGGTTAGATGCAGCCGGTAAGACCACCATTTTATATAAATTGAAGCTTGGTGAAATCGTAACAACCATCCCAACCATTGGGTTCAACGTGGAAACCGTCGAGTACAAGAACATTTCCTTCACCGTGTGGGATGTCGGTGGACAAGATAAGATTCGTCCTTTATGGAGATACTATTTCCAGAATACCCAGGGTATCATTTTCGTGGTTGATTCGAACGATAGAGACCGTATAGTCGAGGCCAGAGAAGAATTACAACAGATGTTGAACGAGGACGAATTGAGAGACGCATTTTTATTGGTGTTTGCCAACAAGCAGGATTTACCAAATGCCATGAATGCAGCTGAAATCACCGAAAAGTTGAACTTGCATTCGCTCCGTCAACGTCCTTGGTACATCCAATCCACCTGTGCCACCACTGGGGACGGGTTGTACGAAGGGTTGGAATGGTTATCCAACAGCTTGAAGAATGCTCCATGATTTGGCTATGTCGCCATATTCTCGTCATTCTCCATTATATCCCATCATAACCCCCCAATGGCGCCCGATGCCCGCTATCAGATGACACCGGTATGCCTCCATGCTCATGTGCCTGAAATTCCTCAAAAGTCTATATAATTTCATCACTTGTTTTAGTAGCTTAGATTTAGATTAGTTTCTATTTATAATGTACATTATGTTCACTCTATTTCGATCTCCCATTCCCTGAATCTCTACGTCCTTATGTTTCTTATCCGATTTGTCGTCCACCAATAAAGAACACTGGTACTTCTCTGCCTATTTTTTAGCCAACTACTATAAGGTCTGTCCATTTGAACACGACCATTTTCTCTTTTCTTACTTTATCATCAAGTAAAGTCGGTCAATCAAGTCTATATTTCCTACCCCCTTCATCGACTGCCTTCGCTGCTATACTCTTCCGTCTCCAGCCACCACTCTCTACTTCGACATCCCATGCAATTTGCAGCATAGGGCTGGTACCCTATGTGCACATGATCACAATTCCAGCTTTTTCACGAGGACAAAAAATGAGTTTTGTGTAACAATAATTTTCCAGTAGCATCACGAAGAATTTTCACATACTGGGTAATAGTGAATTTTAAACATATTGATACATAAATATTATAGTTGAATAAGAATACTTAATTGTTAATTTAACAGTAATAATAGTTCAAAATGGTATGTTAATACATTTAAACTAAGTATAAAACCTCGTAACAACACGGTGATGATAGCATGATACTTAGAAGAGAGTTATGAATGAAATTTATATGAAGACCGAAGAAGTGACCAAAGTGATGAAAGTTTTGTACAAGTCGACAAAAATCCAAAAGACTGGTAATGTGAGTGAATTAGAGACACCAGGAAGTCGTAGATTGAATGTGATTAATGGAAGGGAACGTAGGGAAATTAGATAGAGGATAATATTCATTAATGAGTAAGGGCTATCGTTATGGGACAGTACGAGGGATAATACGAGAAGATGAAGGGTGACAAGTACTAACAGATATAGGCCGGAGTTAAGACTTTCGAATTACGTACTAAATCTAAGGAACAATTAGAAAAGCAATTAGTTGAATTAAAGCAAGAGTTAGCTAACTTGAAGGTTCAAAAATTGCAAAAACCATCTTTACCAAGAATCCACACTGTTAGAAAGAACATTGCTCGTGTTTTAACTGTTATCAACTTGAACCAAAGAGACAATGTCAGAGCTTTCTACGCTGGTAAGAAGTACCAACCAAAGGATTTAAGAGCTAAGAAGACTAGAGCTATCAGAAGACAATTAACCAAGTTCGAAGCTAAACAAATCACCGATAAAGCTAGAAAACAAAAAATTGCCTTCCCACAAAGAAGATTTGCTATTAAGGCTTAAATTCAATTGATCTCTGGTTGATTAGAAACTTTTTATAATGATCTTTATAAATTTTTGGGTTTAATGTTTTAATAAACGTGTATATTTTAGTTTTATATCTATATTGAACTATCATGTTATAAAAATAATGATAATTTCTTGTATTGAAACGACTATGTCAACATTTATATATCTATCCTACGCATCGGTCATCTCCACGTCTTGATTCTGACTTAATTTCTCTGCTTTTTTCAGACGCTTGAACTCTTGTATTTTCAGTTTCAACTCAACGTCCTCAACAACATCTTCCAATTTTAATGGCATTCTATTGAATGGGTCTGTTGAATCACTTAATAAATGGGCTTTAATCGTCGACCTGTCGATACTAATTTTGGACCCTGGCAAGACAACTGGATCTTCCATTAAAATGAACATAAGTGGATCTAAGAACTCGTCCGGTATCTCACCTAATTCTAATTCCTCGTCTTCATCAGTTTGTCTTTGTTCGTCTGCCTTTTGTGCAAACTTGATTAAATCCTCAATTACCTTTGGACTGGTATAAGTTCTGGTGGATAAGATTCTTTCAGCTTTCTTAAAGTATTCTAAAGAGAAAGATCTTGTATCTCTTGCAACAGCAACGATAAAGTTCCCTTGGTTAGACAAATTGCAGTAAATTTCACACAAGTCACTTAATGTTCTCTTAGGGTCAAAATCATACTTCATAGGATCACGTACTTTCAAGTTGGAGCATTTTGGTCCAACCATAATCTGTAAATTATAATTCAACATACCCGCTAATCGGTCGACGATTTCTGGCAATTCAAATCCTTGTGGCGTTTGCTTCGAGAATAATTTAAACAACTCCATCGTCTTATTCGATAATCCAACATAAGATTTGGCTTTTCTTTCAGATGAATTTAGATTATTAGTAAGTTCTTCATCACTTCCAAGTTCTTCTGTATTAGGAGGCTGTCCATTAGCACGCTTTTCCAACTCACGTTGATAGTTATGTATCTGGTTTAATTCGTTGAATGTTTCGTCGAGTAAATAAGTCGTATCATTCAACATTCTGGCAATAAATCTGATAAAGAAATCAACATTATTTCTAGAATAATCGGCCAACTGTTCTCTATAAATTTCATTCTTCCATAATTCTTCCAATATAACAGAAATATAATATCTACTGTTAAACTTGTCATAAAATTGTGACGATGCCCCTGTTTTTTCAACCATCACATAGAAATCTAATAAAGAATACAATATATTATCTATCACAAGTTGATTTGAGTTAAAAATACTTGCAATAAATCCTGGTGCGCCATTCATCATTGGTAATGATCCAATAAACAATACTTCTACCAAATGGGCTTTCATGTGTGGATTACCAATTAACTCAGGACAACGCAATAAAATGATCGAAAATTCAACAAACGACAGTAATTTTTCATGATTGTCTACCAATGGGCATCCTCTGAAGTTGGTTATAAATTTACAATAGTTAATTATTCCTTCTAACATGAATTCCGGGTAGTATTTCCATGGAACAGGGGTCTTGGTTTTTAAGAACTCATGATCATCTAATTGGGAAACAGCATCAATCTTGAATAATGGAATCTTCAATTTCAGTCTAGGATGTTGATGACTTGGATCAATTAGTTTGGTGATAAACGTAGTTGCGCCGATTATGAAGTCGAACATGTCCAATTGCATTGAACGGAAACTAAAAATAGCTTGAATTGAATGCTTAGTCGCTTTCATAGAGTTTAAACTTTTTGTTAACATCGGAAGTTGATTCCTCAAGACATGCGCCATCATAGGGTTAGTACCTGGTGGAACTTGATTATTTTCAATCATTTCCACTCTTGATGTCATTTGCTTAATTTGGTTCTTTAATCTATCATGGTGATTGTAAATACCACCTACACCATAGTGCAAATAAGTCAAAGTCAAAAAGAAGCAGTCAGATATAAAATTAGGAGGAATTGATTTATCTATTCCATTATAATAATCATTTGCTTCTGGTATCGAGGAATTCACTCTAGATTCTTCTGAAATATTAATGAGATTACTACGACCAAAATAATCACCATCTATTTTATCAAGTTTTGAAAATGTTGGATATTCCAAAAATGGCAAACTTAACTTTATCAAAATAAGAGAAATATTAAACATAATGCCATCGGATGGTAATTTATTTAAATCAGCATGACTTCCTCTTCTTAAATGACTCAAGTTAATGAGTTCACCAAACCAAGTAAGTATAGCTTGACGAGTTTGCGAAGATCCACGGATAAGTTTGTCAACGATAAAGAATAACCTATCTGAAACAACCTTGTATTCGTTCTGTAATGATTCATACGTAGAATTCACTTGTACTTTTGATAAATTACCGACGTTTTCTGTAAAGTAGTATTTGCTAACTGAATCTAAAAGGGGCGATAATCTTAAAAGAGAACCTAATAAAGTCTTGTTTTCAAAATCCAAACCTTCTTTCTTACTCGGAGGTTGAAAACCATCAACTTGTGAAAATACTGCCGCGACAGACTTTATGCTAACTAATGTCTCAAATATTGACAAGTATTTTGAGTAGGAGCTATCATTTAAATTCACCTTATAGAGCTTGGTACTTAAGGTAGGGAAAATAATATTCAAGAACTCAAGGAGAGATTCCTGCTCAACACTTTCATTTACTATGTCGACTAAAAATCTACTCATATCTGGATTGTTAATCAACACATCAATAGCAAGTTTGATATCGTTGTTAACATACATATCCGGAACTTGAAAACAAATAAAACCATACGAAGAACTAAGGGATATAATTGAATTTGCAATTGAAATCTTAGTTTCATATAATGGATCTTTCTTTGGAACTGTCCTCTTTAATCTGAAAGCTCTCTGGTAAATTTGAAATAAGTACTCCACTGGTGACTTATAAGCTGCAGGCACACCCAATTCATTCAATATTTCCATAAAAACAGACTCTAAATTATCCTTACTTAAAAAGCTCTTCTCTGACTCAAGTTCAGACGCCAAATTACCTAAATATACCAATCCTGTGAAAGTGTGGGATTTATCAATGGTCGCTTGAAAAATCCCTTCTATTTCTGTTGATAACCATTTTGCAATTTGCTCTTCAGGATTGAGTTTAGAAATACTTGAATCTGATAGTGTTGTTTTAGGAGTTGGTGCCCTAGGAGTTGGTGCCTTAGGAGCTGGTGCTTGTGGTGTTGCAGCTGGTTTCAGTTCCGATGTTTCAGATGGCAAATTCGAATTTTTCGATTGTAATACTTGTTTAGGTTCTTCTTTTGGAGTCGACGGTTCTTGAGATGGTGAATTCGATGTGCTGTTATTAATCTGATTAGAAGATCCGGAGTTGCTGCCACCCAAAGCTGCTAATCTTGCCAATCTTTTAGCTCTTATCTGAACATAATGTTAGTAATCTACAATTGAATAATTATCATCAAATACGGATTGAAATATGAATCAACATACATCGTTTGAATCACTCATTACTAATTATCTATTGGATATTAATAAGATGAATTAGGTCCGAATTGTATAATGGATTTGAGTAATTATAAATCCTCTATCAATATACTTCTAGGCGCCAGTTTTTTGATTCAGTGCGGTGGGTTCAGATTTTTCAAAATTGATTGAAACTCTTCCACCAAAATAAAATTATACCTGGAAGCTACAGCTATATGTTAGTTGGAAAAGAGAAGATGAACAACATTCCACAACCCATAAAGACGGTGATTACAAAACCCCAAGAAAAGTTGTATGTTTTGCGCTTGGAGAAGGAGTTAATTGCATTTATAAAGGAGTCGGTACCGTTAAAGCTGGAATCTCCACTGTTTACGATTCACGCTGGAGTACTAAAGAATTCGTATTATCGGTTACTAAGTCATCAGATATGTCAGCATTACCACTTACAGCATTGGAATAACGGATCAAACGATATAATAGTCACATTGAGTGCTGACGGATTTGACTATGAGAAGTTCAGTGAAATATTGGACCTGAAGGAAGATAACAGCTTCACTAAGATATGCGATTACCTTCAGCAAAGGCAGAATGGTACCAATGGGAATAATTCAGAAGGTGACGAAGTTAATACTAAGATAATCAGGCCAAAAGTGATCATTAAGAAGGAATGTCCAAAAGGTTCAATGCCTCTGGCTGATACGCTGTCTGAGATAACCCAAATGTCCGTATTTCTGACGGCAGGAGTACAAAATGGGAGAGCCCAAAACGACTTTTCAGATACCCCAAATACATCTACACCGGTTCTGGCAAGTAGCTTCAAATCAGGAAGTGATAATATTGAGCACGAGAGGGCTTCGAAGGAAGCATTGTACATGAAAGTGAGGGAAAAGATATTTCAGGACCAACAAGATGAAGAAAATGCTGACGACGACGAAGATGAAGAAGAAGATGATGATGACAGCGACGAAGATACCCCCAACAGCTCCGCGAGTGGTTCCAAATTTGGATTCACGAGCCAAGATAATACCCACAAGCATAATGGATACAACGCATTGGATCCTAGTTCATACCACTACAATGGAGCCTCTCATGGGGTTCCTCCGGTGCCTATGGGTATGCCGTTAAACTACAATGCAAACATGAATGTCCCTCCGTTTGTGAACCCAAATGGCTACTATAATTCACCCAACCAATCGATGCACCCGCCACAGATGAACATTTATAACCAGTACGCCAACTATTTCCCTACACCTCCTATGATGCCACCTCAAAATGGCTTCTACTCAAACGCATATAATGGAAACCACCGTTGCACCCCATATGACAAAGAAACGGAACGAAAACTATTAAATAACCCATATATCATTATACCTGATTCCAACAGAGATAAGAAACCTAAGAGACCATACAAGGGAAGATACACGAATAACAATTCGAATTCATCTTCTAGTACTTCCAATATTTCACCAAATAACCCTACAAAGTACTAATTTCTTAGCTTTTTGAACTATTGACAAAAGCATTTGCATGTGTCAAAAGACCACTTCTTTAGTAACACTTATATACGTCAATATAAATACACTTTATGGTGACAATAGGCTTCGTATAGCTTTCTTGTAAATCGTCGTGTGCAGACGATTTTTAGATCATATAAATGGTAAGACGTGTCATAGTAGTTGTTGATACTCCTAGCTTTTAACGATATACATTAATAGATACTAGATATGGCGTCAAATAACCCAGAAGCTCTTCAAGATGATGAGTTGATTCCTGAATCCGTTGAAGGATACCATGTTGGAGAAAAAAAGACCATCGAAGAATATACGAAGTTAGATGCTGAAGATGAAAGTTTAGCTAAATGGAAGGCTTCGCTTGGATTATCAGATAATAGTAATGCTTATCCAGTCAAAGCTGGTGACAAGCGTAAAGTTGTTATCGTTGAAATGTCATTGCAGTTCCCAAATCAACCAGAGTTACAACCTATTGTAATTGATTTGGAAGATGCACAAGGTAACACGATAGCCGGTAAAGAAATCAAGTTCAGTATTAAGGAAAAATCGGTTTACCAGTTCGTTATTAAATTCCGTGTGCAGCATGAAATTATTACTGGCTTAAAGTACTTACACCTGATTAAGAAAACAGGTATCAGGGTTGATAAATTAGAGGAACCATTAGGATCGTATGCACCAAATACTAAAGAAAAGCCATATTATGAGAAGGTATTCAGTGAGGTGGAGGCACCTTCAGGTATGTTGGCAAGAGGTAGCTATTCTGCTATTACCAAGTTTGTTGATGACGATAAAAATGTTCATTTGTCATTCCCGTGGAGTTTCCAAATTACGAAGTGATTTTCTACGAGAGCATATAACATCTATCAATAGCAAGGAATTGACAGTATAGATTCAGCAACGTTCATGTATACTATTGGAAGATATGTTGTCAAATCTCTTATAAAGGTCTATAGTACATTCATGTGTTATCTTGGTATTATTCTGTAATAGCATGTGTAGATATAGATTTCGGATAATTCTTAACAATTTAGTAATACGACATTCTACAGTCTGTGGTCGTTGCTAGTATAGTTATTATATGCATTTATTTATTATAATTCGTCAAACATCAATTGTGAGAAATGCAATTGCTCTAGTTATTTCCATTTTTTCTTCTATTAAGCATGTAAGAAGGCACCTTCCTAACTGGTATGTATGGAGGTGCCTTATTGCTCTTAGGTTTCGTTATTTCTATTTTTGATATAGTGGGTGCCTTATTGGAAACAGATTTATCTATAATAGGTACTCGGTATGCTTTAGATAAGCTCCTGTTGACATTCGTTCGTGGCAGAGAAGTATGCTGTACACTTGGAGTCGATTTGAAAAATGAGTTGATATTAGACTGATTACTCTTCTCTTTTACACGTTTAGGCACTTGCGTTGTATGGTGTGAAATTTCGTTACTTCTCTTGGTAGCCATTTGTATTTTGGCACTACTGAAGCCTGTTACATCCGAACAGACTGAACCTTCGTCACAATTTTTGAATGATTCCTCAGTTATTTTCATTTCAGATTCACCATTTATATAAGCATTAGATCGCAATTCATAGGCTTTATTGAATTGACTCAAATTGAACTCCTGTCCTGTGGGTAGCTGTTGATTAACAATTTTATATAATTTTGATAGCATTTGCCAATCTTTAAATACGCCTTGCTTACTTTCCATCATACCAGTGTGGTTTAAATTGCTAATAAAGCGGGATACACTATCAATAGGTTTTCTTCCCCATTTACCTATATCGCCTTGCTCAATATAAGATGACATATATAGTAGTAATTTAGTCCTAGTAGTAGCCACATAAAAACATCGTCTTTCTTCATTAACTGCTTCTTCTTCTCCTGTATCCATTGCAAACTTTGCTGGTAATATACCATCTGACAATCCTGGAACAAATACTACTGGCCACTCTAATCCCTTAGACCCATGAATCGTGGATAAAGCAACTTTACCTTTGTCTATTTTACCGGGAAACCTCAAAGCGATTTCTTTCTCCTTTTCTTTTTCATTTGTTGAATCAGTTTCGTATAAACCAATAGATTGAATGAACTTTTCCAAAAAGTTGCGTTTATCTTCTGCAATATCAGATTCTGATCCCCCCAAGTACAATGGTAATTCTTCGTCTTTGGGAGTAAATTCACAAAGCTGTGTTTGGACTTCCATAATATTGAGTTCGTGATTTGGATCATTTTGAAACTCTTTCTGAAGACCCGATTTTACATAAACAAGCTCAAAAAGCTTACTGAGCAACGCGTTTCTCTTTTCAAGCGTTGAATCTGAATCAACATGTTCTTCATCATTGATCTTATTCAAATCTTCAAGAATATTACGCATATCAGCAATAAAGCCTATGTATTTTTTAAGGCTATTCTGATTTTTGGAGGTCAATTTGACAGAGGTATTTCCATCTGCGATATCCTGTAACACATAATAGACCCGTCTTCTATAAAAATCTGGTTTTATTGCTTCCAGTTCTAATTCTGCACTTATTGAGGCTAGAGTCTTTTCTCCGATTCCTCTTTTGGGAAAGTTAACTGTTCTCAAATATGCTATACGATCATTATCACAAGCAATAACACGCAAGTAGTCTAATATAGCTACTACTTCTTTTCTATTCCAGAATGCAGTTCCTCTAACCATCACATAAGGTATCCTCTTTCTAACAAATTCATTTTCAATGGTCCTTGTTTGATATGCGGACCTTACTAACACAGAAATATCTTTATACTTGAAAATTGAATTTGGTAAGGCCATCAAGTGTTCAATTTGGTATGAAATCCAACGAGCTTCTTGTTCAGGAGATTTCAAATTAGAATAGACTGGTCGAAACGAAGATACCATTTGTGACTTGAGGGTCTTAGAAAGACGGTCATCTTGCTGCCTCATAATTCTTTCTGAAAAGTTCAAAATATCTGAAGTCGATCTATAATTTTCCTCTAAGGTGATGACGTTAATGGAGTTCTCTTGATATATCTTTTTATAATGCTCCTTCATCTTCTTAAAATTTATTGCTTGTGCATCCCTGAATGCATATATGCTTTGGTCTGGGTCCCCCACAATAGTGACATTGTTTTGCAATCTAGGATTCGTAGGGTGCCCTTTGGCAAATTCATACATTAATTGTAATTGAATCTCGTTCGTATCTTGAAACTCGTCAACCAATACGTGCTCTACAAAGTTTAGTACTGGATATGTTGTTATCAATTGATGGCAGCAAATCAAACAATCATCAAAATCTAGCAATGAGTTTGCTTGTAGATGTTTCTGGTATCTCTTATAAAGCAAACCTAAGAATTGATTACAGTCGCTGCGTTGTTCATAAACATCTGGCTGAATTCCCGATGACTTTAGTTTCGAAATTTGTCGTTTGATTTTCTTTGGATCCCACCCATGATATTTATCATCCTCCTTATTCGATTTGAATATATCTGTCTGTCTATCTGGTAGCTCTGAAATATACTTTAATTCCATTTCTGATAATTTCATAATCATTTCTTCCAATATCTGTTTCGAGTCTCGTTCATCTGCAATATTATAATCGCTAATTGCTATTTTCTTACCATATATCTTGATTATTCGGTAGCAAATACTGTGAAACGTACCAATCAATATTTTATCTACTTTAATTGGTGTGTCCTTAAGTAGCTCCCCCAATCTCTCTATCATCTCATTGGCAGCCTTTTTAGTAAACGTAGTTACAATTATACATTGTGGAGATAACTTTTCCTTGATCAATAGATATGCAACTCTTGATATTAATACTTTAGTTTTACCTGTACCAGGACCTGCGATAATTTGCAACCTTTCCACAGATGGAGCAACCACTGCCTGTTTTTGTTTAGCATTCAACCCGGCCAAGACTCGTTGAAGCAATAACTCGTCATCTTGTTGAATTTGAGTCATACCATTTGAATATCAAAAAGATGAATAAATATAAACAAGATAAACAATAACACTATTTGAATCGCGATAAAAAAAAAGTCCATGAATAGGTTTCTTTATTACAGCTGGGCTATTTAACTTCATATATAAGAATATGTCTATAAAAATATGATATCATATATTTATATAACGGTGCTTTCAATATTGGTGCTAAATGTGTTAAATGTAGCATGTGTTAGCGTTGATAATTGGCCTAATCTTTCACCACAGATTGAAATAGCTCAAAGGTCTCAAAGAGATGTTGGCAAGTATCTACTGATAGACCAGGTTACAGGGATGGGGGTTTCGCTTAATAGTCTTGTTTTCGATAAAGAGGGATATACTTTGGATGCTCTTAATGATGTAAGCACATTATTGGATGTTGGAGTGCAAACATTAATGATTAATCTATACTGGAATGAATTTACTGAAAAATGGCAGCTTTGTCCTGCGCCATTTCCCGCCAACATATCAAGCGACATTACGACGACCAAGGAATTATATTGGGACGATAGAACTTACAAGTGTGAGGCATCTTTGACGGTTGATCTGTTGGTACGGACGATCAACACGTATTTTTCGGAGACTAATACCAATATCAAGGTCAATATGGTCCAATTATTGTTCCATTTGAAGTCAATACGCATAGATCCACCAGGCCGTAACGTTTCTAGTAGTGAGATCAAGAATTATATATCAACATTCCAGCCCACGGATCTGCATTTTGTTGCCTTGAATAATGCTACATTGAATGATATTGTTAGTTCTTTTGGAACATCTTTATTCACGCCTTCAGATTTGTCGTCCTATAGAAGCACTAACTACAGAAAGGGAGACAATGTCGGTTTTTATAACGAAACCAGACAATCCTTCCCAACTTTGAATACATTCTTATTATTGGATTACAAACGAGTCATGACCACAGTGATCGCAAACGACCTAGTGAAATCCCAGTATACATACAATGTTACTAGTAGCGACAAGAAAAGCGTTTTCCTTGAGGGTAGCGGAGTATACACGACGGTAGCATCGCTATCTGATCCCGATGTTGTCTCACAATGCAATGAGCTCATTCATTACAACCAGGACAATATTGAAGTTTTCGATAATGTATCCTTAAAGGAACATTTCAGGATTGTGGTGGATGATAATGGCACATCGTTCACCAACGTTACGTTTAGTGATTTTGTGCGGTGTGGGTTCTCTCCCATTTTGAATGCCTCATATTACAACGTCTATAATGACGAAGAAGATGTCAATGAAATCGAGGATTCGCTAAGCGATATAGTTGATAATTTCATCCCTCTCTCGTTCTGGTCTTGGGCCGAGAGCCAGCTTATTGAACCCGACAGAGGATTAAATATCAGTGATTCCGCCGACAGCGATAATGACGAGGAAGAGGATGACAATGTTAATTACCTCTTCAAAAGAGATCTGGACTACAAGAGCACTCATACTGCTTTCAAATGTGTCGTAATGGACGAAAATGGATGGAAAGTATCCGACTGCTACAGCCGACAACCAGTTGCATGCCAGAAAGCAGACTCCCCCAACGACTGGCACATTGATGTGAAGAACAAACGAGAATACTTCACGGCCTACAAAGACGATAGCTGTCCTGACGATTACCATTTCGCCGTACCACTGCTGAGTATCGAAATGCTCGCATTGATGAACTACATTGAACGGGAAAATATTTCGTATCCGATATGGATTGACATGAACGACATCACAGTTCCTGATTGTTTTGTAACGGGTGGTCCATATGCCACCTGTCCGTATCAAATGACTGTAACAAAGCTGAAGTTAGTAGGGTTGATTGCACCTAGTTTCATTGTCGCAATAGTCATATTGGCTCTCATACTCTGCGAGAAGATCTTTCGAACCAACCCAATTCAGTCGAATAGAAAGCGGCATTGGAAAAAGACCATCAACGAGTATGTTGAGAAGTACGATTACGAAGGGGTCCCGTCATAATTACATACGTTCTATAGGGTATAGTATAGTTTTGCAATCAATATAGATGGTGAATGTCGCAAATGTCTCCCAAATTTTTGCGACATTATCAAAGGCAAAGGATTGTGATAAATTTCATTATGGAGAAGATTCATAGTACTATATATGTTAACCAATTACATTAAAAGCATGAGTCAACAAAACTGGAAGAACTTGTCAAACGAATTAAGACGGAGGGCTGCACAAGGCGGTGGATCAGGAGGATCAAATCGTAAGTCACCATTCGGTGCATTTGCCGGTATTGGAGGGATCTTGTTATTAGGGGGTGTTACGATGTTGGCGCAGAATTCGTTGTTTAACGTTGATGGTGGTCAAAGGGCTATAGTTTACTCGCGTATTAACGGTGTTCAACCAAAGATTTATCCAGAAGGTACACATTTTGTCATACCATGGTTTCAAAGGCCGATTGTGTATGATGTTCGTGCTAAACCAAGAAATGTAGCTTCGTTGACCGGTACTAAAGATTTACAAATGGTCAATATTACGTGCCGTGTGTTATTCAAGCCGGATATATTCCAATTACCAAACATTTACAGAACTTTGGGTACTGATTATGATGAAAAGGTGTTGCCATCCATTGTCAACGAAGTTTTGAAATCGGTTGTGGCGCAATTCAATGCGTCTCAATTGATCACCCAGAGAGAAAGAGTGTCGCGTTTAGTCAAGGAGAATTTGATCCGTCGTGCCGGTAAGTTTAACATTAACTTGGACGATGTTTCGTTGACGTTCATGACGTTCTCTCCTGAATTTAGTGCTGCAGTTGAAGCCAAGCAAATCGCGCAACAAGATGCTCAAAGAGCTGCGTTTGTCGTTGATAAGGCTATCCAGGAGAAGCAACAATTGGTTGTGAAAGCCTCTGGTGAAGCTAAGTCGGCTCAATTGGTTGGTGAAGCCATCAAGAAGTCTAGAGATTATGTGGAATTGAAGAGATTAGACACTGCCAGAGAGATTGCCGGTATTTTGGCCAACTCTCCAAACAGAATTTTGTTGGATAACGATACTTTATTATTGAACACTGTTGTTGATGGTCGTAATAAATGAGTTACCTCGCTGAAAGAGGGTTACAATTTTAAGTCTAGTTTGTACATAGGTATAATTTTAATTAACGCATATTCGGAAAATGAAACATAGAATTACCATATATATATATATATATCTGACATCTCTATCTAAAAGATCGAATTAACTATATCACTACCAATAGTGGCACCAGCACCAAAAATTGCAGCATTACCCAACTTGCCCCCAAACTTTCTCATATGGCTGTGTTGTCCAGCTTGTTCAGGTGTGGCCACCTGAACAGGTTGTCCCTGAGGTTGATAAGCTTGTGGTTGAGGCGAGTATTGTTGTGGAGGATAATAATTAGTTGATTGTGGAGGATATTGGCTATATCCGCCGTACGAAGGCTGTTGCGTCAATGGAGCAACCTGAGTTTGGTCGTATTGAGGTGGAGGTGGTGCCGCAGACTGGGAATTTGCATCGTATGACGCCTTTTCATTCTTGAATGGCGGTGGCACAGCACGGTGTGCTGGGGAGGATGCAAAATCAAATTCCTGTTGAGAAATAACATTGACGTAATTCGATGGGAACACTCCAGCTGCATTCGCTGACGTTCCCTTCTTGTACCCTTTCCACCAGTCTTCCGACAAATGCTCAACAACAGCAATAACATCGTCTTTTTTCAATGCCAAATCTTCTCCTTCTTGTGCTTGATAATCGTATATGGCTTTACAGTATCCCAATGCCTTAGTCGTATGTAAGCGTTCGGGCTTAACAGGAGGATTTATACTGGTGCTAGCTAAGCCATCTGTAATCGAGTCCGTACTTGTAGGTGCTTCGGTTTTCTTATTATCATCTACTTCGGTCTTTAATTTGTCCAAATCCCATGCTTTCATATCCTTTTGATACTTAGGAGGAAGTGATTCGATGAGGGCATTATAGAGTTGTTCAGTGATTACCTCCGAATCATGTAAAAATTCCAATTCGGTTCTAATGGTTGTTAGCGAACGGTTTATTAGTGGACCTGACATACTAAACTGACTAGGAATAACTATTTAATAATATCGTACAAGATGAAGTAAAATCATACTAAAAGATTATTAATTTCAAGAGCACTGCCGGAACAATATAAAACGAGCCCTCACATTAAACGGGGATTTTTACACCAAAATACTACTTGATCCGATCACCGAAGAATATCACCCCTTGTGATACCTTCATACATCTCAATCAAAGAGCTGCCGTAGATTCCAATGCTCCTTGACCCGGGTGACAAAGGTGGTCCTTCGGTGGATTGCCAAATTTTATATATTCTTACAAACGAATCATTTGCGGCAACACAAATGGAACTCCTATCGGGCGATTGGCATGCACTTAAACATCGGAGGTACGTAGTACTGGAGACTTCGACCAAAGGTATCATTTCCGGGTAAGAATAGACAGCAAGAAGTAAAGGTTTTTCGGAGTTGCCATAACCAAAGGTTGATATTAGTTCTTTTCGGTCCTTACACCAGAATAAGGACGTAACCTGAGCTTTTGCAGCAAATGTATTTAGTAGAGTTCCAGTGTTAGCATGCCAGAATCTGATAGTACGGTCGTTGCTACCGCCTCCTGTAGCTAAAATTGAATTTGCCCAAGGACAGAAGGCTATGGCCTTGACGGCTGCCTTGTGGGGTAATACCAGTTTGATCTTTGGTGCTAAAACATCGGAGACGTCCCAGATCGAACAGCAGTTGTCATTTCCTCCTACGGCTAGTAGTTGAGAATCTTTGCTTAGGGCGAGACCTGTAGAGATGTTAGTATGTGTTTCAGACCTTGTTGCTGACAGTTAAAAGTAATATTTACCGCAAATCTGTTGTTGATGACATTCTAAAATGCATTGTAACCTTAGACTGACGTTACCCATACTGTCTTCGGTGATTTTAACGTATAATACATCTCCCTTGGAGTCACCGGCTAAAAACTGGCGTGAATCAGGGAACCATTGGAAACAAAATATGCTTCTGTCGTGGTTGGAGAGTGTGGCCTTGACAGCATTTTCACGTTGGGATAGCATCAAAACCTCTCCATTATCCTTTCCTATAAGTATATAATCATGATCGGAATATGACACAGCTGTAACAGTTATGTAGTTGTCGTGGTGCATGAGAACTACATCATTATTTGTGCTCCAGGAGTAAACGGACTTATTTAAGCCTACTGCAATTCGGTTGGTCATTTTGGACCAACTCACCACGTTGCAGTAGAAATCATCCTTCAAGCCAGGTGCTTCTAGGTTATGGTCCGGTTTTGTCAATTTGATGGTTCTTTTACGGTGGCCTGTAGGTGCTGTACTCGGGCGTGATGCTAAGTACTTTCTAATGTCTTTAGATGATGGTGAGTCCACCAAGGACCCCATAAGACTCATAGTCGAATTATGAGCTCCATTAGAACTGTTTGTAGCCGATAGTTGGTAAACCCTTGAATGGCTGCTAAAGCCCAATGCGCTCGCAATGACTTCCTGATGAGGGCTCACTGGTGATGAGTTGGGTGTTCTGTTGGAGTCAGTGTTCGATAATTCAGCATCTTGTTCTTCCAAATTCAAAGACTGAGAACCACTCTCTGGTCTCACGTAAAACATTCCATCGTTTAACGCAAGTTGCGGTCTACCAGGGCTATTCGAAGGTGTACTAGGTCTGTTTGTTGGATTCCGTGGCAGTGTGGGAACGTTGGAACTCAATTCATTATTCCTATAAGCTACTTGAGAAGAAATAACTGGGAAAAATCGGCTGTTGGTTTCAAATGCATGATTGGGAGAACTATTAGGATGTTGAGTTCTTCTATGTCCATTTGATGACATGTTAATATTTTTATTGTATTTCTGTAAATATGTCAAAAACTAGCAAATTGTTCTTGAGGTAAATTGTTTTGAATTGATGCCAATATGATTGTCTTATATAAATATGCTTTTTTCTATAAACTGGCCTTGCTGATGCCAATATATATACTGTTATTTAGAAAAAAGGTGTATATACTCTTTTGCAACTATTTTATTTGTGGGCGATAACTTTGAAGATAGGACTTTGTGACTATTGATAAGGAAATATTTTTTTTTAACAAAGAAGATATTGATTGCAGTACATACGAGGACTGAAGCAGGGGAATTGAGAGTGTAAGGATGGTAATTTGTTGATCTATATCGATTTTGGTTGTTTTTGATAAAAAATTGGTTACGATTGAGCTGCTTTATACGCGATCAAATCAAAATTTCATCAACAAAATCTGAGAAGTATAGCCTAACGAAGCTGCACAATGGGGAATGTACAAGTGGTATTAACTTCCATATTCGTGATTTTCTGTGGGATTGTCTTCCGTTTGGTTGCTTTGAATGTGAAAGATCCGTTTATTGATGAAATTTTTCACCTTAGACAGTGCCAGACGTATTGTTCGTTTAGATTCGATATATGGGATCACAAGATTACTACACCTCCAGGATTATATATATTGGGAATGGTATACGCAGAGGTTTTTAAAAGGATAACATTCACGTCAGAGTCATTAGTATCGGTTTGTGAAAACATAAATGTGTTGAGATCAGCTAATTTGTTCGGTGGGCTTGTGGTGCTTCCATTAATCGTTCTGGGTCTAGTTGAAAAAGAAAAACCACAATTCTGGACCGTTAATATCGTAGCAATGCCATTGTTATTCACATACTACTTTTTGTTCTACACGGATATTTGGGCAAGTATATTGATAGTAGCATCATTAGCATTGGTGGTGAAACAGCCTCTTGGACTTATCACAAGCTCGTATGTAAGTGGGACAATTGCATTTGCCAGTTTATGGTTCCGTCAAACGAATATTATTTGGATTGCGTTTATTGCGTCCTTATTAATTGATAAAAGAAGAAGGGAGCATCATAAAGATATGGGATTCGAACAAAATGGCATCAACTTTATTCGTCAAGCTGTCAAGGATTGGATTGCCGTTCTTCCATTTATAAGTAACATCGTTTTGTTTGCCATATTTGTTAAGTATAACGAAGGAATAACCTTTGGGGATAAAGAAAACCACAAGCTTAATTTACATATCGTTCAGGTATTCTACTGTTTCACATTTATGAGTATGTTTACATGGCCCGTGTGGTTGTCTATTCCGTTGGTCAAGAGATACATACGGTTTACAATACTAGATAATTATGGTTTGAACACCATATTTACGATAGGTTCAGGAATTCTAATTAAATTTATTATTGATAATTATACAGTTGTTCATCCGTTTTTGTTAGCCGATAACAGACATTATACATTTTACATTTGGAAAAGAATTCTCAATCGAGAGTACAGTAATATTTTCATGATTCCAATCTACCATTTTTGCACCTGGAATATCATTGATTCTTTGTCACACAACATTGGTGGATTGACTCCTATTACCATTATTACATTTCTCGGGGGGATATTCATTACTATTATTCCTTCACCGCTTTTCGAGCCTCGCTATTATATTATTCCATTATTAATTTATCGATTATATGTTAGGCCATCAAAAGAAAAACTCATCGGTATTAGTGTATCGAGGCATGCTTTAGAATTTTTTTGGTTTGTGATGGTTGATGTAGTCATCACGGCTATTTTCTTATGGTATGAATTTACGTGGTTCAGTGAACCCGGAAAAATTCAAAGGATTGTATGGTAGATGTATATAATTAAATACAAATAACTGTAATCAACACAATTACTCATCTTCATCAGAAGTCGATACTGTCAGGGCAATTTTCGAGGTATCATCCTGCTTAGTACTGCTAGTCTCCCCTGGCTTATCTTGATTTTTCGTATTATTTGATCCACCTGCTACTTGATTCTCTGAATGGATAATTGGATCACTGATCCCCTCTATACTCGATATATTGTTGTTGACAAATTGGTCCATCGAATTTTTGAATTTTAAGATGCTGGAAGTATTCAGATTCAAGTCCTTGATTAAATGCTTTATTTCCTCTGACTTTTCAGAATTCAGTTCATTCAACGATGAAAGCCATTTTTCAATGCATCTTTTCTTTAATACTTCAAGGTAAGGAATCTCTTTATTTGTACCCTTGTCAACAAAGACCAACTCACCTTCACTACCAATCAATAAATCTTGGTTATTATTAGTTAAGCTCGATCTAAAGTCCCAGTTACCCATTTCGAGATCGTTAGCAAAGATTAACAAGAAATCTCCGAAGTTATCAGCGATCAAGTATTTATTGTCAAATTCTCTGCCAAAAAGGATAACTTGACCCCAGGTCCCACCACCGTTGGTTGGAGGACATAAGTCTATACCGATACAATTACCCACTTCATCTGTAATAATTGGAATCCACATTGGATGAGCAAAAGAATCATGAATTGTGCCGGGAGGTATAGATTTTTGGCGGGGAATATTAGGAGAATCGGCACTTTCATGTCTTCGTTGTTTGGCTATTTTGACTGGTTCGACAAGATCAAGATTGGACGATGAGAACTTGAGTTGACTGCTATTTGCATGGCTTGTTTCCAACTTACTGAGTTCTTGCAATTTGTTGGTCTGGTTTGCGTGTAACAATTTCAGGTTCAAGTAATCGGCTACTTTTCTCCAATGTTCCGTCATCACCATTATTTCATCTATTGGCATCAATTTCAACCCGAATACCAACCCACCAGACCCATTATCGTTGAAATATGTCTGACCATCAGTTATCTTGTAGAACTCTATAAGACAATTTGGCAATTTGATGTTCAAATCCTTTTGGAAATCGGTAAGGTCCGCATCCGTACATGGACTTTGTAAAGTTGAATTCAAATCAGGCGAATATTTCAATAGCCAGTTCTTAATATGTCTCCATGCCAACCTCACTTCGTGGACACCATCAAATTGGTTCTTATTGACGGTGGAATCGACATCGTTAGTCGGCCCACCAATTAAGGATGCGGTAGATTGGTTGTGGTGTGAGAAGAGTAACTCGGTTTCCTGAGTATTCACTCTATTGAAGGACTTTTTAGGGTCAAATTCCGAGTATTTATCCTGCGTGCTTAGCGAGTATATGAACTCCTGGAGCTTTCCAAATCTCATCGTATAAGTAAATGAGTACCTCTTTTTTGTAATTCTCTGGGAGCTCGTAATAAAATCGTTGATGTATGTTTTAAAGTCGCGTCAGCTTCCGAATCATCCTCATCGGGCCAAATTGAGAAATACCGAAATCGATGCCTACGAGACACACAACACAAGGGAGCATATATGGCTGGCTTTTCATCGCACGGCACGGCTACAACTACAAACTTACCGAAAACTACGTAGCGACAATAATTGTCACAAATATCCCCCGGGCATGAAGCGAATACTCTATGGTGCAGGGTAAACACGATAAACCGGGAATTTTATATGGGAAACCCAGATTAAAACAAACAATCCATAAAACAAAAACCGCTAATAACAACACAATACTATAGATCGAAAGGCATCGGAAAAAACATCCAAAGTCATCGAGTATTGATAAAGAAGGGGACATCATTAATCTCTGGTCCGTCAAAGATACCATTCAAAACGAATGGATCAGCAACAAACTGTCTCCCCGAAGGAAGACGACGAGATCATAACTAGGAGTTTGATTTTATAGGTCTAAGATCCGTGGTAAACAAATTGAAGAAAAAATATCAACAAGATTATAATTACGTCCGATAATTTTTCAGATGAGGTGTAGTGCAAAAAAATTGACACGACGGGTAACCCCGGGACCACCACCTAATGGCGTATATCGATCCAGAAGGGCTTCCATAGACACTATTGGGCCCGTATCAAGGGTGAAGAGATCAAAGATGGCATTACAAGATATTAATTAGATGTCATTTAATTTATAGGATACAAATATACAAAAAACAAAGTATAAAATACCGATCTTTCTTGAAATTATTTTTTTGTTAAAGATATGAAAAATTAATTACTCCCCCCAAAAAATAGCAAAGAATTATGTAATAATTATATAAAAATAAGCAATCTTTTGATAAAAGCTAATCAACTTACCAGTTGGAAGCGGCAGCTTCTTCAGCAGCAGGAGTAACACCGGATTCAGCCCAGTCGACTTCTTCGGTTTCACCAGTCCATTCAGTTTCAGCATCGGCAGCTGGAGCTTCTTCGACATCGTCGGTCTTAATATCTTCAGTAGCATTTTGTTCAATTTCTTCAGGGTCTCTGTAGAAATATAAATCTGGCATAACAGACCATTCGGTGGTTCTGTCTGGGATGATACCTCTTAATCTTAAAACTTCTCTAGCGACTAACCACCAGATCAAACCAATGGAGTGCTTACCCTTGTTGTTACAAGGAATAGCAACATCAACGTATTCGGATGGAGAGTCCATGTCGGTCAAAGCAATGACTGGAATGTTGACGTAAGAAGATTCCTTGATGGCTTGGAAATCGGTTCTTGGGTCAGTGACAACAACTAATCTTGGTTCCTTGAAAGAACGGGTGATGTAATTGGTGAAGTTACCTGGGGTGAATCTACCAGCGATTGGGGTGGCACCGGTGTGAGCAGCAAACTTCAAGACGGCTCTTTGACCGAAGGTTCTGGTGGAACAGACGGCAACGTCAGAGGCGTTTGGAATAGCAGCAATGATTCTGGCAGCTAAAACAATCTTTTCCCAGGTCTTACCGACGTTAATAACGTTAACACCGTCTGGTCTGGTCTTGTAGACGTATGGCTTGTTGTGAACCTATAAAATGTTAGTAAAAGTCCAATTTTTCATGCGGTGACAGTCTGGCAGCACCGGTGGTGTCGTGACGGGTCTATCAGTTCTTCTTTCATCCATATGGCCTATTTCCATCCCTCTTCTTCTTTTTATATCTACGTAGTTGAATCCATGGCCGAACTATCAAATCAACGCCAATCTCCTCCTGTGGCCCTCTCCATACTTCTCATCCACCGTTCATACATCTCTCGTTGATTTCTGGCCCTTCTTATTACTTTCACTCCCGTACGATCCACTGGCCCCTACCACTGTCTCATTTCATCGATACATACTTGAACGTTCTTAGAACCTAAGTGAACGTTAGCAGCTAATAATAATTTAGCATCTTCTGGAGTTAAGTCAAATGAACCTGGTAATGACATCTTTAATGATTATTCAATAATTGAAACTTCTTAGAATTGCCCAAAATTTATTTATTTAGTACCAATTGAAAAATTTTAATGAAAAATTCGCTAGGTTGAAAAATTGTCACGGTACCGTTTGCACTAACAAAGCGGATTTTCACCAAATTCTTTTTTGTGTCACCTTGTTCACCAGTAGGCCTTTATCGCGGCGACGATTTGGTAAGGAATAGCCTGGGGGAATGGAGCGTGCGCGGGACCAATATTAAGGGTGGGTGTAGGGAGTTTTCGACAGTTAATGAGAAAAGTCACAACCGTGCGGGTGATATGGTAGGGCGCGAGCCCCGTGGCAGGTGATCGGTGTAATCGAAGTGTGGTATCAGGTTGCAACTGACGCATGAATAGGGTTGGGGTAAGGTGACAGGTAGATGAACGGAAGAGGACGGTCGAGTAGACGACTAGCCGAGTTCTAAGACGACAAAGTAGAGACGGTTAGAGGGCGGTTGCGTAGACGGCTATGTGTACGGCTACGTAGCGGTAGGTGGATGGCCAGACGAGTAGACGACTGGTGGCGGACATTCATGGGGGATAGGTGGGGTGTTGGAGGCAGATATAATGTGTGGAGGATAAAGAATTATGATCTGTGGTTTTTAGGATTGGTAGAAACATATATGACTGTATATAGATGATTATTTCTGATGTACGGTAGTGGGTGATGGAGAGATGGAATAGATATAATGCTATTGGTGGGGTGGACGGCTGCGAAAGAGGTGGACAGTAGCAAGCCATAACATACATCAGCCGTTTTCTACACCTATTGCTTATAGGACTGATTGTATGAAGTTTCACGGCTACTAGTTCTATTTCTGGTCCTATTACCTACAAACCACCAATCGAAACTGTTAAAACTACTGTAAGCTATCAAGACTATGCGTACGAGAACGGTATGGCGATTATTACCCTATAACGATTACCGTAATGATTCCTGTAGTCTTTCAGTAAGCTTCTTGTAGCCCTTCTTGGGACCCTCTCATGGCACCCTCTTTAGTCGTTTATACAACCAAGCTTCTACAGAACCTCCTATATTCACTCACCCTGATCGGATATCAACTGAAATTGCTATGGAATTTTTCGCGATCTCGAGGGCGGGTATCAAAATTATCTCTGATAGTTAATGAATAATTTGCTATTTCTTATTGATAACGCCAGATCAAACTGATATATTAGCTCAAATTAGGCCAAATACCCCAAGCTATTCGTTATTAATCTTAGCCGTTTGCTAGTTCTAAAATTTAGGTACAAACACCATGAATCGGCCTGCTTCGGATCTGCCCTTGCTCCCCAAAGGCGCTAAACCTACGAACCCTGATGGCATCACAAATTTGGAACATGCCGTAAACGACGTATATGAAGCCATCGTGGATGAAGACGACGATTACGAACTCGACGAAGACGCCCTGTGGCTTCGGGAACAGAGAAGCTTGAATAAAGCCACCCACTGGTTGAAAAGACCTTCGGTGCTTATGATTGGATTTCCCCTTTTCTTATTTGCTATTTCGTTTTCCAACGGTGAGTCTACCCGAAGAATGATTACGTTCAAGTTGGCGTGTAATTATCTCGCGGGTATGTCGACAGAAGACAAATGTGATCCGATTGAAACCCAGTTGTTGGTGTCGAATTTGTATTTGACGTACAGTATTCTGTCGGCAGTTGTGATGATGTTTGCCCAGGGTAAAATAGGGACGTTGTCAGATCAGTACGGTAGAAAACCTTTTTTTATTCTGATCATTGCAGTATATCTCCTTGCCAGGATTTTCAAGTTCTATGTCATGCATAATTATGAATATCTCCAGTTTGGACTTATGGTCGCTACAGAAATCGCCGGTAACTTGACTGGCGGAATGATATCATTAATTAGTTTGATCAACTGTTACATTGCTGACGTTGTCGAGCCTCACCAAAGAATTTATTCTTTGGGGTTGGGAATGGCATTTCTTTTCGTTGGGTTGTCGATTGGTCCTATCTTGGGTAATGCTTTATTGTCATTACCAGGACATGTACATGATACTATTCTGAACATAGATACATATATGGAAATTTCGGAACTAGAATATCTTCCTTTAAAATTCGAAATTGTCATGATATTTTTGGTATTAATATTTATCGTGTTTGTTGTTCCGGAATCTAGGTCAGAGAAGGCAAGATCTAAATCAAAAACGGTCTCATTATCGCGATCGTCGCTGTCAGCTAATGTCGGCGATCAGGATCAGCAGCAAGAGCAGCTTTCAATTTGGTCCCGCGTTGGTGGTGCCTTGAATTTCTTGAAGCCCGTGAGGCTACTCTTGTTGCCAAGAGAAATAGCCCCATCGTTGGATACTGCTAAATTGAGGCGATTGCGGATTGTCATTGTCATTTTGGTTTTAGTTGATTGTTTGCTTACAGGCGTTGCGATTTCTTTGCTGGAGGTTTATGTTTTATTTGGCATATATAAATTCGATTGGCGATCGATTGAAATAGGTCACTCGTTGGCAGTTGCGTGCTCCTCAAGAGCGGTGATGTTAATAGTTTTGTCGCCCATTATTACACACAAGCTATTACAAAAACGGTTACGATTTAGGGTCTTAAAAAATCAGTTTGATATGGTCGACTTGGGGGTTTGCGTAATCGGCTTATCTTTTGAGGCAGTAGGGTTAGCCCTATTAAGCCTCGCTCCATCCACCAAGTGGTTTTTAACTGGTATGTCAATTATGAGTTTCGGAGCTCTAGCAAGTCCTTCGTTAAATTCAGCCATCATTAAATTCTATCCTGAATCTAAAATAGGAGAACTTTTCGGTGCCATGTCCTTATTGAAGAATATGTTTACATTGGCGGGTCCAGTGACTTTTCTTTCAATATATAAAGTATCGTTGTCACGGTGGAATGCTCCAGGTGCGGTCTTCTTATTTAGCAGTATTCTTATGTTGCTATGCACAGTTCTAATTTTAGTTGTTAAGAAATTGTTAAGCTTGGATAAAAATACAACTTCCCTGTTGACAAGAAGACCATCGTCCATTGCATCATTGGAATCTCATGGACTGATAACAGACAATAATGAAGATCCACTCAATCGTAAGCCTAGTCTTCCCGATATCCATAGAAAGAAGAGTTTTGTTCAAAAGCAACGAGGTCCTCAGTGATCCAGCTTCGTCTTAAATATTCAATTCTCTCGTAGTTATAATTAAATTATATGCATATAATACAGTATTGATTCATTAGTATAATGTTTGTGTCATTTTGAAGCTTAAGGCTGGTAAAATTTCGTAGATCGAAGATCCATAGCTTATCATCAACTGACTGGGGTCTACATGATATCAATAGTTTCTTATGAACTTTGATACAGCAATTACTTCAATTCTCCTGTTTTCTCGAAATTCACTTGCTTCTACTAATTCGGACGTCGTTGGGAATAAATCGAGTAATATCCAAATACACATAGCGCAGAGATTTGTTCTATCATTAGCATTACTTTTATTATTATTCATACTTGGGGTTGCCTTTGTTGATCTACTTTTTGTTACTAGGTATCCTTTAACTTTTCCTGAGGAGAATTCATCTGCTTCTGCTTCAAAAAATAAGTCCAATATACGTGGAATTATCGAGGCTCCAAGTGAATTTGATACAAGTGCCATAGAAAGCGACGAAGACATTGCTATCAGGATTACTACAGAAGCAGGCGGTTTAGAAGACGAGAACGATAGCGAAGAACTAGATACATTGGCATTCTTAGACCAGCACTCGTTTTATAATAATTTGAATAACAGCTCCCAATATTTGAGAAGAGACAGCTTTTCACAATGAATCATACTATTTATTTTCCTAATGACTCGTTGAACACATTGAGAGCTAAGAGAAATAGAGGCCGAAGGTTCTATATCTTAGGTTATCATATCAAGAATGTTCATATCGTTATACATTTGGTACCCATGAATATAAGTGCAAAACTTTATGATTTCACCAAACAGAATGACATGTTGAAGGATTTGCAAATTATAGGATGTGTCAATGAAACACTGGACGAGTCGAATGGAATACAACTACTGTATAATTCTGACGACAAATATCCCGTCGTGATAGCAAATAATAAGAAAAAATATTCGTTTATACTTTTCCATCCTCCTAACTTCAGAAACTTGGAATATTTTTCAATCGACCCGATTCTACTCCAGTCGACTGGAAATGTTGAAGTTAACACAAACGACCAAATATATCAACAGAAACTTAATGAATTTGATCCAATTACTCGTGAAAGCAAGCTGTTGTCTATATCAGACGATGAAGTTCTAGATAAGATTAATCAATCTTCACGATACAAGAACGTTATTCAAGCTTGGATTAATAGGTCAATGTCTACTGATGCAAACCCGTCGCTATTACAGCGGGTGAAAAGTAATAAGGCGGTTGAAGCAATTAGTAGGAGGATATTTCAATTACTAATAAGCATTGTCTCTACTATTCAGATGTTGACCATCTGGATAATTTGGATACTAAATTATGAATTCAGGAATGTCAAGTTAATTGACTGTTCGCATGTATTTAGGCAACTCGATCTTAGGATGCAACAAATCAATTTTTTTCCTATTCAATTCCTATGCTATTACGATAAAAACATCTTGTATGGGGATTCAGAAGTACTTCATAAATTAAAGATTCCGGTATTTAATTCAAACTTGAATATAAACAACTCGAACTACATAAATCTTTACAATTCTATATGGTTGATATTTAACGATGTGTTGCTAGGAATTACTATTTGGAAGATTATAATATCAAATTTTGATAGCATTATTATGTTCATTAACGAAACGATAATCCGAAAGCTATTATTTAATGACTTTTATAACTTAATCAAATGGGTATCAGTTAACCATCCTGCAGGGTTCAAGTTGAACACTGAACTAGGCCAGTTCATGGGTGATTTGTTCTTGTGGTCATTGAAGTTTTGGAAATCCCTAGTTGCAGATATTTTAGTGATAGACTCAAAAAATGTTATATTCCGTCCTATTGAATTGAATTTCAGTTACGTTCTATCCTTCATTGGTACTTGGAGCAACATATCTACCATTCACAAGATCCTATCTCAGATACTCAAGATTTATGTTGGAATACTATGTCATCTTGGGTTTACCTTCTTCATAGGCTGCATCATTGACTATTTTCAGATTATCACATTTCACCTTTATTGTTTCTATTATACATCCTCCAAGATATACCAAAAACAAGTACAAGTTATCAAATCTTTGTTCCAACTATTTTGCGGGAAAAAGTATAACGTTTTACGTAACCGTATCGATAACTTGAATAACTACACTTACGAGGGCCAGTTTTTTGATATAGACCAGTTGTTATTGGGAACCTTATTGTTCATGATTTTAGTGTTATTGTTACCTACGGTATTTGCATTTTACCTAATGTTCTTCTTCTCGAGATTAGCCTGTATCGTTGTTGTTAACTCCATAGAGAATTTATTGATTGTTATAAACTATCTTCCATTATTTGTTATTTTGTTGAAGTTAAAGAATTCTAATAGATTACAAGGTGGTATAACCTTCAACCATTTGACTGTTTCGAATAAAACAAACTACTTATTATTATCTAATAAGTCCTTGACGTATAGCGAAATATTTAAGAACTTCGTCAAATTGTTCAAGAAGTCTAAGAATTTCAAGGAATCGCTAGTTCAGTTTTTCGTATTAGGTGAACCAGTTTCATTGAAACATAATTATAGAATGATATTTAATTACTTAATGCTACCTGAAAATTACGATAAGACAACTGAAATTTGGAAACCTATTACCACTTCTAATAAGAAATGATAAAATACTAAGTATAATTATACTTATCTACTTATCTGCTTGTATAAATACATATATAGTTAATACTTTATCGTTATCGTTAAGCTTGTTACAATTTTGTGTAAGTTTTTTTAGTACATCATCACTCTTCAAATATAACTATATCCATACTAGCCATTATAATTTGCAAATAGTATAGGCCGTATTATATTAAAGATGGTACAGAGACAACCACCTTACATCAGTAATATACTGCTGTTGTTACGGATTGCAAGAAAGAATATCAAAAGCTCGCATATTAGTTCTGTTAGAACTATTTCTAATAAGGATGATAGTGATAAAGACAATGTATTATTGGCAGATGCTTTGAACCTCTTGAGTCCAAGGACAGAAATAAAGAATACTATCAACTATAAACCATCGCTATTTACAAATTTGATTGCAAAAGACTCGCTCACTGATGAGAAAATAGAACCTTACTTGAACTATAAACTTCCAAATTCGGATACTAAAAGACATCTCGATCAACTATTGGCTGGCCTCAATATAGCATCACAAACAAGCGACTCTCTAGCAAAGACGAACTATCAGCTCTTGACCAGTTCATACAAAGATTTGCGAAAATATGTTAACAATATTGATAATGAAAACAGTTTAATAGAATTGGTTAAATTATTCTGCTCGCAGAACCAATTAAGTTCAAGACTAATGACAGATATATTATTGAATAAGCATCTTGTCAATTTGAATAAATTGCCGTTTGACATCAATAGCATGAACCCAAAAGACTTCAAAAACTGGCAAGAAGTTAGCTTTGTTCAAATCAAGGTGGTTCTATTAAAAAAATACTACGACTTGAAGAAACCTTTACTCATAATCAAGAATCTAAAAGAAAATTTCATACAAGTATATTTGCCCATGATACGGCTTGGTGAGTTAACTCCGTTCTACGAGAGAATAATATGGAAGTTCTATTTTGAATATATCCTGCCACTTAAACTTGACATTTCCCATAACGAGGCTTACTTTATTAAACTATTAAATAACATAAAGTCGACCTTCATTATATGGGAGTCTTCATTGATAAACAATGGAGATATAACCAAATTTGCATTAAAATATCATGAGTCGACACTAACTCCATTACAAAAATCATTTTTGAAATTGTGCTCGATTAAGCTAACTCAGAATATTATCACTTCGGAACTCAACCAATACAAGGAACACCCGAAGTCTAAATTGCTCTCTCTGTTGAAGAAATTATCGATCAAGCACAAAATTTACTCATTTACAGTGACCAAGGCACCTCTTTCAATAGAGACCAAGTCCAATTTTTATGCATTGATACATACTCTAGAAAAATTGATTCTAGATGAATTGGCGTCCGTACAGAGTATGTCAAGTCCTGAAGATCAATCGGAATTGACAAAGGTTTTAAGAGAGATCAAGGATTTCAAAGAAAGTGAATTGATGAAGTTGGACAATAATAGTGAATTTGAACGGAATGAATCCTTGCTTGAAGGACGTGATTGGGATAGGTTTTTTCTGATAATGGATAGATGGCATAAAAAATTAGACTAGGCGATGTGTAGTACAGTATATATGTCTAAGAATACACTTTATATTCATTGGTCAATATTGTAGATTTCGCTACCAGTTTGATTAGCGATTTTAAGATCCGAGATTGAGATTCAAGGATTATTGATGGAAGAATACGTCAAGGTATTAATATTGAAAAATGAAGATTATAACAGAAGATAACGTTGTAAACTACTTCAATTCCACTCTTAGTAGGGATAGTATTATTAATAAATTTCAAGCTACTTTATTAAAGGGACTTGTTAACTATGAAAAGGATCCTTCAAATATAGTACCTCCAAGAACAGTCCAGACATCCAACACAGAGAACTCAGATACAACCCATTTGTTTATGCCATGTATAGCACCTAATGAAGTTGGAATCAAACTTATTTCAGGTGGGCCAAGTAATTCGAAGAATGGCTTAGGTTTCCAAGGATGCATTTTAGTATTGGATGAATATACGGGGTCACTTCAAGGGGTTTTGAATGCCAAGTCTATCACAGCATTCAGAACAGCATTGGCAAGTACCATACCATTGGTCAAGGTTCTTGATCCGTATGACAATAATGCTCAAGTTTCGAGTATTTCGGTATTCGGGGTGGGCTTGCAGGCGTACTGGCATGTCAAACTTGCACTTATTTTATACCAAAATCAGGTTCGCCACGTCAATATCATCAATAGAACCTTGAAAAATGCCCAGGAATTAGCCAACAAACTTTTCATGGAATTCCCTAATGTGGCGTTCGAAGCTTATCTGTATTCTGAGGAAGATCAATTGGCAAGTATCAAAAAGCAAGTTTCGAGCAGCTCGATAATCTTTGGGTGCTCTCCATCTACAGATGCTGTTATCAAGGCAGATTATATAAACCACGACCCAAACAAGAAGAAGTTCATCTCGTTGATTGGTTCATACAAGCCACACATGATTGAGTTAGATTTAGACTTCATTGTGCCTCAGTATAAGGAGGCAGCCTCGAAACCCAAGATCCTTGTTGACTCAAAAGAGCATACTTTACACGAGGCCGGTGAGTTGATACAAAGTGGTATTCATGAAGATCAGCTAATCGAATTAACTGACCTTTGTAATTCACAGATGGATCCCCGTGAGTACACCACGGCCAGCAACGTCGTTGTCCTGAAATTGGTAGGTTTATCTGTCATGGATTTGTCTATTGCCAAAGTTATCATCAAGGATATAGATGACTCCCAGAGCATCACCGTAGCCGATTTCTAATTTGAAATATATGGTCTGGTAACCCCATCGCTACATCTAATATGTATCAACTATATATTTATTTCATTAGAACTAGAATTCGCAAGACTGTGTCACTGAGTCCTATTCAGCTACAAGCTACTACCTACTCGACCAAATGCTATTAGACCTAGAAATAAATTACTTTGGTGCACCAAACGACTAACCTAACTTAACCGTCCCATTAGCCATTCAAATAACTACCCGTCGTTCACAACCTGCCACCTACTTCCTTCTATCGTAAACATTATTCATTTCTTACTCCATTAATATAGATATCCTACTGCCTAACATTCTATGCTGAATTTAATCCATATACTATTGTCCAATCGAATAGAAAACGTGGGGCCCTGGAAGGCCAATCGATGAAGAATTATCTCAAATACTACACAATTAATAACGCTATTTAAATACAGCTAACTTGAGGATAATCTTAATGTCCACTCCAATTATATCCAACAAAAACGGAGCTTTGAACACTCGGCATAACCATTCTATTCGCTTATCAGTAGCTGCAAAATCATTAATAGATAGATTGATGAGTCGTGTGACCCAATTGGAACGGCGCGGCCAACAAAACTGGGTACTAATTACTATATAAATCTATATAAATCTTGTTTTCCTTATCTTAAACGCTTAGTTATTTAAAGGAACGATGACAACAGAAAAGACCTCCTTATTAGGGGATGAACCTTTATCGTTATATAATACAAAAAAGAAGAGTTCTTTCGTGAAATATTTGAAGTATTTGACTCATGTGGTGGTTATTATAGGTACGGTGTACTTGTGCTTATCGAACATGAGGGGGCCTGAGTCGGTCGGGGTTGATGCCAGCAAGAAGAAGAATGTTATATTCATGGTTACAGATGGTATGGGACCCGCATCGTTGTCTCTTGCAAGGTCTTTCAAACAGTTCAGAGATCAGCTCCCTATGGAGGATGTTTTGCAGTTAGATCAACATTTAGTGGGATCTTCGAGAACGCGGTCTAATTCGTCACTCATTACAGATTCGGCGGCTGGTGCCACTGCTTTTTCATGTGGATTGAAGTCGTACAACGGTGCCATCGGAGTTTCATCAGATTCTGAGCCATGCGGAACGATTTTGGAGGCTTTGAAACTCCAAGGGTATATGACGGGGTTGGTTGTGACTACGAGGATTACTGACGCTACACCAGCTGCGTTCAGCTCGCACGTGGACCAGAGATTCCAAGAAGATATGATTGCTGAACAACAGTTGGGTGAATATCCTTTGGGACGTATGGTGGATTTGATCATCGGAGGCGGAAGATGTCATTTTTTACCAAAGTCACAAAAGGGTGGATGCCGTTCAGATGATAGAAATTTGGTTGAGGAAGCACAGCATAAAAAGGGATGGAACTATGTGGGAAATCGTGAACAGTTTGATGACTTGAAACACGGTCATAATGTTCAGTTTCCTTTGTTGGGTTTATTGGCCGACACTGATATTCCATATGACATCGATAGAGACCCTAAGGTCTATCCATCATTAGCAGAGCAGGTTAAAGTTGCATTGACAGCTTTATCGAAGGCTACCAAGGATTCTGACAAGGGATTCTTTTTGCTTATCGAGGGCTCTCGTATCGACCACGCCGGTCACCATAACGATCCCGCCACTCAGGTTAGGGAAGTCTTAGCTTATGACGAAGCATTTAAAGAAGTGTTAAAATTTATTGATGAAACCGAGACTGATACTGTTGCGATTTCTACTTCAGATCATGAAACTGGTGGTTTAGTTACATCGAGACAAAATAGTCCTCATTACCCAGACTATATATGGTATCCAGAGGTTTTGTTGAATAGTACGCACTCAGGTGAATATTTGTCTAGTAAAATCGTCAACTTCACTTCCAGCACAGACGACTTTACTACCCTTGACAAGTTCATTGTGAAGGAAATCCTTGAAAAGGATTTGGGAATTATGGATTACACACAAGAGGAAATTGAAACCATCAAGCATTTCTCGAACAATGAGTCAAACTTATTATACGTTTTGAATAACTTGGTTTCTGTGAGGTCGCAAACTGGGTGGACTACCCATGGCCATTCGGCTGTGGATGTTAACATTTATGCATACACCAATTCGAAGCAAATTAGGTCTCAATTATTATCTAACAAGCCATATCACGGTTTATTAGGAAATCATGAAAATATTGAGATTGGCGCATTCATGGAATCGATTACTGGTGTTGACTTAGATAAAATTACGAAATTGATCAAGAAGACAAAGCACTCGATTACAACAAAGTTTAATTCTATTCAAGTGGATGAAATGCATCATGGAGCTTATTGAAGCATTTGAATTATATTTGCTAGAATTATTTATTAGACATAATTAAGTATATATGTATGTCAATTAATTATTAATGATGCACGGCTGAATAATCTTCTTTACATAATTTGGCTCTTAAAGCCTTCCCATATGCGTAAAATAAAAATGGAATTAAAACCATTACCAATGAAACGAACGCAAGTAACCAACTGGCCCATTGTAATCCTAAACCATTATACATTTGGGTAATGAATAATGGAAAAGCTGCACCACCGCACAGACGAGTTATAACCTTCGTTCCTAAAGCAGATGCTACCACCCTAGCATATGTGTCTATAATGTAGTTGTTCAATGAATAATAAATAAGCACCATACCGTATCCAAAGGCGATACCAGAGGATGCGGGTCCGACCCAGATAATATGTTTGTACGAAGTAGCTCCTAAAATAAATAAAGCAATACATGGAAATGGAGATCCTATCATTGCACCGATTAATCTATCTTCTGGCGTTGGAGTTCGCCTCATGCAAAGTTTTTTGTAATTTTTTTCCAAAATAATGGTAGACATAACAGCCAAAGCAGCCCCGATCAAGATAGGAATAAACATTAAACCAATTTTATCGTCTTCATATCCATACAATGTATTGAAAATAACAGGGTATGCAAAGAAAAATGCGTAAAGCAAAGAATAGATCAACATCACATACCCACATACTATTACCAAAGCTGGTTCTTGAACGATAAACTTAATTGGACGCAACAAATGAGTATTAACAATTTCCTTAAATGCCATTGGGGTTGCTTCTTGCTCTGTCATGATCTTTGGGTTACCGGTCTGTTTTCTTAATTTTGCAGCTCTATTTCTTAATATGGTAGGAGCATATGTCTCTGGAATAAATGAAATTATGATCCACATTACTCCTGCGAATGCCATATTAACCCAAACCATTAGTTCGTATCTTCCTGTATTAACACTGATGAATCCGTTGACGATACCACCAAGAACAGGTCCCGAATAAGGACAAAAACTGAAGAATGCGATTGCCAACCCTCTTGTTTCGTTGTGAATATCAACCAAACTAGCACCCACGTTTGCTAAAGCAGAGGATGAAAATACACCACATAAAAATCTGCAAACTAAAACTGTGCCGATATTCTTTGCTAGAGCACAAGGAATATTGAATATCACGTAGAGACCAAAGGAAATAAAGTAAACTAATCTCCTTCCAAACCTTGGTTGCTCAGAAAGAGGAGACCAAAACATGGAACCTACCCCGAAACCAATGACAAATAGAGACACCGCTAAAGTAGAAACTTCAGTGGAAACACCAAACTTCTTATTAATAGTGGGCAATCCCGTAGCCAAACATGAAGATCCGTATGCTGCACAAATAACAAATATGGAGAATAAGGCCGTATAAGACCACTTGATCCACATCGGCCAGTTATGAGGGTTTTCTGGATCTCCAACAGTAAATGTCACAAACTCGATCTCTGGATCCAATGCATGTTTGTGGCTTATACTAGGATCGGAATCATCCAGTTTCTCTTTGGTGGATGAATCTCCAGATTTTATTGAATACAAATTATTGCTGGAATCTAGCGTTTTCTGCCTACCCAACGATTGTAATGTCTGTAATTGCACTAATCCCGTATCTGTTTCTAATGTATATTCTTCTGGAAAGATTGGGTCTGCCACTGGAGGATGAACAAGATCTGGAGTAGGTATTTCTGACGATAATCCCAATTCCTGTAATGATTTCCTCGTCTCACTTCTACTTATTCTCAATGATTTACGGTCCGACGTAGTAGTATATCTTGAATTTACTGGAGATAGTTCTGATTGTGCATCGTTTGTTGCATTATCTCTAAGTGGATTTGGATTGTAGGCCTCTTCATCAAATGAAGCCAGACTTGATAACGAATTATGTGTCATATTTTTATTATCTATTGTTTGTTACTATTGACTGTAACTATTTATCTTGAGTTTTCAATACTCATTCCTTCAAGAGAACTTCTATTATTTATAACCCTTCTATCAATACCCGTATTCGGATGGGTTCCATAGATTAGCAGCTAAGATAGCGTGCATCATATATTCCGACCTAATGCCGACCAGAGCTTAGGTGTGAACACCTGGCCGGATGGTCCATTTCCGGTACTTATCCGAGACAGGCTGGATTGCTTCTTTTATCCGTGGAACAATCCGATTTCCTTTTCTCGGATTAATATCTGATGATGCATGCATTAGCCGTATCGTTCTAGCCTTAAGAAAACCGTTTACTACCTACCTGACCGGAAGATTGTATGTCTTCGATACAAGATAACCCTTGGACAGGCCCCCGTCGGGCGAATCCGAATCGTGCTCCATTATATGTAGATACCCCAAATGCTGCTTATTACTACAAATGGATTTGAGTCCGGGAAGACGATGAGACGTTCACCATGTTTAGGGGTATATGATAAGCAAATTGTATGCGGACGTTGGGTCTCGAAGTCCGGAGGTTTCTACGATGGTACGACAAATCGACAGTTTCTGTGTGTCAAATAAATCAGACAATTCAGGACGCGAATTTTTACTATGGCTTCTAGATCATACAACGTATATTATTAATTGATTAGACACTCTCATTATTGAATGCATATATATTAATTAGAGACTAATGAATTCTTGATGGCATCAAAATTGTACATTTTCTTGTTGCACTTGGTTTTGGTGTATGGGTTCTTTAATGCATCTTGGTAACATTCCAATATAGCCCTCTTGACATTTTCAACACTCTCTTCGGATAATTGGTAGTGGAATGCGATTCTACCACCCATCAACTTAACATTGTACTTTTTACCTAATTCAATGAGTAATGAGTCATCCATCTTGTTTTTGACAAGATCAATGAATACAAAATTGGTATGAGCGGGACTTTCCAAGGCGATTCCGTGTTCTTCGCAGAAGCTTGCGACATCTTTAGCGAGGGAATGCGAGTAAGGCAATTTTGCGAAATTCTCATCAATAGCCACCATAGCCATCGACGCCAAAATACCGGCTTGCCTGATACCACCACCGTTTTGTTTCTTGAAATGGTTGGCCTTCGCAATGAGGGTAGGCTCTCCAACCAAGATGGAACCGACTGGAGCTCCGATCGACTTCGAAAGACATAACGAAACCGAGTCGAAGTATGAGCAATATTTCTCAATCGAAATACCCGTTTCCGCGGCAGAATTCCACAATCTGGCCCCATCTAAATGCAATTTAATATTATTCTCTTTAGCAAAAGCACTGATCCTGGCAATCTCTTCTATAGGCATGATAGTTCCGTGTAAGGTGTTTTCTAATGAGATGAGCTTAGTAGGTGCCGCATGGATGTCTCCATCGTCAGGAGTGATATTTTCTGCAATGTCTTCCAACGTCAAGTATACTCCATTAGAAGGATGTACCGGGTGTACCATGGCTTGTGACAAGGTAGCCAATCCACCGGCTTCGTGAATGAAAACATGTGCCCTATAGTCACATAAAATCGAATATGGTGGCTGGAACAAGTTGGCTCTTAATCCAATTTGGTTGGATAACGTTCCACTAACACAGAATAAAGCTGCTGGTTTTCCAGTCAACTGGCACATTTTCTTCTCCAACATCAACGTAGTCTTGTCTTCGTTATACACCGAGTCTCCAAATGTGCTGTTTTGGATGGACTCTAACATGGCCTTGGTAGGCACGGTGAAAGTATCACTTCTGAATTCATTATGAGTAGAAAATTCTGGTGCAATTTCTACTGTCATCTTAGGCCTATAATCGTATTTTTGTACTATTGAGTTACTTTTTTTTCTCTATATTTATTCCAAATGAACCTCCCCGGACAATTTTATATATATATATATGATGAGGTGACACGCCGTTGAGAAAAATGTCAACTAGAAGTATTTATAAGTTCCTATTTGTAATATGCGGCTTTTATGATTTTGGAACCTCATCAGTCAAAAAATTCGCAACTTTTCCATATATGCCGACTGCGAAAAAAAAAAATGCCGTTCGAACAGTAAAGAAACGTTCAACGGGCAAACAATAAACCAGATTTTTTTCATATAGAAAATGTAAATAGGTTTTTGAGGTGGAGAGAAGCGAGGCAAATGCCTATAAAGAATACACGAGTCAGTATGGAGTCAATATAGAGTCAATATATATATATATATAGTATGGATATTGGGAATCAGTATAAACAGGGGTACCGGAGTTTAGATATTCTGGGTCAAGTCTAGGTCACTTTCGTTTTTGTTTAACGAAGGTGTTGACGAAAACAACTGCAAATTGAAATTACGACTTTGACCCAAGGGTAGGTCATTTCTCCAAATCTGGGAATTAGAACCCGATACGGTTCTATTGTGCAGAGCGTAGGGTTTGTCTAGCCATAAATTGCCAAAGTCCTTTTGGTGGTGAGTGGCATGGGGTGGCGGAGAAAGCAAGGAGCCTATCGGTGACGGGATCGGATTGTTGCTTGTTGTAGACGTAGGAGTGTCATTGAGCTCAACGTCGGTATTTTGCGGAGCAAAGTACTTGTTGTTGAGGCTCGATACACTGCGGTCCATCACCGGGTTGAAAATGTTGATGTCGGGGTTATACGGTAATCTGTTCATGTCGTTGTAGGGTGCTTGTAAATCACCATACTTTCCATTGAAGTCGTTGTAGTGGTTATTCAAGTCTGTCTGCATATTGTTCAACCCGAAATTCAAGCTCGAATTGGAGTTGGACATATTGGTGCCCGGTAAACTGTTGATGTTAGAATTGCCCATGTTGGAATTGGCACCGGACAAACCGTTGTTGAGGTTGGCGTGATTGATGTTCGCATTGGTGATGTTAGTATTCATATTAGAGTTCATTCTTGTATCTATGCCAGAATTCCACACAGTGTTGAGATTGGGCAACGAAGGTTGATAGCCAAAATACGACTCATTATTCATCAATAACGAATTAGGGGTTAAAAGGTCCTGGTTCAATAAATCTGTTTGTAACACCACGTCCTCCTGGACGGGCGAATTTAGAAGACCGTTATTTATTTGACTGTAAACTGTATCATCGTAAGTGACACCCAGCGATGGCATTGGATCAAACTGTTCGGAAAATTGCTGTTGGTTTGGCATACTTTGAAGCTGTTCAGTTGAGTCATTCGAATAAACCTGGCCGTAAAAATTATACCATTCCTTGCCTTGACCGTTGTTATTCTCATCATTCATTGGTGATTGCAGAGAGGCCAACGGAGAAAAGCTTCGCTTATGTTTTTTAGGCAATGCGTTGCTAAAACCGCCAAACTCTATACTAGCCTGATGTTCAGACAACTTGACTGGTTGGTATGTTTTATCCTGGTTTACTTTGGCGATTTCGAAACTATGTTGAATTGATAAAAACTTGCGAATTTCTGCCTTGAACGTTGATTTCCAATTAATTTCAAAATTTACTGAACTATAAATTTCATTGGTAATATCGTTCGCCCAAGACGGTTGAAGATTGTATAACTTATCCAATAGCTCACTGGCTTTCGGAGTTAAATTTCCTTCTTTATTAAAAATAACCTCACTGTTAAATGATTCAACTATTGGCTTAAGATTGTTGAACGCAACAGACATTTCTTTCTTTTCGACAGTTAAAGTTTTGCAAGCATCTTCAATTTTATCATTCTCTACTTTCATTAATTCTATTTCATCCATAACTTTAGTGATTTGTTTATCAATCTTCAGTCGGTCAGTCTTTTCATATTTCATAATCTGTTGTTTTCTTTCCGTCAATTTCTTGATCTTATTCTTCAAATCATTCAATTCTGACTTATAAATATCATTCATCGACTTGAATGACTTCAACTCTTTAGCAATCTTACTCTTTTGGAACGTTAAATTATCTCTTCTCTTTTCTAAGTCCTTGACATTGATATCTTTTCTCATCTTAGACCCAGTTTCTTGTTCATATTCCTTCTTATAGAATTTCAAGTCTTGATTCAATTTGCTTATTTCATGATTAAGTTGACTATGGTTCAATTCATATTCTTCCTTTGCCTTGCGTAACTCATTTTGATAAACTAAAAGATATTCGTTCAATGATTCGGATGATTTGTTAGCTTTTACATCTTCCGGCTCTAAATACATAGGTAAGTTAGATTTAGAAGGTTCGGAATCATAGTCCCTAAGTTGGCTAATTTTGGACACTTTGATCTCATTGTTGGTGATCATAGGTAATGTCTGATTACTTTGAAGCTTGTTTGCAGGCTTAGGTAAAGTCTCAATAAACACCGGAGCGGATTGAGACCTGAAGTTAGTAACCACGTTTATTGCTACTACTTGAATTTGGTACAATTTGTTCTCAAGAAGATTATTGAGTTGGCAAGACGTGACACCCATTGTTGCCGCTACTTTGGTTAGTATTTCTTCAAAAAATTATTCAAACTTATTTTGTCTAACATACCTTCTTGGTTATTGATCAAAAGCACATATATAAGGCTTTCATCGGATGCTATCTCGATATCCCAATGAATAACCACGGAAGTGTGGGTTATTGAATCAATGCAAATACTGGGTGCATGAGGAATTTCAATATTCAAATCCTCGATTAGCCCTTCCACCGGAGTTTGAAGTAGTTGGTAACAGCGATAAATAATCCAACAAATGGATGGTACTACTGTCAATAGAACCTCAATCATCCTTACTACTTGTATCTGTTGGCTATGGTTCGAAAGACAAAGAAGTCTCTACTATAGCGAAATTTTCATTGAATGGATTCACGTGAGAAGTTTGTTGATTCAAGTCTACCATATATATATATTTAAAATAACTCTACAGCCATCTTTACAAGCCAATAGCGGATACTATGGTCAATGCAAGGTTGAACAAGCCTAGAACAAAGAAGGGACCTAAAATCCAGTGGTCACTCCATAAACCTCCGACTTTTGTTATGATCAAAATGCCTAGTCCACCACATAAGCTGTATAAACCACTTATGCTACCGATTGTATCAGCCGAATCTGAGGATTTCTTTAAACTACTGATGAAGCTCATACTCGTAATTATGACCCCTGTTTGCGACAAGCCTATAAAACCCACAACTATGAATGAACCAGCGGTTCTGGGGTCGTAGATATCGGATTTGGAACCCAAAATGCACAATCCAAAGCAGCCTATGATCCCTAGACATGAAGATATGAATAATGACTTGGTGCTACCGATCAGCGGATGGTCTATGAGCCATGCCCATAATGGAGCTGAGCATAAAGCTACTGTTTGTGAAACACCAGTCAATATTGCTGCAAACACGTATCCATCACGACAGCTCTGCTTCGAAGGAATACCATCTCCATCGGAACTACATAATCCGCTCTTGTAGTAGAAATTGTAAACTAATAGTGGAATAAATACGGCCATGACTACCGTCGTTGACCGGGCCACAAATGACCCCAAGTATGCCAATTGAATACGAATGTTGCCCTTTGACGCAAGAACCCCTTCATAAAGTAACCTAAAGTAGCCAGTTTTATTTACGTGTGGCATTGCACTGTTGTGTCTCGTCGAATCATAGAGTGACACTAACAAAATTCCCCCCACGATAAATGATAAGCATCCTAGAATCAAATAGGACTTCTGGAGGCCCTCTTTGATGGGGATGGAAAGTGAATCTGAAAGTTTGGCTGGCATTGGGAGGAAGAATGACACCGCAAAAATGGCCCCTAAACCAGTCGATATTCCAATACAAGCAGCATATCTTCCATGTTTCTTATTCCCTTCCTCCCATACCGGAGTCGCCTCCAGAGTATGCGACCCGTCAGGCTCGAGCGTCTCTCTGTCTTCAAATTCATGTTCCACTACTTCGTTCTGTTTCTTCCAGAATGCCAATCTGAAGTCGGAGTTCGATAACTCGTTCAACATCACCGTCACCATGCTCATGCATCCTGTAACCCCGACCGCAAAAATAGGCCTCCATAAATACAACCAGTCCACACTGGTTCCCAATTTTGCGTATCCTATCAAACTCACCCCAATCAACCCGAATCCCGCAAATTCGATGGCCCTTGTCCCTCCGACCATCTTCATTCTAGTAGAATACACCATATTATTCACCTTGTCACAGAACGTCCCTATCAACGGCGCTGTCACAACCGATGCCAATTCATCAATAAATCCCAAAGTCCCTATAACACTGCCAATTTTTTTATCATCTGCTCGTACCACCAGGTCTAAGAAAAACGGCTGCGTAGACGAAAGGAACACCACTAACGCAATGCACGCAAATCCAGCAAAGTTGAACGCAAAGAAGTTCAACGGCTTGTAGTTCTGATTCCCCATGTCGTTCTTTCTCCTTATTCTGCCCTTTTGACCCTGAAATTTCGTCCTCTTGGCTCTATACCAATACTTATCAACCTTTCGGAAAAGGTCACGTGTGGATTAATATGGAAATGGTTCCGTCCAATATAAACCCGTTGTTCTGCTAGTCCCTAGTTACTCGTGAAGACGGCTTCTCTACTAGGAATTACGTCAAGCGACTAAAACTCGTAGTCTGATGGTCATCGACTCGCATAATTTCTTACTAAGTGGCATTAACAGCCATTGTGATTGGGAAACGTGGTGGGTTTGTACACCACATGTATTTATTTTGATATTAATACCAATACATAACGCTAAAATGCTGTGATTAATACTGGTAATAATAAAGTATAATTCCTAAGATGTAGTATTTTATATTCTTTTGTCATTTTGGTGGTTTTATCGAAGATCTATACTGCTAGTAAGTTGTAGGCCATAATCAGGATTCCATTACACAAAATTACAAAAATGGGACATATATCATCACAGTCACAAGTTTCAGTTAAGAACATTAAGTGGAAGTGTAATTTTAACAAAAGACGAATGAGTTCAGCTTCTAGTGTTGGATCAAGTGATATTGACGAAAGTTCTATGCTACTGGAAATTAATTTGCGTCGAAAGAATGAGCAAGAGGATGGTAAGGATGAATCTGCGGACATAAATGATGATGAGAGCAGCAGCACGTATACATTGAAGAGAAGCGATTCTTCGGCCAGTGTGTCATTTATTGATTTGTCCAGGATGCTCTTTTTGTCGGACTTTGACTTTGGGTTCGACGTGGATATGGTGAGTGATACCACCAAGAAGAAGTTCAACCGGATGAAAGAGAAGACGAAACAGAGGTTTCAGCAGCTTAAGGAGGATGCAAGAAAGTCCGACTCGAATTCTGAGTTGATGAGGCTCAATGAGAATCTATTCTCCAATTTGGGGAAGTTTGACAAGAGACTTCACGATAGCTTGAGGTCTTCGACCACCGAGAAGTTGTTCTATGCGATGGCGATAACTTTGATTGCCACATGCGGGTTTTTGATCGGAAAGTACCCACAGTGGTTCCATGTGTTTCACACGGCATTGTTCTGTGTGTTGATGCCCATCAGATTCTACACCTACTTCAAGCTTTCATTTCAATACTATTTGGCCGATTTGTGCTACTATGTCAATTTGTTGTTGATTGTATTTATTTGGTGGTTTCCGGACTCACGACTGCTTTTCGTGTCGGTGTTTTCGTTGGCCATGGGGACGTTGTCGTTTGCGGTCATCACATGGAGAAATTCGCTTGTTTTACATTCTATCGAAAAATCTACGAGTTCATTTATACACATCATGCCGCCAGTGACTTTGTTCGTTATTGTTCACGAATTGCCTGAAGATTATAGGGCCGCCAGGTTCCCAGCGGTTGCTGGTATCGACCATTGGAACTTTATTAACGGTATAATTTGGACCTCCATCTATTACACTCTTTGGCAAGTGTGTTACCATTACTTTATCACCATCAAGAGGAAAGAGCAGATCGAAAAGGGTAAAGTGACATCATTTACCTACCTCAAGAAGAAAAACAAGAACGATGCGTTGGGTAAATTCGTCAATTCATTACCATATACGTGGATGCAAATCGCCGCCTTTACCTTAATTCAATTCGGATATCAAATCTTAACCATGAGTTTTTGTCCAATTTGGTTCAGGTACAAGCATGCTTGCGGTGCATTCATGTTCTTTATATTTATCTGGGCTTCGTATAATGGTGCCACGTACTATATTGATGTCTTTGGTAAAAGATTAGAGAAAGAAGTTGAGACGTTGAAAATGGAAGTTATCGAATTACAACAGAAGAACGGGGAACAGGAAAACGAAAAGTCGATGTCTCAATTGCAGCTCAGCCCACTGGAGCGTGAATCACCAGTCATCACACCCATGGGTTGAATCAATTACAAATACATAAAAAGCATTTCATCGAATCTAATTTTCAGGTTCACCATACCCAGTTTTTTGTGTTTTGTATAATACGGCATTTATAAGCCTAGATGGCTTTTTCATTCCATGTGCTTTACTATAATATTTGAATTTTATTTAATATTCGAACCTGAATAATTAGAATGTATTAAATTTTATTTACTATTGAATTGTTTTCAATAATTTTATTGTATCTATCTATTAGTTATCATTAGCCAGACTAACAGCATGTAATCTCATTATGTATATGTCTTCGGTGAGCAAAATATTTCATCTGGAAATAAAGTACTCAACAAAATTCTCAGAAGTGATTCAATCGTATTCACATGCTGAGCCTGCCTGTTGTATAGAAAGTTTATATACGAATATATTCACAAGATCGTTGGTATGCATTGCAATGATAACTGCAGGCCTTATTGCAGAATTATCTTAGTCAACAACATTCCACACCTCAACATCGATAAGCATTATTTTTGCCATTATAATGGCTCTAGAACTCGCAGTGTCGCTCCTACAATCGCTCCTACAAAAATAACTGACTAAAGTCTGGGCATTACATGATGAGTAAGATGTAAATGGGTTTACTGTTGTGAAGTCTGCATGATTCGATTACCGCAATATTTTAGTAAGCGAAAAGCAGATCTTCACATAAAGTAGCATGACATGCTCGATGTCAGGCCCTATTGATTTTAGAACGAAGGACTGCATGACCATACAGTGTTTACTTATTACTTACTTATTTTAAGTCTCTTCCTTGACAAGTGGTACACATTTGATAGCTTTTGTTTCACCATCAGACTTATTTCATGGGGTACATGAATAGAAATGCGAAATTAGTACAACCATCTACATCAGTTGGAACAATTTCTAATGTCTATGAAACGAGCTTAGAGTGGCCGTATACGGCTGATCTTGGTCGTTATACTATGTACCAGGCTGATAGACAAAGATTAATATCGATAGTTTCAGCTTCAGTCTCAATAGTTGCTGGCTTTATTGGAATATATTTCTTTTTGGCTATTGATTATAGAAAGCGAGTTTTCAGGCATCAGTTGGTTATTTTCTTAATTCTACATGACTTGATCAAGGCTATTTTTTTATTGGTTTTTCCAGCGACGGTTATGGCAAACATTGCAGCTTATGAGGATTTGAAATTCTGCAAAGTGTCAGGATTTTTCACTGCGTTTGCGATAGAAGGGTCTGATATTGCAATCTTGAGCTTTGCGATTCATGTTGCATTGTTGGTGTATCGACCCAATAATAGAATTAAACGAGGAGATAATTATGAAGGTGGATTGTACCGATACAGGCATTCAGTTTACGTGGTGTCAGTATTGTTTCCGATCGTGCTAGCTGCAATACCGTTTGTTAGTGATCATGGTTATGTACCGTTAACCAATTGGTGTTATACTCCCAGCAGACCGATTTGGTATCGATTAGCTTTAAGCTGGATTCCTCGATACATAATTATGGCAACAATAATTGTTATATATTGTTGCATTTATCGCCATGTGACGAAACAGTATAGCGATGTTGAAAATGCACTAGCGGCCGATTATGGTTCCTGGAGTAGGCGACAAAGGTTTACAAGAAAGCTTAAAAACTTTATGAGATATTTGTTCTTTTTCAAGCTTACTATGAAAAATGACGAATCGAAAAGTATTAACCGTTCATCTTTGCAGAGCGATATAAGCCAAGAAACCATACAACATTTCAGAGCACGAAGAATACAAGCTCAATGGCAGATGAGGGCAATATTCATCTATCCTGCGTCATATCTTCTATTATGGATCTTCACAACTATAGTGCATGGCATGGATTTGAGATTCGGATTATCTGTAAAGCCACATATATGGATGAACGGGACTGCTGCGTTCATGCAGCCATTCAATTGTACTGTTGATACGGCTGTATTTTTAATCAGAGAGAAACCATGGAAAATTACGACGATAAAAGTAGACAAGTCACAAACTGAAAAGTATGAATATCCACGCTGGCGTAGATTAATATCGTTTCTCCCATTATTCTCCTTACCAAAGCCGATGGAAGTTTGTCAATCTGAGAATATAAATTATTTGAAGCATGAAGCTTACTGTGTGGAAAATGCTAATATGCATGACTTTTCTGGTATTCTTTCAGGACAGAAGACCATTCTTACGCCTGAGGTTAGAGGGAATAGTATTGCTAGTAATAATAGTATTCCAAATGAGAAATCGTTTCGGTTTGCAAATGTCCGCCCAGGAGATAATACTCGTACAAGCAATTATACCAGCTTTAATGATAGAAAATGGTCAAGTACGACAGAACATTCAGAATCAGTTGAACAATTAGATTTCATGGATTTTTTAAAACATACAGATGTATAATAATTGTTATAGTGCGTGTTAAAACTCTACAATATCAAGATACTTCATTTGAGATTTTGCATCCAAAATCTATTAGTGAGAAACAATGCTAGCGGACACTCTTGAGGTATCTATTTATGTTCCAGAGTTAACTGTAAAGGGATGTATGCAATAATTGTCATGAGAGAGAGGTAGCTTTCTGTAACACTAGAAATAACTGTAAAAGAGTACATGCCTTCTCGTTTCTTAATAAAATATTTTATAAGAGGACAAGCGGTCTAGCGTATATAGTAATACACTATATCAGTGACAGCTTTCCACAAATTGGTAGCCAGTCAGATTCAGATTATTGTAGAGACCAGAATCTGGGAAGCTTCATGGCCAACAGACTCAATTACTTACATAGAATATCTTTGCTCGTGCCAGGTCTGCTTCCATCCATAAGGCCATACATATTAAAAGTTCACCACAACATTGTGCTTATCGTATAAACGCCATAAATACTATAATAAATACCGCATGGTGGGTATTGTGTTCTTACTGGAATTATGCCGTCTTGGTCGAGTTTTGAAATTCTAGATATCTAGATATAAAGTCCTCTTGGAACCATTAACGTTCAAAGCTTAACATCTCAAACAGTAAGTTTTAAGTCGACCACATAGAAGTTTATCCATCACTATGACCTATTCTCTCTACGATGCAACCGTTGTAATGGCCAAGGGCGCTCTCACGTCTCTCAAGAGAATCCTCACTGAAGCTGAAAAGCACCCCGATTCCGCCACATTCTTCACAGCACGCCTCATAGAGGACATGAAGCCACTCACTTTCCAAGTTCACTATGCTGCTTTCCTGAGCGATTCATTGGCTGCGAAGCTTTCCGGTCGGGAGTATGCTGAGCCTGAAGAAGATCTTGATACCTATGAGAAGATGCATGCTCGCATCGACCTGGCCCTCAAGCACCTAGATGAGACCGACAAAGACACAGTCAATAGACTCGGTGAAACTTCAACTTCGTTCACCGTTCGCAACGAAGCAATTGAGGTGCCTGTCAATGCTGTGGTTGGCTCGTGGAATATGCCAAACGTCTATTTCCATGTCTCGATGGCCTACGCTATCTTGCGAAAGGAGGGGGTGCTGTTGGGGAAGAGGGACTGGAGCCGGGGCTTTGTCAGCGACTACATTTGAGCTTCCAAACCTTCCAGTACTGACAGTGATATAGAATAGCGTCTTTTGAGACCGGGAGAGGGCTAGCAGTGACCCTTTTTATTTACTCGGTATATCGATTTTTGGAACCTTGGCATGCGGTACATATGCAACATTCATATACTAATTTTACGTGTGAGAAAATATAAGGCATAAGGCCGATAATAGTAGAAATTTCCCCTATGGAACATCGTGGTCACTAACGAAGTACCAATTGATAGGCAGACCGTAGTTGCACCGTGCTGAAAAGTCAGATGGCTATATTATGCAGCTATTCTATATGGTCGAGAGTGTTGCCACGATAGATTTTTTAAGCAATAGTGTTGTCATTAGCAGTTAATGTATGACACCATTAGTGAATTAACCAGTCAGCTTGATTGGTGCTGATGGAGATGAATTTTCAACCAAATAAATCAATATAACTAAATATTCATTCAGAATTTGAATAATATTTGCTATACCACGATTAGTCTTTCTATGTTAGCTGTTTAGTCGTTCTTAGGTACAGTATATTGCTACTACATGACTTAGGACTTCAATTTTGTACTTTACATGCCTACTATGCCTAATACTATGGTGATGTCTTGAAAGAACTGACACGAATTTTTTTTTAGAATATAGCATTTTTTTAAATATGCCATTCATACTCCAATAAGGAACTCTTTCCATCGTCTATCAGGACATTCCAAAGACCAATTATAGCATATATAATTAATTTTGCAATCAACTATTATAGTACTGACAATATAAAAATCCGGGTAATGAAAATCTCGGAATTTGAAGAAGTGAAAAATTCATAAATTTATTACTATACTAATAGAATCAAGGAAACCAAGGAATAAATAAGGATGTTCAAGTGTACGTTTCGTTTACCTGGTCCCTCGAGTATAATAAGGGGGAGCAAGGCATTTTCTACATCCAAAATTATCGGTAGTAAAGCTTCAAAAGTTGACAAGCATGTTGATTTTTTGTCCAAGTTCTACACACCAGAATTGTTACAAAGTATCAAGATTACTGAGTCATTGGTGGACCCAGAGACTGTGTTAGAGTTGAAGAAACAAGGAGAAAAGACCAAGTCGAAAGTAGCACCATCAGATGTATCATCTGATTACTCGACCACCGATCCAAAGTGGACAGAACCTATCATATATCCAAACCAAGCCAAGAATCGCTCCCCATATCCACCTATCCCTCAAATCCAGGCAGCGGATAGAACCGACTTAGCGTTTCGTTTCAAGCCGGAAGCTGGTCCTAATAAAAAATTTTCGTCTGCATTGAAAGGTAAAAGAGAAATCGCGGAGGGTTTAGCCAAGTTGACCGGTTTAGATCAACGTTACATATCCAACCTTTACGTGCGTCCAATTGTAATGAAGAGAGTTTCGTGTCAGACTTCTAAAGGTAAGATTCCTAACTTCTATGCCTTGACTGTCGTGGGTGACAAAAATGGTATGATTGGTTTAGGCGAGGGTAAGTCAAGAGACGGAATGAGAACTGCATTGGTCAAGGCCCACTGGAACGCAGTAAAGAACTTGACTCCTATCCCAAGATATGAAAAGAGAACCATTGTTGGTGACATCGAATACAAATTCCATGCCGTCAAATTATTCATTAAGTCGGCCCCATCCGCGTTTGGTTTGAGAGTCAACCCTAATATCTTCGAAGTTTGTCAGGCTGCTGGTATCAAAGACTTGAGAGGTAAGATCTACAAGTCTAGAAACCCAATGAACGTTACCAAGGGTTTCGTTGAAGCCTTGACCAAGCAAAGACCTTTAGAGGATCTTGCTGCTGGTAGAGGTAAGAGATTAGTCGATTTGAGAAAAGTGTATTATTCAGCTTAATCTTCTTCTTGTATATAACTATTGAATTCATATAATATTAGAACTATAGTACGTTAATTATGAAGTAGTAGTAGTATAAGTAGTTATCTTTCAACTATCAAAAAGTCGTGCGCGTAAATTTCATGTCATCTTGTGCTAAATTGCCACAGACAATGTATAGAAGGTCATATTTGCACCATATTACCAGAATTGAAGGATATTTTAGTCAATATTATTGGTATTAGAGAAAGAACTCTTGATTAATTTGAACCAATGGTGGTAGATACTACGTATTATGATTTATTAAGCCTTCAGCCCGATGCAACTTCATTGGACATAAAGAAGGCATACAGAAAAGCTGCAATCAAGCTTCATCCAGATAAGAATCCAGGAGACCCTACAGCCGCAGCTAAGTTCCAAGAAGTTGGGGAGGCATACCAGGTTTTGTCGGACGATAATTTGCGGTCGAAGTATGATAAATATGGTAAACAAGAGTCGATTCCAAGCGAAGGATTCGAAGATCCATCGGAGTTTTTCTCTATGATTTTTGGAGGAGATGCATTCAAAGACTGGATTGGGGAATTATCGTTGCTTCAGGAGTTAAGCAAGTCCGCTGAGTTATCAGGATATGGAGACGAGGAGAAGAAGGATGCAAAGGAAGAAGAAAAGACGGGCGATGACTCGAAGACGCAAACTAGTGAATCCAAAGCACAGGATGCTACTCATGCGACAACTACTACGGGCGATACTGTTAAGAATTCCAACTTACACGATGAAGAAGATGTTAAGTTACGTGACAAGACACAAAAGTTATATTTGGAGGATACGTCTGGTGGTGGTAATGTAGCCACAAAAGACGGAGATAAAAAGGAATTGACTAAGGAAGAAAAAGAAGAGTTAAAACGGAAAGAAGAGCTTGAGAAATTCGAAGAAGAATGTAGGATAAAGAAAATCGAAATGAGAGAAGAGTTATCTAAAAAATTGACTGATAAGCTTTCGTTATTTACTGAAACAGACATGAAAGAAGACGTTGCAGATTCGTTCAAACAGAAATTGAAGTACGAGGCAGAATCATTGAAGATGGAAAGTTTTGGTTTGGAAATATTACATACTATTGGATCTGTGTATAAGACCAAGCTGAAAATCTTTCTAAAGAACCAAACTTTCTTGGGTTTCGGTGGTCTTTGGTGGTCAGTAAAAGAAAAAGGTGGAGTTGTCAGAGATACCTTCAAAACTATTACCAGTGCCTTGGATGCGCAACTGACGATGCAAGAGTATGCTAAAATGCAAGAAGATAATGAATATCATGCTAAGAAAGAAGCCGAAGAACAGGCTGAAGCAAAGCAAAAGGCTGAAGAAGTTGACCAGATCGAGAAAGAAATCGAAGAGATGAAGAAGGAGAAAGAACAAAAGGAAGCAGCTGCGACAAACAACAGTGCTGAGAAAGACACCAAAGAAGGTGAAGGTATCAAGAGCGACGAAAAGAAAGAGGAAGAAAAGATACCTGAAAAACATACAGCCGAAGATATTGCAGAAATGGAAAAATACTTAATGGGTAAAGTGTTAGCAGCTGCATGGTCTGGTTCAAGGTTCGAAATTCAAAGTACAGTTCGTGGTGTTTGCGACAATATATTGCAAGACAAGGAAGTACCATTGAACGTTAGAGTTGCAAGAGCGAAGGGTTTGAAGTTAATTGGTGAAGTGTTTTCGAGTATTACAAGAACAGAAGCTGAAGATGAAGAAGCTAGAGTATTTGAAGAATTGGTCGCTGAAGCTACCAAGAAAAGAGAAAAAAAGAAGAAACCTACAGAGCATGCTACTACAACTGGTGAACCTACTAAGTAGTTATTTTATTTATTATCGAGTACATTATATATAGTATTTATTTAGACACTTAATTACCTTTAATTTACAACGTTCTTTATTGTCCATAAATTTTATGCGAGTGTTGAAATGTTGATACTGGGGTCATAATTCTACATTTAAATATTAAATACAATCTAATGGCTTTAGAAGATATTAACAAGAAAAGGCCTTCAGTAAGCCCTGAATTGGACCCTTGTTCAAATTCGAATTATAAGGATTTTCATGTGCTGAACACTGAATTAGATATCAGTGTCTCGTTTGATAAAAAGATAGTCCTGGGACAAGTAACTTATACTTTAACTGCAAGAAAACCTAATACAACAAACATTGTGTTGGACACCTCATATTTAAAGATAATTAAAATTAGAATAAATGGTTTACCAAGTGATAATTATGAACTCGTAAAAAGGCAAGAACCATTTGGATCACCATTGAAGATTTCATTACCAACTACAATTAACAAAGAATTCAAGTTGAACATTGAATTTGCCACTACACATAGATGTACAGCATTACAATTCATTGAAAAAGAAGCTACAGATGGCCAAACTGCTCCATATTTGTTTTCCCAATGTCAAGCGATTCATGCCAGAAGCTTCTTCCCGTGTTTTGATACCCCAGGAATAAAAAGCCCTTATGATATGAAAGTTAAGTCTCCATACCTATGTCTAATGTCTGGTAGACCAAAGGAAACCAATGAGGAAGGAGTTTATTATTTTCATCAACCTATTCCAATTCCGTCGTATTTGGTAGCATTAGCATCTGGGGATTTGGCATCTGCTCCAATAGGGCCAAGATCAACAGTTTATTCCGAAAAGGTAGGATTGAGTGATTGTCAATGGGAATTCGAAAAGGACATGGAGAATTTCATACGAGTAGCTGAAGGTTTAATATTCAAGTACGAATGGTTGAAGTTTGATGCATTAGTCTTACCGCTGAGCTTCCCATATGGTGGAATGGAGAATCCAAATATTACATTTGCTACACCTACATTAATTAGCAAAGACAGGTCACAAGTTAAGGTTATGGCTCATGAATTAGCCCATTCTTGGCTGGGTAATTTGGTTACGAATTGTTCGTGGGAACATTTCTGGTTAAATGAAGGGTGGACAGTTTATTTAGAAAGAAGAATAATTGGGGGAGTAGCTGCAGCAGAAGCTAAATCATTAGGTGAGAAGGAGGCAATCGAGTATGGAGAAAAAAGGAGACATTTTTCTGCTATTGTTGGTTGGAATTCGTTAGTTGATTCTGTCAAAACTTTAGAGCCAAAATACACGTCTCTAGTTTGGGATCTCAAGGAAGGATCAGATCCAGATGATGCATTTTCCCGTGTTCCATATGAAAAAGGTTTCAATTTCTTATTCTACATTGAACAACAAGTCGGAGGTATTAAAGAATTTGATCCATTCATACCTTATTACTTCAAGAAATTTCGCTATGAGTCGTTAGATACCTACCAATTCATAGATACACTATATGAGTTTTTTGAACCTCGTGGAAAGGCAGCAAAGTTAGATGCCATTGATTGGAAAGGTTGGATATTTGGTGAAGGCTTACCGCCTAATATTCCTCAATTTGATTCCAGCTTAGCTGACGAATGTTATAGATTAGTTGATAAATGGTTCGATTTTGCCAAATCTAATTCAGCAGATATGTCTGGATTTAATGAATCGAGAGATATTGGAAATTTCGAACCTGATCAACATAAGCTTTTCCTTGAATCATTAACAGAAAAATTCGGGACATACTCCGTTCCCGAGAAGATTATCAAGAAGTTACCATCAATTTATCCTTTCTATGCGGCAAGCACTAATGGAGAGATAAAATCAAGCTGGAATGAATTACTTATTAGATTTGGAAACTATAACACTACGGATCAAATAGTCCAAGATTTTGCAATGTGGCTAGGAACTGTTGGTAGAATGAAATTTGTGAGGCCTGGTTACAAATTATTGCAAGCCTATGTTAGCAAAGAATTCGCCATTAACACGTTCACAAAATTCGAGAGCAGTTATCATCCCATTTGCAAAACCATGGTGAAGAAGGATTTGGGTCTAATTTAGGAAAGTCGTCGTTTGCCCCCTACACTTTTCACAATTACAAATAAAACAATTTCTCCATTAAGTATAAGTTACATCTACATAGTTATGAATACATATATAGGATTACATGAGTTCTGCTTTAAAACACAATAGTTTTTTATCAAAAGAAGCATGGCATGTCTACATATTAACTTCTTTTTTGAATGCATCTAATCTTCTTTGATGATCTTGAATGAACTTTATAACCTTCTTTCTATTATCCCTCAAAATATCGTTTCCAACAACGTCAATACCATCCAATTTCATTAACTGCTTCAACAACATTTCTTCGAAATAGTTGTATTTGTATTCCAAATCATCCTCCTTCAAAGTCTTGTAATTCTCCAAGTATTCGTCAATCTCCGGAACATAAGTCTCCTCGACAAAGTCTAAAATGGACTGTATATCCTCGTTTGCCTTTTGTGCCTTAGTCAACTTCTTCTTAGAACGCTTCTTTTGGTTCTTCTTACTCGATTTGCTCCTGCCTTGCTGGCCATTTGAACCCAAAATACGTCCTAAGATAAATAATGTGGTGAAAGCAGTTATCGACAAAGATACTGTGATAGGGGTCACCTTTAAATTACTAAAATCACTTACTATATCGTCCGTGGAGACATTTTTCAATGCATTGACATAAGGTTCAATATCATCGTAGCTGGTTGGAATCTTTTCCTTCAACTGGCTGATGCATGATTGCACCTCTTCAAAATTGCTTGGTAGTTGAGATCTCAACTGATTAAAATGTTCGGTAACTGCTTCCATACTCAATGTTCTTGTATAGTCAAAGATAAAGTTAAGAAGAACTTCTGTCCTTTATTGCTAAATGCTTATTGTCAGAGTGGACAAGTGAAATTTACGGCTTGGTGAAATTACACAAAATTGAATAATGGATTATGCTTATACAGCCTATCTAATTAAATGAATAACTCTCCACTAAAGTTCCGGCTTGGTTTTAAATTGTCCAATGCCTTCTGCTTTGAAGCTTTATTGACTGGAGGTGGAACTTTTTTATGTTTAAAGTCGATTATTTGGGTGGTACTATCTTTTGCATTTGCATTTGCATGTGCACTTGCACTGCAAGCCTTATCAGCCGTAGAAGGGCTGTTTGCAATTTTCTTAGGTAGTCTTCTCTTTGGACCTTTGGAACGACCCTTGTTAGGGTGCGTAAGCTTGGATTGCGTAGCACTAGCTGTGTCTTCATGTAGGGGTAGCGTACTGGCTCGAGGAATGTTGGCTGCGGGCTTCGATGCACGAACATTCGGTACAGTGCTGGCTCGCATAATTGATGATAGTTGATCTTGGAAAGAAGCGGGGCCCTTAGAGGAAGATTTGTTATCGCTCAAGTCAGAGGATGAAGGCGTTCTTGTAGCAGCAGGTCTTTCGGGAGGAGGCGATTTTTTGAGGGTTCTGTCAGAAGTTTTCATATGTTCTAACTTCTTTATCGGCTCGGGTATGGAGTTGGATGAGGCGGATTTTGACAGAGGAGCCACTTTTACGGGCTTCAATTTAGCCAATGCGGCCAACCCCTCTGGGTTTGTCTGCTGCGTAGAACCACGGGCAGTGGATGAGTTGGAGTTTCTGCCCAATTTCTTCATTTGCGAGAGAAGAATTGCATTGTCCTCATCCTGGTACTTTTTAGGTGAGGGCTTCGATGGTTTTGGAGGGGCATTTTTACCGTGAGAAAGCTTCTGCATTTGCAACTTCAAGACTTCCGTATCCTGTTCCTCGTATTTCGAAATAGATGGTTTGGCAGGCTTGGGGGGTGCAGACTTATTCTTGGATGAGGATAACTTTTGCATTTGTGATTTCAATAATTCATTTTCTTCTTTGGTATACGTTTCAATTGATGGTTTAGGAGGCTTTGGGGGTGTTCTAAAGTCTGGGTTGTGAGTATCTGGCGACTTTTTCTTCGCTAGCAGCGATAAATATTCCGGTGATTTGACATGTTTAGTGGGCAAGTCCGTTTCTTTATGCACCGATTCAGGTGTATCATTCTTTTTGATGGCACTGTCAAGCCACGAGTTCTGCTTCTTTTCCCGTTGTGGAGATGACGATTTGATTATAGACACATCGCTCGGATTATTATGTTCTGGAATATACCTCTGTTTTGTACCGGATATAGATGATTGAATCAGAGATGATTCTGTTTGCTTTTTCGTGGCTGATAAGGCACTAAGATATGTTGGTTTTGGTACTACGTTGGGAGTTTCTTCGACCTTGCCTTGAGAATTTGGTTTCGTAGAAAGCTTGTCAGATTTTATAGGTTTAAGCGGCTTCGAATTAGTTATCGAATTCACGGCAAATAAATCATCCACCATATCCTTTGTTTTTTCCCCTACATCGGAACCTTGTCTAATGCCATTTTCTAATTCAGTAAACGATCTATATTTTTGTCCCTCGGTCAGGGGAGATTTAGGCTTAATAGGTTGCACTTCAATATCATCCCTTTTGGAAAGTAGCTCTGGTTTTGTTTTCATTGGAACGGGATTTATTAATTCAATATCAAACTTGGATGACATTCCAGAAGGTTTCGAAGGTTTTGGTGGTCCTGATTTCTTTATGTCCCTACGAGGAGGCATAGGAGGAGGTGATTCTTCGCTTTCAGCAACTGGTCTCTGAGGCATTGGAGGTGGTGTCTCGTTGAATGCATCTACTCTCGAGCTCCTGTATTGTCTTCCACCACTATCTGGTCTCTGAGGCATTTCAGGTGGTTTATCTTCGTCAAGATCCTTCATGTTCGCTGAAAACTTCTCATTATTCAGTCTAAGACTCCTGTTGAACTTCAACAGAGGAATATCATCATGGCCTCTGCTTGAATTATACGGCATCGGCTGGTATGACCAACCTTTAACAGGAGACGAACTGTTCAGCCTCAGTCTCATAGCATCAACGTTCCTTTGTAATTCTCTCTGTCTTTTCTGGTCCTCCCTCAATCTTTCTTGAGACAATTCGGATATACTAGATAAGAAATCATCCACTTTCTTCGAAGATGGAGATACTTCCGTCATAACTGCTTAACTTTGGTTGCTATGATCTAATCTTGATCAAATGTTGATAGGATTCTGTTTGTAAACAATAAACCTGCAAACTGAGTAAATAATTTTACAAGTTAATATTCAATATGATAATTATCACCATTATGGTTCTTTACCTCCTAGCATATTAGAATCAACCATGGCACAAGCAAACAAGAAAATAAAGTTCGTGTCATTGATATCACGCAAGGATGTACCGTTATATATTCAATCGTTTGATATTGGACCAATGGATTCAGAAAATCCCCAAAATGCCAACAAATACCTTAAATACAACTTCTTATCACATATGGCATTGGACATATTTGCATCTCCATCTTCTACCAGTCTACGTGAACAACAGCAGGATTTGGAGGAAAATGGAGGAGCAATTCTCTTGTTTATTCAGGATGATATAACTGTGTACGGATACGAAACCAATACTGGGTTGAAAATAATAGTTGGTCTAGGAATGAGCCAAGCAGCATTCGAAGACAGACAAGAGGACGATAAAAGCTCACCAACTCCCGAATCGAAGGACTCAGCTAAAGAGTCTACTAAAGAATCTGCTAAGACTCCATCGGCTACAAAAAAACCAATGAAATTGAAAGATTTATTTTCCCAATTACACAAGTCCTATATACATATAATTTGTAATCCCTTCACTAATTTGTCAGGTAATTTGGCCGATAACGAGACACTATTACAATCGGCGAAGTTTGACAGAAGCATAAGCAAGATCGTGGATAGCTGGAATGGTATATAATACATAGACAAAATACACTCATTTTAAGATCACATTTGCCCCTCTCAACTCTAGATATTCTTGATCCACACTAGGAGGCATGTTTCTAATAACTTCCTGGTATATTTCCACGTCATAGAATCGTAAACTGTTGGTAGGACTTTTATATTTGCCTGGTAAGCCCGTTATATCACAGTAATGTTTTTGGGGTTTCAAACTAGGTGGTGCACTTATAGATGTGTAAGTTGGGGTGTCAACTTTGATATTCGGTTTGGTCTGCAAGTATTTCACTTCGTCTCCTATGATTTGTCTGCATGGTTTATAACGACGTGGTGGTGCTTTCCTCTTTGGATTATTCTTGAATGAGTGTGGTTTCGTAGCCACTTCAGAAAGCTCATGCAAGTCCACTTCGGACTTTACTGGTGACATAGAATGTGACAGCTGTACTGGTGCCATTTTCAATCTACTATTGTGGTCAATGGAGACTTAGATTGTACCAAGAAGATGGCATTCAGTTTTGACCACTATTGCGAATAATGGACCACTGATGACATTTTAACCGACAATATCTCGGAATTGCGTACATTTACTATGGAATAACGTGGGACATATTCCTCGTTTCTTCCCTCGTATTTGTGAATATTTCAAAAATAAACCGTCAGCCCATACAAACCCGAACCTGCTAACTACCAACAATGCACTGTATACGTGTATGTTCATCCATGTATTTATCTTGTTTCTCGGGCATTTTGTGGCCTCCATAATCGCATCCAAGCCCACTCAGGTCGTGAATTCGTCCTCCACTCTCCAATTATCGCCCTCTTAAAGCCCCAACAACCCACTATATCTTTCTCTACAAGTCCTACATACTATTATGTACCCATTAATGTCATTTGGTACCATTTGATACCTACTGACACCTAGATCTGTACAAAATACCTTTCTTCGATATTGGTCCCATATCTTATCGCGAATTCCCCCCACTATATGTCCCACGGTATATTTCTGATCTACAACTTATTCGAACATATTGCTACCATCGATCTCCCATTTTGCCAACCAGACCGACCAGGCCATATCTGCAGCCTTCGCAAGAAACTCGGGAGTCCCTGTAAGACACCTCTCGGCTCATTTATCAGTCGTCTCTATATCAACACCCATATCTTATGTGGCTCAATATTAGACTTCACACATGCAAAAGAAATTCTTGCTTTCTTTTGTTATAACGGTATTGTCAAATCTTGAGGTAATATCGAGTATGTAGCCAATACACACGAGGGTCTCTCTGTATAGAAACTAGGAATCTCCGTGGTAGGTCAAAATCTTAGTAAGCTTATGACTATGATTACATGTCACGTGTTTTTTGATAACTGAAAATTTATACAAATTTTATCTGCTATGCTTATTTATTGAATAGATTCCCACAAACGTAGGTTTTATTCATTTCAGGGAGATATAACTAGTGTCTAATATGGCTCCTCACGCTATCGAACCAATTTCCGCAAACGCAAGTGCGTCTGCCAGTATCAGTGGTAATGAAAGCATCTTATCAACTTCCATTATCAACTCCAACCCTTTTGAAATGACTGTCGATCCAAGTTTGTTGAAGGGAACAGCATACACGTCACCATCGACCATTATCAGTCAAACTGTCTACTCCATTTCGAGCAAAATTTTTAGTTACGAGACTCCAGGGGCTGACAACTTGTTAGACTCGTATTTGCAGCTTTGGTCCCAGCAATATCAAAGACACAATTCTTTTGGAGTTGTGCCATTTTTCCACAAGTTGCAAGTGAGATCCGGAGCCTCTAATGCTATTTTAGGATACTTTGGTAAGAACGGTACTAATGGGCAACCACTATCAACTTTGGCCGGTGCTAATGCTTTGACCTATATGCACCCTACATTGGCCGGGAAATCTGCCAATTTACCGTTATCACTCAACGTCAGTGCCGTTGACTACGACAGTGCTACCGATTCTTTAGTATCTAACTACATTGCTCCTTTAAGTGTTGCGCGTTCTTTGAACTATCCTGTTGTTACACCAGTTAACTCTAATGATGGTTTAGAATTGCAACATTTGACTTTATTGAACCATTACTTGGCTGCACTCACCGGTAACCCATCTTTGAACTTGTTCGATGGTCCTGAATTTTCCAAGACTTTTACCAAATATAACGACTTATTATCTGTTGAAGAATTAGGTCGTTTGTACCAAGATTTGTTGGCTAGTTCCGATGCTGCTCCAGCTAGCGTTGAAGATGCAGTTGAATTAGCTTTCAATAACTTAAACAGGTTAGCAGGTACTAGTTATTCTCATTTTGATTATATCGGAAGCAAGAACCCTGAAACTGTCTTTGTCATCTATGGTTCCCATGAATCCACCCAATTATCCCATGCTATTAGTAAGCTTTCCTCTGATGTTGGTTTACTTAAGGTTCGTGTTCCATTACCTTTCAGTTCTGCAAAATTCGTTCAACTGATTCCTTCGTCTACCCGTAAGTTAGTTGTTTTAGGTCAAGGTAGCACTGAATGCTCAAGATCATCATCTTTGAAAGCTGATATTACTGCTGCTTTGTTTTTGAGTGGCCACTACCACAACTTAAGCGTTGATGAATTCGTTTACCCATTAAACTTTGTCTGGACTCCAATCACTATCACTAAGATTTTGAGTGAATTTTTACCATCATTGAATGTTGACAACATTCTTGCTGTACCTGATAGAATTATCTCTTCTTCCCCAATCACCGCCAACACTTCTCCAGAAGGTGGTTATTTGGTTTGGGGTAAGGACAATGGCGTGTTTGTTGAGGTTTCCAATAAGTTAGCCTTATCGTTATCCTTGGATGACTCAAAAGTTGTCAGCATTAGAAACAAATTTGACAATATCAACGGTGGTGGTTTATTTCAATCCCAAATTGTCTCAACTTCAAAAGGTTTTCCTGTTGAATCTGTTGATTCTGCTAATGTTGTCTTGATTGAAGATATCTCTATCTTATCAAGCTACGATATCCTAGCAACTGCAAAGCCAGGTGCTACTATCTTACTTGTCAATCATAAACCAATTAAGAGCTCGGTTGAAGAAGATATCATTCCTAAGTTACCAGTTGAATTCAGACGTACTTTGGCTAAGAACCATAATCAATTGGTTTTGGTTGATAACACAATTTTAGAAGATTTAGATGCTCTGAATGATTCTACTAAGGGATTTTCGGGTGACTTCTTAGTTCAGTTAGCCTTCTGGAGAGCATCATTGCCTGAATTGGATGGCTTTATTGTTAACAAATTGTTGCAAGCCAACGGTAATGGTTTCGAATTATTGGCATCTGTTTTAGATAAGTTCGTTAACACTGTTGACGAGAAGAATGGTTTGAAAGAAATTAAAGTTTTACCTGAATGGATTGACTTAGAAGACGAACCTGTCGAAAAGAAGGAAGAAGAAGAAGAAGAAGTAGAAGAAGCTGGTCCATTACCATTCTTCCCAACTGAATCTTCGTTCTTCCCTAACCCACGTACTGATTCTACTGGCGTCGAAGAAACTGTCCATGCTGGATACAGGGACTTAGCAACTAAATTGACTTTCCCAGAAGCCTATGATGTTAAGCAAGAATTAAGACCAGATTTACCTGTCAAAAACTTTGTTGTTAAAGTTCAAGAATCAAAAAGACTTACACCATCAGAGTATTCGAGAAATATTTTCCACATTGAGTTTGATACCACTGGTACTGGCTTAACTTATGAAATTGGTGAAGCCTTAGGTATCCATGGACGTAACCCAACTAAGGCAGTTGACGAATTCTTGAAGTTCTACGATGTTGATCCTGACTCGTTAGTGGAAATTTCTAACAAAGAAGATCAATCAATCTTCGAAATTAGATCTGCTAGACAGGCATTAAGCGAAGGCGTTGATTTCTTAGGTAAACCACCAAAGAGATTCTACGAAGCTTTAGCTGAGTTTACTACCAACCCTAAGGAGAAGGAACACTTAGAAAACTTGTCTAGTGGTACAGGTGCTGAAGAATTAAAGAAGAGACAAGATGTTGATTTCAGTACTTATGTTGACATTTTGGAAGAATTCCCATCTGCAAGACCTTCATTCTCTGACTTGGTAAAAATCATTGCTCCATTGAAGAGAAGAGAATACTCTATTGCTTCTTCACAAAAAATTCATCCAAATGCTGTGCATTTATTGATTGTTGTTGTTGATTGGGTTGATCCAAAGGGTCGTACCAGATTTGGACACTGTTCCAAATATTTATCAGACTTGAACATTGGCGATGAATTGGTTGTAAGTGTCAAGCCTTCTGTTATGAAGTTACCACCATTATCGACTCAACCAATTGTCATGTCTGGTTTGGGTACTGGTTTAGCTCCATTCAAGGCCTTCATCGAAGAAAAGATCTGGCAACAACAACAAGGCATGGAAATTGGTGACGTCTACTTATACATGGGTTCTAGACACAAGAAGGAAGAATATCTTTACGGTGAACTCTGGGAAGCATATATGTCTGCCGGTGTATTAACCCATATCGGCGCTGCTTTCTCGAGAGATCAACCACAAAAGATCTATATCCAAGATAAGATCAGAGAAAGTATTGACGAATTGACCGACGCAATTGTCACCAAAAACGGTTCGTTCTACTTGTGTGGTCCAACTTGGCCTGTTCCTGATATCACTGCTTGTTTGGAAGATGTTGTTACTAATGGTGCCAAACTTGAAGGTAAAGAAATCAAGGATGTCGCTAAGGTTGTGGAGGACATGAAAGAAGATGGTCGTTATATCTTAGAAGTTTATTAGATTACGTTATATTTATTTGTATGTATGCTTAGATTTAATGCCAATGTTTTATTTCTTTCATCTATGTAATATTTTTTATACAATCACAATTACTCATTACTACAATCTTACCTTGTCATAGATTGATAATACATTATTTGCTTTAATTTCAAAGCGAAGAACAATTTAATAAGTATTGCATGGTATACTTTATATGCTACATGACCTAATTGCACTCTTTTGACTATGTCTTTCGACCTCTGATAATCAGTAATCCATTGTTATAGCTTTTAGTTAGCCATTGATCTCGAAATTTTGCCATTTATTGCTCATTCGTCGATGCGTGCGAATTTATTCCTTATCGAAGCTTGACTTTTCAGTAAAAACTTTCATTTGATATTAACGGATAAACTAATTCTTTAGAGAAGATGGGGTTTGCATTATTCCATCAACAAATGAATCAGCTAATGTTACAATCATCAGATACCACGTGGCGAACGTCGGTTTCTGGTATTATGGGTTCAACGTCGTATGTTCAAATGTATTGATAGTTAAGTTAATTAGCGTATACTAACACGGTATTTAGCCTTGCATGTTGGATTGTATTATTAATGCCTCAGTTAATCGAACAATGGAGATTGAAATCTGCTGATGGTGTTTCAATTGGATTCATTTCGATCTGGTTTTTGGGTGATGCTTTTAATTTAATTGGAGCACTCTGGGCAGGGTTATTGCCAGAAGTCATATTTTTGGCAGTTTGGTTCTGCATTGCAGATTCGATGATGATTTTGTCGTATCTTTATTATACTCGTATGTATCCAAAACATCATAAAATACACCATCATGGCCATGAACACCACCACCACCATGGCCATGAGAGTAATCAAGTACGTGATCACGAAGAAGATCATCCTCATCATCACGGTGAAAATGCACCATTATTAAGAAGAAGAAGATCATCAACGCTTACAGATATCGCGATAGAACCTGAGTACCATAGCATTTTTATTAAATACGTTCTTCCAATATTCTTCGTGCTTGGTGCTGGTTGCTTAGGATACTTTTTATCTGATTCAAAAGAGCCAGAGGAACCAAGTTCTAATATCGAAATGGGTCCCCAAGTAATGGGATATTTATCTGCTGTTTTATATTTAGGTGCAAGAATTCCCCAAATTATCAGGAACCATCAAAGAAAATCGGTAGAAGGTTTGAGTTTATTATTTTTCCTTTTCTCCACCCTAGGAAATATAACTTATGCTAGTCAAATCCTCTTCTACAGAAGTGATTCACAGTACATTATATTGAACTTAAGTTGGTTATTGGGATCTCTTGGTACCATTTTTGAAGACTGTTTTATTTTCTTACAATTTTACATGTATAAAGACAACATTGATAAGAATGAAGGAGTGAATTAACATATATTATTCGATCTGTAGCTTGTTTATCTACGTGTAAACGAATTTTTAATATACAATTGTTAAATTAATGCAAAATGGAATGTAAAAAAATCTATAAACGTATAAAACTTACTTGACTTAAGGATTGAAATCTGCTAACTGCTTATCATTTTTTGAGCTATCAATCTTCCAGTCATCAACCCCTGGCCAATCTACTTGGATTGGTTTCAAATGCGATAAATCAGTATTCTTCAAGAACAGATGCTTTTCCTTAGACCAACGGCCTTGAACATCCTCAAAAGCTTTATCCCAAACTTTGTCATACACTTTCTTAATTTTTGCTTCTTCATTTTGTCTAACTTCCTCTAAAGCCATAAACTCCATATGCTTCAAATCATCCGAAGAAGGTTCATAGATGTGCCAAATGACATAGTGTGGTAACCCAACAACTGAGTAGCCCATTCTCTTAGACAACTTACCAAATGCCTCTGTCTCTGCGTGCTTCTCAAATGAGAATGCTGGAAAGTGTGAACCACTACGGAACACTTTGGCCTTAGTTAAAATTGAAACCCCACCAATACCGTCTAATTCCATTTCCACTTCTTGGTCACCATAAGGATCTCTTAAGTACGCCAAGTGTGGTCTCCACGTTTGGTATTCTACATATCCCTCAACAATACATGCATCTTCATCCAAGCTTTCAGCTAATTGAAGACCACCATCGGATTCTTGCCAGGAATTCAAGTCATATGGTTGTTGGTTGCCTAACCAATCCGGAAGTGGTCTCCATACGTTAGGAACAATAACGTCCTTATCATGATGCATTAGATCCTCCAAAATTGTAGGCGGTGATGTCTCAACATCAGCATCTCTCCAGTATACAAATGAATGATATGGTTTAATTGCGACAGACCACAACCAGTTTCTGGCTCTTGCCATAAGTTTACGTCTTGGACCCTGAGCTGCGAAACCGTGTCTATCTGAAAACCCTTGACCAACAGCTTGGCCAAAATCCTTTTCGAAAATTTCGATTTCTCCAAATCTCATGGACACATCAGGGTCGTTTTGAATTTCAAGTAAATGTTTATTCAACGATCCCATCGTGTCATCCGACGAATCACTCACCAAAAACGCCAAATCGATTAAGTTATGTGGATATGTCAAGTTTTTCATGTGGCCAAAGAACATCGGCAAATGGGCCGCTGCATCTCTTAATGGCACGCAAAATAACACCCTTTCTTCTCGCTGCCAGCCGTCCTCGCTCCCATCGTAGTGGGCTAAATCGAAATACTGAACCGACGGATACGATGAAAAATTCGGCGCATACAACGAAGGTATGCCCATAGTCATAAACCTCAATACGCTGATTATAAACAATATTATACCTGTGATGTAAAACTTATATTTATGCTCGCTGAACCTCCATGGCTCCTTTTTGGGCTTTTCAGGTCTATATTTAGTTAGTAATTCCATTCCAACAATTAAATACCTATTTGGATGTTGTTTTCACACATCCAACGCACTGCCTGCCTGACAAATTTTACTTACGGATAATCATACGGTGTCATCTGTATAGACTGAGCCATCTTTCAGATCTGATAAATACTAGAAGGTAGCTTGAAATTTCTAGTTTACGACTGCCACCAGATAAATTTTCCAAAAGATCACTTTCCTAGTACCACGATATATTCCAATCACAGTATAATAAATATCTTTCCAACAAAATAACTCGATACTTTTGAAAGAATAAATAGACTCTAATATACTAGTATCAACAAACATTCAAATTTTTAACTCGATCTTGGAAGAATCACGTGGGCTGTGTTATAAAAGCTGCAAATTTGGACTAAAATCACGTCAACGTGACCGCTAGAGGGTTCAATTCAAGGTATTGGGTCCTTCTGGGACTTATAGAACCTTCAAGCAGTTCGAATTTATATTCAAAAATGGGGTCGGTAAATAAAATTAAGATATAGCGTGGATAAGCTGGATGAGAATTAACCATGCTCACCAAACCTTGGTTAGTACTTATGATGTTCCAAGTACAATTAATGTTGCATTTGTAAGGATATGGGACTCTATTAGTCGATTTTTTATAGAGTATGTTATAGAGTATGTTATATCGTACGCTTATATGGGCAATTTTGATATTATATTTGTATGAATAGGTATTTTACGTATTCACAGTAATTGCAACTAGTAGGAGGAATGTGAAAAATTTGAAAAAATTCCAAAATTTTAAACCAAGTTTAAACTGTTCCATATGAAACAACAACCTCATATATATACCATATGATTTTCTATCGAAATAATTCTGTGTTATTGGTAGAGTTTTGCTGTGAGTAAAAAGATCAAACCTATGGTAACAAATCCTGAACTTATTACCAAATTAGGAAGTCTATAAATAGTAAACAAAGCGCGTAAATATATAGCTAGAGTGATCTATATTACTAGTAGATAATAATAGATGTTCTTTAGGAAATGAAGGTAGAGGAGTTGATTATCGACGGGTTCAAGTCGTACGCCACTCGTACTGTTATTTCAGGATGGGATCCCCAATTTAATGCGATTACGGGGTTGAACGGGTCGGGGAAATCCAATATTTTAGACGCCATCTGTTTTGTATTGGGAATAGCATCCATGTCCACGGTTAGGGCGTCTAATTTGCAAGATTTGATATACAAACGAGGACAGGCAGGTGTAACAAAAGCAAGTGTCACGATTGTTTTTGATAATAGTGAAATTTCGAAGTCTCCTATTGGGTTTGAGAATTGTCCCAAAATCAGTGTTACAAGACAGATCATTCTTGGGGGCAGCTCAAAGTACTTGGTTAACGGACACAAGGCACAACAGCAAACTGTGTTGAATTTATTTCAATCTGTGCAGCTTAATATCAACAATCCGAACTTTTTGATTATGCAGGGGAAGATCACGAAGGTTTTGAACATGAAGCCGACAGAGATTTTGTCGTTGATCGAAGAAGCGGCAGGAACAAGGACATTCGAAGAAAGGAAAGACAAAGCACAGAAGACCATGGCCAAAAAGGAGTCCAAGTTGATTGAAATACGAAGTCTTTTGCAGGAAGAGATCGAGCCTAAGCTTGAGAAATTGAGAAATGAGAAGAGAACATTTTTGGAATTTCAGCAGATCCAGACTGATTTGGAGAAAATGTCCCGGATTATTGCAGCTCATGATTATGCGCTATATTCCAAGAAGTTTGACGAGCATTCAACGATGTTGAACGAGCGCGAAACAATCATGGCCAATTTGAACAGGGACGTTGAAAAGCTAGAAACTGAAATAAAGAACTTAACTGACGATTTAAACCAGGTGAAGAAACAAAGAGAATTGGAGTTGAAAAAGGACGGTAAAATCAGAGAATTAGAAACTTTAGAAAATCAATACTCGGATGAAATCACTCGTTTGAATACGTCGAAAGATATTATAGTTGAAAACATAAAGAGTGAATCAAAAAAGTTAACCAAACTTGAGCAACAGATTAAACAGCTACAACAGGCGATTGAAAACAATGCAGATATTTACAGTAACCACGAAAAGCAATATAAAAATGCCAAAGAGGCGTTAGCAGAGTTGAAGAATGAATTTAACAGAAAGGAAGAATTATTGTCAACTCTTTCCACAGGTGTCTCATCTAAAGGTAACACGGATGGTGGATATTTAGCGCAACTTAAAGAGGTCAAAGTGAAATTGAATGACTCGAACGTTTTTATCCAGCAATCAAAATTAAAGATCACTCATCTTACTCAACAGATTAAGAATGATAAATCTAAATTAGCTTCGGCAAAGCAAAATAATGAGTCTGTATTGAGAAATATTGAATCTTACAAGAAAGAAATTAGTCACAAAGAGTCTAAGCTTACTGAATTTGGCTATGATTCAAAAAGAGTATCAGAGCTTAGACAGCAAGAATCCACTCTCAGCGACAAGGTAAACCAATTAAGTAACGAACTTAATTACATGAGAAGGGAAGTCGGCAATGTAGAATTCAATTACACGAAACCAAATCCAAATTTTGATAGTAACGTTGTTAAGGGTATTGCAGCTCAATTGTTCACGTTAGGCGAATCAAATTCGGATAAAGCAATGGCTTTGCAAGTCTGTGCTGGTGGTAGATTGTACAACGTGATTGTTGATACTTCTGATGCCGCGTCTCAATTGTTAGAAAAGGGAGAACTAAAGAAAAGAGTTACAATTATTCCATTGGATAAAATTTCATCGAGAGTTATCGACGACAGATCGGTAAAGGCGGCTAAAACACTATGCCCTAATAAGGTTGAGCTAGCCTTGAATTTGGTTGATTTTGAGAACGAATTGTTGAAAGCCATGCAATACATTTTTGGCAATACATTTATTTGCAATGATCCCCAAACAGCAAAAATGGTCACCTTTGACCCGCAAATTAGAGCAAGGTCTATAACACTTGAGGGAGATATATATGATCCTGAAGGTAATTTGTCTGGTGGTTCAAGAAAAAATAATTCGTCAATATTAATTGCAATGCAGAAGTATAACAAGTTACAAAATCAAGTCAAGAAATACCAAAACGAACTATTCACGGTCCAACAAGATTTACTAACATTTGAAAAATTGTCTCATAAAACTCAATCGTTACAGAATGAGATTAATTTAAGCAAGCATGAATTAACATTATTGGTAAGGAAATATGAAAATAATCCTTCTTCATTAATTTTGCGTGAGAATGAAAATAATGAACAAGAAATCAAAGCCTTGACTGAGCAGATAGAACAAGAAGAATCGAAATCTAAGTCATATTCGGATGAAATAAATTCAATCGAAAAGGATATGAAGGAGTTCAGTAGTGATAAAGGCTCCAAGTTGAAAAAATTAGAAAAGGAAGTGTCGAATTTAAGAGATCAAGTTCTTAATAAAGAAGAGGAGATTAGGGAAAAATCGGATGAGTTTCAATCTATACAAATTGAGTCTGAACAGCAGCAAGGAGAGTTAGTTAATTTAAAGGAATCGTGTGAATATTGTAAAAATCTTATTAATGAATCCAATGAAGAATTGAAAAATACTCAAGAAAGCATCACTGAAAAGAATGAAAACCTTGAGCATGTGAAAATCGAATTGGAAGAAGAAAAAGCCAACCTATTAGGACTTAATGAAGAAATGAATGAATTGACTTCTATTCTTCATTCAAAAAACGAGTCTTTGAATAACTCGAAGTTATCTATCCAGAAACTAAACCATGAGCTCGAAAAGTCTTCATCCATTACTAATAATTTAAAGAATCATTTGGACACTTTAGTTCAGGAACATGATTGGGTAATGGACTCAAATATTTTAGACAGCATAATCCAAAAGTACCATAATATCAATTTAGATGAATGTCACGAACAGGCAGAAGTGTTGAAAGAGAAATTCCAGGGAATGAAACGTAAAGTTAATACAAATATTATGAATATGATAGACAACGTCGAAAAGAAAGAATCGTCTTTAAAGCAAATGATAAGGACTATTGAAAAGGATAAATCCAAGATCGAGAACACAATTGATAAGTTGAATGGTTACAAGAGGGATACTTTGAATACAACTTACCAGAAAGTTTCTGTTGACTTCGGAAATATTTTTGCAGACTTATTACCAGGATCCTTCGCTAAGTTGGTACCTGTTGATGCCGATGATGTGACCAAGGGTCTTGGTGTTAAAGTTAAATTGGGACCTGTTTGGAAGGAAAGTTTGGTTGAATTATCTGGTGGTCAAAGATCCTTGATTGCGTTATCGTTGATCATGGCATTATTGCAATTCAAGCCTGCTCCGATGTATATTTTAGATGAAGTTGATGCAGCTTTAGATCTTTCACACACGCAAAATATCGGTCACCTAATTAAGACCAGATTTAAGGGTTCTCAATTTATTATTGTTTCTTTGAAAGAAGGCATGTTTACGAACGCAAATAGAGTTTTCAGAACGAGGTTCCAAGACGGAACTTCAATTGTATCGGTTATGTAAAATTATATATATATACATTTTAATTCAATAATGGGTAACGAGCAGTTTATTAAGTAGTACTTCAATATTTTACTGGGATTCATTCGGCGATTGGTTCTTCACCCCGGCATTCGATGAAATCGAGCGGAGGCCGATTTACCGAGAAGTCGTTGTAATGATAAGTTACCAAATAACCATAGATAATCCAAGAATTCACAAGTTCGAAAGATATCGTGTCAAACTCTAGCTCAATACAATATACTATTATATTATCGATGATAGTAATATTTCGAATTGTCTAAATTTGAAATACATTGGATACGGTTTTCTCGGAGTTTTGAATCAAGTTATTTATGAATCTAAGAATCTACTATCTAAATTGCTTATTACAACATTTAGTATGGCTTAGACACAATGCTACATATATACTTAGTATATATCACCTATAATGCTGTCAATAAAGGTATTCTAAGACCTTTTGATCATATTGCACGTGATAAATTCAAAAATCATTATCATCTCTAGTTTTCATAAATTTTGCAAGACTTATGTATCTGGTATACATATTGAAATAGACCTATGAATAGATATGATTAGACTTCAGCGTTTTGAA